GGGGGGCGTGCAAACCAAACGGGCTTGCTGTAGCTTTCCTAATTATTAAATGCACCGCTTCTTTTAAAAGTACCCCGAAAACGGCCCAGTTTGCAGGTTGTAGCTTTTAAGGGTCCGGTTTCGTAGCCGTAGGAATCAAAGGGGGCAGGCAGCAAACGTATTGACACCACAAGCAAAAAACAAAAAAAAAAACGGTTGATGTACCTGTGTATTACAGGCGCACCGGGAATTGAGCCCGATGCGGGGGTCGAACCCGCAACCTTGAGATTAAGAGTCTCACGCTCTACCGATTGAGCTAACCGGGCTGGCTCCGATACGGGGAATCGAACCCCGGGCTCGGCAGGACTCAGGACCGGGAGGTCGGTTGAGAGTGCCGGATGTTAGCCACTACACCATATCGGATTTGCTCGTTGAGACTTGTGTTGCAAAGTGTGTGCGGAGCGGGGCTTATAGGGTTTGGTTGGATGACGAGGGCTGTGGGACAAGGATGGGGCCCAGCGGAGCAGGATGTGACCCAGGACGAGTCTCTTGTGAAGGCGGGAGCCACGGGGCCTGGGAGCTGCAGAGGCTGTGGAGCAGCCGACATGCAAGGGAACATGAGATGCCGGCAGGACTCCACGACAACAACCGGGCCGCCTTCCGTTGGGTACTGGGTGGCTGGACGGGCCCCTGAGATGTAGCTTGAGATGTGAGCGTGGGCGGTCTGGACAGCCTCGAAATCAGCGGCTGCAAAAGCTGACTCCAGCCACGCAAACTCAATGTCCTAGATGTGTCGACAAGAGGGGCACTAATTGTATGTCAGGCGAGCCAGGGAAGCCGCCCAGCGATTTATTCGGTTGACTGGCTCTAACGCACGCTCCGGTAACCTTCTAGCCCCGGACCAAGCCTGGTTGTTGACAATGGCCTCGCCCCGATCTTTGATCTGGGTTCAGATGGCGTGACGGGCGGATTTCCATAGTTGAACCATGTCTTTGGTAAGGCCATTAAATGGTATGTATTAGTGCAAAATACAAGACTATGTGAAGCTGGAGGCTGTGAATGCCCGGTCTGCCCGTGCCATGCCAGACCTGTGGGTACATCATTAAAGTCCCTGTGCTGGCCACTCTGGATGAAACAGCGCTAAAGCCAGTGTTGTGCTATAATCGCTGCTTGTGGCGAGTGAAAGCAAGCACACGCCACCCGTGAGGGTAGCGACGGAACCACCGTAATATCGCCTTGGGTTTGAACTCACGGCCATCTGCATTCCACCGAAGAAAAAAAAGAAAAAAAAGGGAAAACAAAATTGGCTGCTACAAACAGAACAACATCCCTGGCAGCAATGTGAGCAGAACTGAACCCGCCGCAAGCGCCGTCAGAACCGGTTCCATGCCAGGAGCACACCGGCTTGGAACTCAAATGCGCATCGGAAATAGCGCACGTCTATCGCGGGGGGTCCGTTGCTGGGCTGAATAGGCTAGGCTCTAGCGGCGGAATGGCGAGGATGCCTCATGCAGGATGCTCCGGTGCAAAAAAGGGACCCCGGCCAGGGTTGGCCGGTTGCCGAGGGGGGGCTCGTGGGAGCCGTCGCCATGGGCCCGCCTGAACACCAGTTCATTCTAATCGTGCAGCAGATAATCACGCCTTACCTGATACGGCCTGGCGTCCGAATCTGAGACGGCCAGCACGAAAATAAGAATGAGAAGAAGCAACGCGTCCATCCCTGTGGCCAAACGGTGGCCAGATCGCAACGGCCTGTGGTTTTGGGGGTGGCTGGACTCAGATCTGAGAAGATGCCTCCTCGCTCGATTGGTATACTCGAGCTAGAGTATACTCGAGCTAGATAGAATAGGGAGTCTGGCGGTGTGTTGCTGCCGGCCGGACCTTCAAGGTCAATGATTTTCCTGCGGCTCCAGCCTGCCCCTTCCCTTTCGCGATTCCCGGAAAGGATCGCCGGCGCTGGTGCAGGATCCGGTGCAGGATCCAGTGAGCCTAGCCCCAATGCATGCCGCCCAGCCATGTGCGAGCAAATGAGGAGGGCTCGAAACGTTGCGAATCACGGCTAGTGGACCCAAATATCCCAGGCCGAGTCAGCGCCAGGACTCTGGGGAGCAGGGCGAGCAAGGGGCTTCCCGTGCTGGGTGCCAGGGTTGTCTGCACGCGCCCTCCCCTTTTTCGTGCTGCCGCCAGAAGCAGCGTAGCGCGTGCTGCCGGACAGGAGGCAGGCAGACCTTAGCACGCTCAACAGCACCAGCCGCTAAGCCCGTACAGGCTCAACCACGCCTGCGTTGGCCAGAAACAGGGGAGGGCAGGGGGCTGATAAGACAACACAGCAACCACGACCTCGGCAACATTAACCCAATAAATACAAACTCTTCCACGCTCCACGCCGACGTCAGCAGCAAACGCGAGCGGCTCAATGTCCCGACGACCGTTCCTACGGTCCTTCACTCTTTTGGTATAACAGTATAACACGGCTCTGTCGCAACTCGGCTTGTTATCTACACATTGCCTCTCCTACGGATCGCCTATCACTCTCTACGGCCGAACGAAATCCGAGGGACACCACCACGAGCCGGGACAAGATGCCGGGCCGCCCGTTCCCCGTCGCCGATTGGGCTCCCGTCCAGGACTCCCTCATCGGCGCCGACAACTCGAAGCAGTTCGCTCTCCCGACCGACCCCGATAAGTTTCACGCCATGGAGCCGGACAACGGTCCCCAGCCCGCCATGCCATCCTCCTCGCGACAGCCAAAAGCCCCCGAGTCGCGCGTCCGGAGAAGCCTGAGCTTTTCGTTTGGCCGGCGCCCGCGACCCAAGTCGGGTGTCTTCAATGCCGATGAGGCCGTTTCGAGACTGCCCGGACTGGTCCTCGAGGACGGCGAGGACTCGGCCGACGCGCCTCCCCAGACGCAGCAGGGTGGCGGCTCCGAGGTGGGAATGGACGGCCCCGGGAAGGGCAAGAGTCAGATCAAGGGCATGATTCGACGGGCCTCGGTCTCTCTGAAACAGCTCGTCCCTCGACGGGCCACGATAACTGCCGGCACGGGCGAGGATCATCACACGCACCGCCGCTTCCTGCGATCGGCGCAGGGCTCCGGCAGCTTCTCGGGAGGCGAGGGCCTCCTCTTCCGTCCCACGTTTAGCTTTTCGAATCAGCCCGAGACGGCGCGTCCTACCACGGCGCACTCGTCTACATGGCAACGTCTCCGCCAGGCCGCGAGCTTCCGCAACTCCCGCGGCAACGTGCTCGAGACCATTGAGTCCCCGAGGTCATCCCACTTCTTCGGCGGCCCCGTCCCGGGCTCGGGTGCAGCGCCCCCTGTTATACCACCCAACACAGGCAACGCCGCACGCGCCGCCGCCGCCGACGCAGCCATGCAGGCTGACGCCCTGAGGTGGCTTGGCCCCGCCGAGTGGACGGCGAGTGAGGCTGGCGGCAGCATGCTCGGGGCCGGCAGCGGAAGCGGCGGCCGTCCGGCCTACCACACCAACGGGCCGTACCACTCCAACGACGGCGAGAGCGGGATCGGAATAACCGTGACGGCGACCGAGTCGGAGGAGGAGCGCGAGAAGGCCGACTCGCGGCTCGGCTTCGTCCGCCCCGGCGGCTCGGGCTCGACGGACCACCTTCAGGACAGCGCGCTCCTCGTCGGCGGTGGCGGCGGCGGCGGCGGCCTCGCGTTCGACCACCAGGGCCACGCTCAGCAGCAGCAGCAGCCGGCCGACGGCGGGATCCCGCGCGTCGACTTTGTGGCGCAGCTGCCGCTGGAGTTGGCCATCGAGATCCTCGCGTACCTGGACGGGCCGGACCTAGCGACGGTCGAGCGCGTCTCGCGGGCCTGGCGCCACGTCACGACGTACCAGCACATCTGGCGCGAGTCGTTCCTCCGCGGCATGACGACCACCTTTGCCACGAGCGGGCCCGTAAAGCCCGGGGCCGGGCTTGGCGTCCCGCCCGTGCGGCCGGGCGGACAGTGGAAGGACATATACCGCGCAAAGGTGGAGCTCGACAAGCGCTGGAAGGCCGGCGCAGCTAGCCCGGTCTATCTCAACGGCCACACGGACAGCATCTATTGCCTGCAGTTCGACGAGTGAGTTCCCTTGGACGTGACCGTGGATTTTACTTTTGCATGTGACCATCTGGCTGACTTGACTTTTCTGTGCCCCGTTCCAGGTCCAAGATTATCACCGGCTCCCGTGACAAGACCATTCGCGTCTGGGACATACACACGCTCTCGTGCCTCTTCGTAATCGGACCCCCCGACGTCGTCAGAGACCAGGACCTCGTGTTTGACCGCGACGGCAACCCCACGCACTTTGCAACAACCGAGACCAGCCCCCGAGCGAGCCCGTCGATACCGTCCATGCTCACCTTCCCCAACATGCACCACAACGCGTCGATCCTGTGCCTCCAGTACGACGACCGCATCCTGGTGACGGGCTCGTCGGACGCTACGTGCATCGTGCACTCCATCTCGGGCGGGTACCGGCCCATCAAGCGGCTGCAGGGCCACTCGGCCGCGGTGCTGGACCTCTGCTTCGACGACCGCTACATCGTGACGTGCTCCAAGGACGTGTCCATCTGCGTGTGGGACCGCGAGACGGGCGCGCTGGTGCGGCAGCTGCGCGGGCACGCGGGGCCCGTCAACGCCGTGCAGATGCGCGGCGACGCCATCGTGTCGTGCTCGGGCGACTTCAAGGTCAAGCTGTGGAACATATCGACGGGCAAGTGCATCCGCGAGTTCGCGGGCCACACAAAGGGCCTGGCCTGCAGCCAGTTCAGCGAGGACGGCCGCTACGTGGCCAGCGCCGGCAACGACCGCACCATCCGGGTCTGGGACGCCAACACGGGCGAGTGCGTGCGCGAGGTCAAGGCGCACGAGAACCTGGTGCGGAGCCTGCACATCGACAGCGTCTCGGGCCGCCTGGTCAGCGGCTCATACGACACGGACATCATGGTGTTTGACATGGAGACGGGCCGCCAGCTGCTGCACTTCCCGCGCTGGCACGCCAGCTGGGTGCTGAGCGCCAAGAGCGACTACCGCCGCATCATCTCGACGGGACAGGACCCAAAGATCCTCGTCATGGACTTTGGGAAGGGGGTCAGGGGCATCGAGATGCTCGAGTCTTGCATGCGCCGCCGTGCGAGCCACGGCGGCGGCTGCGGCGACGACGACGGGGCGGCTTCGGGGTGCGCCGACGAGGCCGGCGGCTCGGCGCAGTCGCCGCCGCCGTTATCGCCGCACAGGCGACACATCTTGAACGCGGTCGGGGGGAGGCCGGCGGGATACATCTAGAGGGGAAAACATCACACGAGTGAAGGGACAAAACCATCGGAAGGAGGTGGCGAGCCTAATCTTTAATGCTTCCTTTTTATTCATCGTTTTTCTCTCTCTCTCTCTCTCTGTTATATCTCATCACCTCTCTGGTTGGAGTCAAGGTTAAGGGATTTGCTTTGGATATCCTCGCTGGCGGGAACCGGTTGAGCGACATGAATATAGACATATGCAGCGTTTGATATTTTGTGAAGCATTTCAATTGCCTCTACTCTGTTTCGTCTAGTTAAATCACTCTCTGTGTTGTATACACACTTTCTTGCATCGTGGAGTTGACTCTGCTCTAGTCTCACTCAATTGACATCTGCAAAGCACTTTGCGTGTCTCTCTTCCGCCTGTTCCGAGACGAACGGCTGTATCCCAGGGCCGATCTACTTTATGTAGGTTTACCCATCCTGTTCCTTTGTGCTTTTGATGTGTATGGCCACCCGAGTTCGCAAGTTCGCTTGATATGACGGCAGACGTTCCTCGCAGCGGCTTGTCCAACATATTGGTTGTGTCATTGGGACATATTCGTCGACTGCTGTTACTCCTGCTGCTGACGTAGACATCGCATCTACTCCAAGAACGGTGTCCCTTCTCGCACCAGGCCGAACAATTCATCTTTGCCCAGGGACCCTTGCTCTGAAGATTCACCATGCAGCGAACACACTTTCTGATGGCTAGGTAATCCCACCAACGGTCCGGACCCGCCGCTTACCCGGTTGGCCACCGTCCCGTCTCCTCGCCGCGTCCTCTTGTCAACCAATATCGGGCGCAGGTGAGATTTTGTTTGCCGAGCACTGGGCTTGTCGGTTTCACGGGGGGGAGGGCGAGGTGGTGGGTGTTGCCGTTCCACTGGATGGTTTTACACTAGGCGATTACATAGGTACTCTCGCCTCCTACCCTTTCGCCACCGCCGCGGAAACGGACTGCACGAAAGAAAAGGGCAGCCAGCCAGTCACGACGGATACCGAGTCTCGCAGATAGATGAGATGTGTACGTGATGGTGACAGGGGCCACGGGATCCAGGGGTGGGCTCAGGGCCGCCGAGTTGGAGGGAGCCAATCGTCTAGGTCGGTTTGGGATGTTGGTGGTAACGTTGTCTACGTTGCATAAATTCCCGCGCGTCAAACGTAGGACGGGCGAGCTGGCAGACAAGCCTACTTATGGGAATGGAATGGGTGTCCTGTTGATCGCCGTGGGCGGGCGAGGGCTCGTCCGATGAACGACATCTCGTCGTCGTCGACTTGTTTTGTCTGCCCACCACCCGCTCGTTCTCGGCGGTCCGGCAAGCTTTTGCTCCTCCGTCGTGTCCAAGGGCCAGCCAGGCAGGGAAAGATCAGACGAGCGTGTGTGCTCGTGCTCGTGCGCGAGAGCGTGCAAAGCGACAGAAAAAGGCCGCAACGATCCTGGCGTGTCCAGGGGGACAACAGGAGAGGGAACAGGGGGACTTGTTTGACTACTATTACAACCATCCAATAACCAATGATATTGTTTCCCCTGGTTCTTTTTTTCGCCGCCCCGATTTATGCCAACAAGCAAACAAGCAAGATTCGAACCCTTGCGCGGCGCCCCCCGTCGATGCATGAATTCCCAAGAATCCCCTCTGCTCCCGCGCAATTTGCCTCTGACAAAACGATGGCCAGCACCCAGAGAATAGGGAGCGGAAGGAAAGGCGATGCGAGTCGCTCCCAGCGGGTCGGAAGGGAGGGAGGGTGCGCACTTCATTGATACCCGCGGGCAATTTCGCCATCAGCAGAGCGAATTGGGAGGCTGCCGCGGGGCCCGATGTGGGAGCAGCTCAAACGTGCAGAGCCTGGCCAGGGGGTCCCCATTATTGCGTTTCGAAACGAACAAAGACCGCGGAGTGGGAAAGTTGACGACTTCCTTGCCGACTGGGGAGAAAAAATGCACGGATTCGGCACACACAACGCCACCAATGGGGGGCCGCACGGGGCACGCGAGAGCGCTTTGGGCCGCTGTCAAAAAAGGGTCGCATCAGAGAGGAAAAATATTGCAACTCCCGTCAGTCCTGAGGGATATTGGGTCCCCATGGCGGATGGACACGTTGCTTTGCCCACGGATAGGGCAAGAAACTTGAAGGGCTTTCTATTGTCCCAAAGTGTGTCCGCGTCCTCGTGGATGCCACGATGGTAATGAAAGGGAACAGCAAAAAAAAAAAAAGTCACCAAAATCGCGTCTTGGTTACATGAGACAACACAGGGTCTCGGCCAATGGAAGGGTGTTTCGGCTTGTCAAGGCGGTTCTTGTGTTGCTTGGTCGCCCTAATCTTTGAGAGGATCTGCAATCGACGAGCCGCCACCGCCAGGGGTTCGATCAACAGCGAGGATTCCATACCGGATGGTAGGTAGCCGTGCGTCTGCCCTGCCCTGCTCTGCCCTATGCGGTTGCTGCATCTCTGTGGCTCCAAAGTCGACATGCGCGCTCCCGTCGGGTTCGAACTCCAGGCAGGGGCCAAAGAATCTGGCCCTTGGCTGGCTACACAGATTCAAAGCAGGGAACATGTTTGCTTAGCCGACTCTTGGAGCAAAAAAGAAGGCCAACAGACGAGGCATGCGGCCACCCGCAAGGGGCCAGCGAACACTTGCATTCGGCATGCAGGAGAGACATTCCAAAAGAATGCCTCGACGCGGCCCCCGTTGAGAGAGAGGCCCGTGTTCGTTTGGCTTTTGTGCGGCATGGCCCGCCAAGATCGGGGTGGACAATGGCACACCGAGAAGCGAGGGGTGTTTTGCGATCTGTGTTTTATTCGTTCTTGTTTGTTCCTGCATTCTCCCTTGTTTTCCTTTTGGTCCCGCTCGTTCGGGGAATATGCAGCTTCACTGAGCGGGGGGACGAGGGGGACGACATGGGGTCCGTTTCAAACCGATCTGCAATCTCACGCAGCGACTGGCTGGCATGCTCGCTCTCTTTGGCGCCGGGCAGGAAATGGCAGGCTGTGGCTGGCCCAACTTGCCGTGCTGTGTGCGCGTGGCTGGGCTGGGCATTCGTCGGTGAGGTCAGAGAAGTAAAGGCGAAACAGAGAAGCAATGAAAGCAGAGCGGACCGAAAGCCGACAGACAAGTCACAGGTGCTGGGAAGGGCAAAGGGAGGGCTCTTGGCTCGAGCGGGAATCGGACGACTGGCGCTGGTGTGCTGTCATGAGGCGCAATCAATTTGATGGGTGTAACCTCGTTCCTGCATCTCGACGGCTCCACACCTTAATTCATGTGCGGCACGGCCAGATCGCTCCATCGCTCCATCGCTCCAGATCCCATGCCCAAAACGAGCCGTCGCTTTTTTCTTGCTTGGTTGCCCGTTTGAGCCTCCAGAGCCGGGAGCCAGTCGTCTGGTCTGGACTGCATGTTCTCTGTGTCTGAAAAAACTTCTTCGTCTACAGACTGCTCTGAGTCATCGCGTGCCAAGAAGGCAGTTGAGCACTCAGCTATCCAGGTAGGTAGGTAAGTGGGTATGTAGATGGCCAGCATGGCTGCCGCTGGCGTCCATCGCCTGCGCGCCTCGCAAAGGCGGGTGGCTGTTTTACACAGAAACACGCCAGCGCGGCGGATGCGCGCGGCAAGTCACGCCCTGTCTTGCCCAGTCGGCTCGACTCCAAAACTGCGCATGCCTGGGTAAGATGAGATGGCGCTATCAAATACAACGTGTGGGGGCGTCTTTGATAGGCAACCCGACCCAACTTTGGGCGGCGACAGCGATAGCTCAGCAAAAAGGGGTTGCTCTGTCGGCAGCTGCAAAAATACAGAAATAGACTCGTGCCAGCGAATGGACCATCGTCAACATGGGACGACGAACAGGGTGGTGGGACCGTGGAGTTGTTTGCTGCGGTTCGGCCTGGGGTGGTAGTTGCATGATGATTTGCTGAGCGATCGTCCCCCAGGCATGACCAAAAGGGGGCACCCACGCAGACGCACGCTCCCCTGACATTGATCTCCACACGCCCCCGTCCCCTGGCGGTAAGCCACTTCGTCTGTGTGTGGTTCCCGCACGGGGAAAAAGACAAAAGAGGAAAGCAAGGAGACAAAAAGGAAACATTCCATAGACGGGCCGGAAGCACTACCCAACGACCAGCAAAGTACCTCAAAATCGGCGCATATCGAGCAGGGATGGCAGAGGACCAAGATTTCCGGCCCACAGCTGCCGATGGTGGTGGTGGTGGTGGTGGTGGCATTCACCACCACTCTAACCCCCTGCCCCGCCGTGGCACGACGTCGACGGCCGCGGCGGGTGGTCCCCTCCCCTGTGCCGCCGGCGCTGCTGTTACCGGGAGTGGTGGTGGTATAAGACGAGACGACTCGTCGCCTCCTCCCTGCCGTGCCGCGCCCTCTTCTTCCCTCTCCCCCTCAGCGCCCGCGCTGCCAACCGACTTTTCCTCTCGCCGTCGTTCCCGTTCCCGTTCGCTTCCTTCTTCTTGTCCGTCTTCATCCCCTTCGACCCGACCGAGGCCCAGTCGCCATCGCCCTCGAGGTCTTTACCGTTCGTTCGTCCGCCGATTCTTGGACTGGTTCTACGCAGACGCTCTTTTCTGGCTTCCCGCTTTCACCCTTGACCATTCCGATTCTGTTACACCTTTCTCGTCCCAGGGGGCCGACCACAACCGCAGCTACTCTCCTATTCCGTCATCTGTAAGTATTGTGATATTCCGTGTGCTCAGGGGCTTTCCTACTCTTGCATTGTCTTTTACAATTGTTCCCGTTTCTCTCTTTTGTCTTGTATGTGGGGTATGATGCAATGGGCAAGGAGGCGGGAGGGTAGGGGGTGGGGTGCGTCGAGCAGAGCCGCCGTGACTGGGCTTTGTCCACCTACAGCAGAGCCCCAAGGCCATTCACTCTCTCCTCAGACCTCACTCACCCGCTCTGCCCGCCGTTCATCCAACACGACTGTCCTTTCACACTGTGCCTGTCAATGGGACTGAGGGCCTATTGTGTGCGGGGTGACGAAAGGGCTGCCGCCTTGCCTGCCACGGCGCGTCACACACACAACCCTCCCACGCCCGTTTTTATATCGCCCCTCCTCGGCTTGTGTTTGTTTTCCTCCTCCTCGTCCCCCTCCTCATACTTCCACGACGCACAAAACTTTCGCGCTGGTTTTTATCCTTCCACCATCGAACCCGTCCGAGACGTTGTTCTCACTCCCCATCTTCTTTTTACCAAAGCATCTGCAAGCACTGCCTTCATCTCTCTCCCGCATTCTCGTCCCAAGTGGACGCGGATTTGAATTCCCGCAGCACACACCTTTTCACTTTCTTCTCATCACGACCAAGAGACGCGTCACTCCCAATCACTGCTAACCCGCCTGGCGACGCAAGCTTTCTCAAAACCAAAGCTCCTTTGCACCATCACCATCATCAGCCTTTCAGGAACCAAACAGAAAAAGCACCGCTCCCGCTCGGATTAGCTGGTTCTTCGTCATCATGGGTCTCGGAGCCACTCTCCTGACCTCTTTCGTCCTGGCCTCGCGCCTGCTGAGCCCTGCTCTGGCTGCGCCCGCGCCTCAGGCCATCCCCTCGGCGCCCGCCGATCCCGCCGCGCCCGCTGCGCCCGCGGCCCCTGCTCCGGCCAGCGGCTGGTGGTACGACAAGGCCCAGCGCCAGGCCGTCGCCGCCTTTGGCCAGCCGGACTACAAGGTCTTCCGCAATGTCAAGGAATATGGTGCCAGGGGCGACGGTACGACTGACGATACCGAAGCCATCAACAAGGCCATCGCTGATGGCGCCCGCTGTGGTCAGGGCTGCAGCGGCAGCACCACCACCCCTGGTCTCATCTACATCCCCTCGGGCACTTACCTTGTCAGCAAGCCTATCGTCATGTTCTACTACACCCAGCTCATCGGTGATGCTTCGTCTCTGCCTGTCATCAAGGCCGCGCCCGGCTTCAAGGGCATGGCCGTGCTGGACTCGAACCCGTACGACGACAAGGGAAGCAACTTCTGGGTCAACCAGAACAACTTCTTCCGCCAGGTCCGCAACTTCGTCATTGACCTGACGGCCATGCCCGAGACGGCCGGCGCCGGCATCCACTGGCAGGTGTCGCAGGCCACGTCGCTGCAGAACATCCACTTCAAGATGATCGCGAGCGCCAACACCAAGCAGATCGGCGTCTTCCAGGACAACGGCAGCCCGCAGTCCATGAGCGACTTGACGTTCGAGGGCGGCGAGTACGGCTTCTTCGCCGGCGCCCAGCAGTTCACCGTGCGCAACATGACCTTCCGCAACTGCAAGACGGCCGTCTTCGCCAACTGGAACTGGCTCATCGCGCTGCAGGACATCACCATCGAGAACTGCGGCGTCGGCATCGACATGGCCAACGGCGACGGCTCGCAGACCGTCGGCTCCGTCATGCTCATGGACTCGGTCATCCGCAACACCCCGGTCGGCGTCCTGACCTCGTACAAGCAGGGCGCGGCCTCCACCAACGGCACTCTGATCCTCGACAACGTCGACATGACCACGGGCGTCGCCAACGCCGTCGCCGAGGGCACCGCGGGCAAGGTCCGCGGCACCATCCTGGCGGGCGGCTCCAATATTGCCTCATTCGTCCAGGGCCGCACCTACTCGCCGCAGTCTCCCGGCGTCGGCAAAATCCAGCAGGGCACCGACAAGGCCGTCGCCATCCCCGACGTGCTCAAGAACAAGGCCACCGGCAAGGTCTTTACGCGCTCCAAGCCCCAGTACCTCGACGTCCCCCTCGCCAACGTGGTCTCTGTCAAGTCCAAGGGTGCCAAGGGTGACGGCAAGACGGACGACACCCAGGCCATCCAGGCAATCTTTGACGCGGCCAAGCCCGAGCAGCTCATCTTTTTCGACCACGGCGCCTACATCATCACCGACACCGTCAAGGTGCCCAAGAACATCCGCATCGCCGGCGAGATCTGGCCCTACATCATGGCGTCGGGCCCCAACTTCCAGGACCAGACCAAGCCCCGGGCCGTGTTTCAGGTCGGTCAGCCCGGCGACGTCGGCTCCGTCGAGATGAGCGACCTCATGTTCGAGACCAAGGGCCCCGCAGCGGGCGCCGTCCTGATCGAGTGGAACGTCCGCGAGGAGAAGCAGGGCTCGGCGGCCATGTGGGACGTGCACGTGCGCATCGGCGGCTCGGCCGGCACGGAGCTCGACTACGACAAGTGCAAGAAGGCGCCCAACGACCCGGCCCAGACCAAGAAGACCGAGACCGAGTGCCTGGGCGCGTTCCTGATGCTGCACGTCACGGAGCAGGCGTCGGCCTACATCGAGAACTGCTGGTACTGGGTCGCCGACCACCACCTCGAGCCCTTCCCGGCCAACCACCCGGACCCGTCGCAGCAGATCAACGTCTTCAGCGGCCGCGGCGTGCTCGTCGAGTCCCAGAAGGGCCCCGTCTGGATGTGGGGCACGGCCTCGGAGCACAGCGTGCTGTACAACTACCAGACGGCCAACGCCAGCAACGTCTACATGTCGTCCATCCAGACCGAGACCCCCTACTTCCAGGGCTTGCCCGAGGCCAACACGCCCTTTGCCGTCAACGCGAACTTTGCCGACCCGGACTTTGACGCCTTCTGCGCCGCCAGCGGCGGCGGCAAGGCCTGCCGCCGCTCGTGGGGCCTGCGCGTCGTCGACTCCAAGGACGTCTACGTCTACGGCGCCGGACTGTACAGCTTCTTCGAGAACTACGGCCAGTCGTGCCTCAAGGACCAGAGCTGCCAGGAGCACATGGTGTCGCTCGAGCGCTCCCCCTCGACCCACATCGTCGGCCTCAGCACAAAGGCCGCCACAAACATGCTCACCGTTGACGGCAAGAGCGCCGCGCTCGACAAGGACAACCGCAACAATTTCTGCGCCACCCTCGCCCTCTTCTCGTCCCCGGCTGCTTAGGAGCAGGCCGGCGGCGACGACGATGACGACAGCCGCGGCAGTGATGATGGCAAGGCGACTGGAAGCGGCACCGTGTCTGCTTCAACCGGAGCCACTTCTGCTGCCACTGGAACCATGTCCACCGGCGGAGTCACTTCTTCCATTCTCCCTGTCGCGACCAGCGCTGCCTCGACCGAGGCTACTTCTGCTACCATTCCTGTGGGCACAGGCGCTTTCTCGACTACGGTCACTTCTGTCCCCCAGCCTGTTAGCACCGGCTCTGTCTCGACTGGAGTCGCTTCTGCTTCTCAGTCTGTCGGCACCGGCATCGGCTCCGTCTCGACTGGAGTCGCTACCGCTACTCGGCGCATTGTCACACAGACCGTCACGACCACGGTCATTGCTGCTCCGACCCCGACTGCTGGCACCAGCGGCTCTGGCTGTAGCGCGACTCTTCATCGCAAGCACTGAGCGTTCTCTTCTTCTTCCTGCATTTTGATGATATCCCATGGTGCATCAGTCACGAAGCAACTTTTTCTCCTTTTTATGCAAACTTACTCATAACCCATTGTTGGAGTGGCCACTCTTGTACATAGAACCCCGTTCAGGTTCTTGGGTGGCCGCCTCCAAATGTTTTCATAGTGTCTTTTCTTTAAACCTTCACTTCTTCTGAGGAGTCCCAGCGGCTCCTCACCTCTTTTTAACACCACTTTCTTCACTTCTGGGACAGGGCCTCAAAAGAAGGCACCTGAGGGTTTTTACGGCGCAAGTGGGAGGCATTACGGGAAATACCGGTAGATAGCAAACCAAAAGCATTACGGGGTTTCACGCACCTGGTATTGAACAAATAGTGCAGACGCAGACGAGTCATGGTGACATGTGATTCTTGGGTGAAAGTGGCCACCAATTCAGGCTTGAGTGGCGCAGCAGGGACAAAGCCACGGCGTGCCTGACTTCTGACTGGCGACTCCACCGTATTGGCCGTGACGGCTGCCCCTGCAATGAGAATTGACAACGTCATCGGTTCGACCTGCCAATTGTCATGCGGGCGGATCTGATGCCACGGCGGAAACTCAATCAACAGTCGCAACGCCATGCCGACCGGCCATTCCGGCTCCCTTGATTGCCTCCAGATCAGGACACGTAGGGTGCCACGGCCTTTGTCAAGTCTGTGAAATTATCGAAACTCTTGTTATTTCCACCGGGTACTTGTGTTCTAAGACAGTCAACCTCGACAGCCACCTCAAAGCCGAAAGAAAGCGCGTCATTGAAAAAAACCTAACCATGGCCGACGACCCCCAGACGCCAGCCAGCAAACAACGCCCTTCCAAGATGGCAGCCTCGACTACCTCGCCCCCCTCCTCCTCATCACCATCCTCCTCCTCCTCCGCCGCCCAGCAGCGCAACCCGCCGCACCTCCCGACCCCCGTCGAGACCGCCGTGCTGGCGCTGTACCCGGCGCTCCTCGTCTTCGGCTCCGTCTTCGCGCTCGTGTCGCCGCAGGTGCGGGCGGCCGCATACGACGCGGGCGCGCAGTCGCTGCGCGCCGCCGACGCCCCGTCGTACTTTGCGCGCAAGGACAACCTCGTCAACGTGCTCTTCGTCAAGCGCGGCTGGGCCTGGGTGTCGGCCGCCTTTGCCGCCTTTGTGCTGACGCACCCCCACCACACCAAAAACACGACAACCGGCAGAGGAGGGGGGCAACAAGGCGGCAGCAGCAGCAGGCGCCTTCGCGCCGTACTGAGGTGGGCCCTCGTCACAGGCTGGTGGGTGTTGGTGACGCAGTGGTGCTTCGGCCCGCCGCTGATCGACCGCGGGTTCAGGTACACGGGCGGAAAGTGCGAGGAGGCCGAGCAAAAGGTGCGCGGCGCCGACAACTACGCCGCGTCGCCCGTCGACATCTTCAGCGCTGCCGCATGCCGCACCGCGGGCGGGCGCTGGCGTGGCGGCCACGACATCAGCGGCCACGTGTTCCTGCTCGTCCTCGGCAGCTTCTTCCTGCTGCAGGAGGCCGGCTGGGTCGCCGTGCGCGCGTGGGAGGGGGCTAGCGGCGGCGGCGGGAGGAGGGATTCGCGTGCCGTCGTCATGCCTGACGGGGCCGTCAAGGGCGTCGACGTGGAGGCGGATGGGAGGAGGGAGGATCCTTCTGAGCTGGGGTTTGGTGGCAGGTTCGTGGCTGGAGTTGTCGGGTTGTCCATGTGGATGCTCCTTATGACGGCCATCTACTTTCACACCTGGTTTGAGAAGGTAAGCGGTGAAATTGGACCCCTTTTACATCACGTGGTGTATGCGTCCGCTAACTAGGATTATGTGGTAACAGCTGACGGGCCTCCTGGTGGCGCTGATCGGCCTCTATGGTGTCTACATTCTCCCAAGATCGGTTCCTGCACTGCGCAAGGTGATTGGGCTACCAGGGATATAGTCGAGCTCGCTCGGGCTGGGCTGGGCTGGGGCGTACGGCATAGAGGATAGAGGTTATGGTTTCTTAACAACTGTTAATAGTAATCGATGCGTTGCCTGTCCAAGCTTCTTTTGCTTTGCAGCAGGGACTTGTAACATAAACTACATCAAATACAGTAGCTCGCCGTTCGGATGGCCTGGTTTTCCATTTCTCCTGCCTGTTTCCGTAGCCCGTTCTGGAGACAGCCCACGGCTTAGTCATCCAAACCCGCGTCTTGCACTTCGTTGATGCGAACCGCGTCGCTACGGCTAACGTCTTCACTTGGGAACAAACCACACAGACAACCTAATATGACGCGAATAAGGGCGCCGGCCAACCTGCCGGAACTGGTGAAGAACACCTTTAACAAGGCCAAGAGCAACGGCGATGTAAACTTTTACCCCACGCAGGCCACGGTCCTCCATGTCAACTCCATCCCTGTAAGTTGCGCTATCCCCCCTCCACCCACCGACGCTGACGATCTCTTCCCCAGTTCCAACTCCGCTTCTCCCCAGCGCTAGCCTCCAAGCCCAAGCCCCCAAAGCCCGCCCCATCGAACGCCCCCGGCACCAAGCAGCCGCCGCCGTTCAACCCCTTCGCCGACCCGTCGCCGGCCCTCCTCGTCGCCCGACTCGACCCGCCGTCGCACGTTCTGGTGCTCAACAAGTTCGCCGTCGTGCCCGAGCACTTCATCCTCGCCACCGCCTCCTTCGAGCCCCAGGCCCACCTCCTGTCCGCCGCCGACCTGGCCGCGGCGCGCGCGTGCGTCGACGCGTACCACGACGCTTCCTCCGCCGACGGCGGCGGCGGCAGCCTGTTCGTCTTCTTCAACAGCGGTCCGCACAGCGGCGCCAGCCAGCCCCACCGCCACCTGCAGCTGCTCCCCGTCGACCGCATGCGCGACGGCCTGCCGCCCGGGTCGGGCTGGCGGGTCCTGGCCGACGCGCTGCTGCCTGACGACGGAGACGGCGACAACGACGGGGCGCAAGGGGGGGACGACGACTCGCTGCTGCTGCTGCCGTTCCGCTGCTTCGCCGAGCGGCTCGACGGCGCCGGCGGGGGCGGGAGCAGCGGCGAGGCGCTGCGCGCGGCGTACCTGCGGCTGTACCGGCGGGCATGCGAGGAGGTGCTCGGGACGACGGCAGAGGAGGAGGAGGAGGGGGAGGCGCGCATCAGCTACAACCTCGCCATGACCAGGGACGTCATGGCGCTGTGTCCGCGGCGGGCCGAGGGTGGGCCGGTCGTGGCTGGGGACGGTGGAGAGGAGGTGGGCAGGCTGGCGCTCAACGGGACCGTGCTGGCCGGCACGGCGCTCGTCAAGTCGCAGGCCGAGTGGGACGCGCTGAGGGCGGACCCGGGGCAGCTGGTGCGGGTGCTGGCCAGGATATGACTTTTTGATCCCGCGCTGCTGCCTGTCTAATCTCTCGCTCTACGCTGGTATCATTGGTCTTGGTTGTGTTCCTAGGTAGTATCTAGGTCACTTCAAGTGAAAGGAAGGAGGCAACATTATTTTCCTCGCCCTGGTGCATCGCTGGTGCTCATAGCTACGCACTCACAGTATGCATGATGACAACAAACGAACATGGTAAGCTACTACGGTACAGAAAACCTTTCCGGTGTTGCGGTTGCGCACGAGACCTATCCCCATCTATTCCGGGTATCTTCCCCCGTGTATCCTATGCCCCCTTCCCAGACGCCATCACACCCATCGACATTCTTTTTTTGCCTATTTTTCTCAGTCCCCCATTCTCGCCATCACCGGGAACGTTGATTGCGGCCGCCTCCCTGCTTCTTCTGGTCTGTCGAGGATCCGCGCGCCTTGGAGATGGCGACCAGCTCGTCCCAGCGCTTGTGGCAGGCCTGCGGGCCGAACTCGTGCGTGCCGCCGCTCCTCTTGATGTACGGGCCGACCTTGGCCCAGGGGATCAAGGCCCTGTCTCTCTTGTGATCCTTCATCATTTCCATTACGATTCGCTCGAGGAGTTTGTCCTGTTCCCAACATGTTGTCTTTTTGTCAGCTAGATCACACAAATGACAGAGACGGGTATACCGAGGGCAACGAAACTCACGTCTACGGTGGTCCACTCGGGCACCCTCGGCCGCTCCTCGGGCCGCTTGACCAGGGACCGGTGCCGCGTCCGCAGCGTCGCCTCCTCCACCTCAAAGTTCCCGTTGGCGAGTATGGTCTTGTACGGCACCCCCTGCCGCCGCATCCGCACCAGGAACTCGTCCTGGGCGCGCTTGCTCGCCCCGGCCGGGAGAACCTGATTGCCGGCGGCGGCGGTCGCGACGTCGTCGTCGTCGGCGCTATCGGGCGGCGTGTCCGGGTCGCGCCGCCGCCGCGTGGTTCGGCGCTGCGGGGTACCCTGGGCGCCTTCCGCAGGTGCTGCTGTCGTCGTCGGTAGCGGTGTTGCCGCCACAGGGATAAAAGGGGGCGGCGGGGCTGCTGCCATCACCGTCGTATTTGGACCCTCCTCCCTCTGCTGCTGCTGCGGGTACGGCGACGCACTCGGCATCGCCTGTATCGGCTGTATCTCCCAGGCGCCCTGGTAGTGCTGCTGGGCGTGGCTGTCGACGACGCCGACGCCGACGCCGCTCCGTCGCTTGGGCTTGTTTCCGGCCGCCGCGTCCTGCCGCGGCAGCGAGGTCCTCCTGCCAGCCGTGGCGCCGCCGGCGCCGGGGCGCAGGTCGGGGATCGCCGACCCCCTGCGCCCCGTGGGTTCCTCTGCCAGCAGCTCCTTGCGTTTCTGGTGGCCCCTGCTGGGCTTCTTTTGTTTGGCCGGCGAGGACGAGGTCCCGCCGCTGGTCGGTCGTCTGGTCTCGTCAACGGTGCTTTTGATGTTGCTGCTGCCCACAGCATCTCCGCCTTCACCCATGATCTGGTAGAAGAGGTCGTTGTGCATCTCAAGAAGCGCGGGATCGGGCTGGTAGGCGGCGGGCTGCTGCTGCGGCGGCCACTCGGACATGGGCAGCGAGGGGGACGCGCGGTCGAGGTACAGCTTCGAGGGGTCGGCCTGGGCGTCCAGGACGAAGGGGCCGTCACCGTCATGGGCGCCGCCGCCGAAGAGGTTGGCGCGGAAGGGCTCGTCGGGCGCCACCGGCGGCGGGAACCGGATGTCCTTGGGCGAGACGGTCGCTGCCGCCGTCTGGCTGCCGGCCGCGGCCCTGGAGTACCAAATATCCGTCGGGAGCCCGTCGTACATGGGCATCTGGTGGTGGTGGGGAAACATGACGCCGTCCGCGAGCTGCGTGCCGTCTACCGGCCACTGGCCCCGCGATGGCGGCGGGGTGGTCGGCCAGCAGATCTGGGGGAAGGCCTGCTCTTTGCCGGCGGCGTCGAGCTGTTGGTGATGGTTCTGCGCCGTCTCGGACTTGAAGGAAGGGAGGCCCTGGGCGGGGAGGATGTCGAACGGGTTGTGTCCTGGGAGGTGCTCGGGGCTGGAAGGTGAGGAGTTGCAGCCCCCGCCAGCGCCAGTGTCGCTGCGTCCGCCACGACGTGCCATGGTCAGGTTTCCGGATGCAGGGAAGGCTATCCCCGGCTCCAGCGGCTGTGCTATGTGGTGGACCAGGTGTGATGACTGGGCGGGGCGGCTGGTGTGATGGCCCTGGCCCTGTGGCTGGCTGGGTTGATAGTACAGCTGCGGCTGGTAGCCTCCGGCTGCGAAGGCTGCTGATGGGTCGGCGGGCAATGGCTGTTGCTGCCCTTGCTGTGACTGCTGCGCGTGTTGATGCTGGTACGGGAAGAGCGTGGCGGCCAGGCCAGGCTGGTATGTTATAGGCTGTTGGCCAAAGTGATGCTCCTGTGCCTGGGCCTGGCCGACCTGCATGGCCCAACCATGATGCGATGTGAAGAAGGCGCCCGCCGTCTGATTATCAAATACACCCGCATCATGTTGGGACGCCAGCGAGCCGAAACTAGCGGTGGCAGCAACAGACGACGACGGCGACGCTGAGACCACCCCTCCTGCTCCTCCATGGCCGTGGCTACCCCTGACAAAGACGTTGGGTTGCAAGGAGGGGTCAACGTCGCCATGTGGCATGTACGCTCCCGCGCCGTCGCCCGACAGCCCCAGCGACGCACCGTTCACCGCTACGCCGGCCGCCGGCCAGTCTAGCTGGTGCTGCTGGTACTGCTGCCATGGGTGCCCTGCTGGGAGGGGCGCTGCCGCGAGCGAGAACGTCCCGGCGGTCTGGCCCAGGACGGAGGGGTGCTCATGGCCAGCTGCTGCTGTCAGGTGTGGCCCCTGCTGCTGCAGCGGGTCATGGCTGTGACATGGGTCTTGATCCTGGCCCTGCTGGTGCGGCTGCTGCTCGTCATCTTCTTGTTCCCACTCAGGTCTGGCTGTGGTGGGGGCCAATGAGGTGCTGTTGGTGGTGGAAAGGGCGTTTGTCGGCTGCGTGTCAAGAAACTGTAGCCCGCCGGTGGCGTGGGGGCCTAGGCTGCGCTGATCGGGCTGTATGGATCACAGGCAAAAAGAAATAAGAGCAAGTCAGACAGGCATAGTCTCGGAGCACGGGGTGCGGCCTTGGTGTGTGATACTGTGACTTTTGGGCAGGGCGGCAGGAGATGTGCGCCATGCATTATGCTGCAAGGAGAGGGGAAGGGATATATCGGAACTGATGGAGGCCCAACATGGGTGTGGATGTTGGCAAGCTCATGGCGGCCAGGGCCTGGTGGAGATGTGACGGCTCTGAACCGTGGCTGGGCTGAGGAAGGGCAGAAAAAAGCAAGCTAAGAACTGGGACTGTGCGTACCGTGCTGAGGATGTCTGCAACAAACGAAGAGTGCCCGCCGTCGACCTCTCCTCCCTGGTATTCCACAACGGACGGATGGATTTCTTCAGATGCCGACGCCATTGTTTGGTTGTCTTGACGTTTGCCAGCTTGTGAGGTTGAGGTTGGGCTACGCCTCTTGCTCTTGGTGTTGGTGTTTTCTCCCGTTCTTCTTCTGCGGATAGATTTTGCCAGTTGTTGCTGCCTGTCGGCGTGGGTCCGTCTCCGCTGTTGCCAGTGGTCGCTGGTGCTGTCGAGAGAGTGGGCGGCAGGCTGAGGGCCGTCTGAGGGCCGGCTTTGTGTCTGATGCCGAGCTGGAGGAATCCCCTGGCTTCTCCAAGGTGGGTGGAAAGACGAGCTATGCGCGACAGCGACACCATCAATGTGTGCATGTATATACGACAACCTGCCTGCATCCTGCCAGCCCTCCGCAACACCGCTCTTGCCCTCGGCCATTTCTTCCTCCTCATCCCTCCGCCTTTTCTGAACCCTCCTCCTTCCCATGTCATCGGAGTCGGCCCTGCGTGGGGGCGCCGGGGCTGCAGGCTGGCCCAGGCTCGTCGGCTTCTCGACCTTCTCAGTGTATCACGCTGCCGTCAACAACTGCCTGTGCCCCGGACGGTGAAGCCAGACTGTTGCACAACACCTCCAACCCTCTCCCCTCCTGGCGGGCCACGGGGGATAGCTGTCCTACTGACCTGGCACATGGCCCAATGGAGCGTTGGGTCGTTGTCAAGAGTCAATCGTGTCACCACGCCCCTGAGGGAGTCAGAGGGCGTCCTGGGGCTGTTGGAGAAGTCTTGACGGATAGGCGCGTTCGGAGAAAGGCGAGTCTAAAGAGCGGTGAGAGAGCCGGCACTGAACCGCTGGCTTTCCAGACACGGCGCGGGATGCCGCCGATAGTTCTCGAAGGACCCGGCGCGATGGGCACAGACGGGGTGCAGCGGGGTCGGTTGGCTTGATTTGCGCTGTACTCTATCCATCCTCAAGGCTCGATGGGCCAGTCAGTCCATCTGGCACTGTTGGGTGCTCCGTCAGGGGCTCCCGTCCTTGCGGTCAGGCCCGAGCATGCCAGCACCCGGCCCTTGACGCAGGTCTGCGGGGATATGGGCAACGGCATGGCTGGACTGCGTCCTCCTCCCCCTGCCTGGTGGCCTTCTGAGCCTTTGGGGGGCGATGATCTTGGAGGACGACGAGATGAAGGGGCAGAATCGCGAGAAGGCCTCTCATGGTGCTGGAACTTACGTGGCAGTGGGAGAAGCACCTCTTGGTTGGGGCGTTGTCCGTTTGCTCAGAGACTCAAGGTATCTAGGGAATATGACAAACGGCGTAGGGAGTTCTCTTGTCTCGTAAAAGGAAAAGCGATACGACTCCAAACAAGGCTTGTGGATATGCTTGATCGATGCCCAACTACTGCGAGCGAACGAGCTGGTTTTGACAAAGAGGAGTTGAGTTTTGACGGGTAGGCCAACTCTTGAAATAAGGGGACGATAGTCATTCCGTGATGACCCTCCGACAAGATACATGCTTCCGCTTGATGAAATGCTTCGTATTGCGGCTACGTCCTGAGATCATCTCGGATGGTCCTCCTTTTCCCGCGCGGGCTTGTTGGCGAGGACTAGTTGGATCCAAAACGCGAGCTTTGCGATTTCTACCCGGCCACCGGGAGCACCCCTCCTGCCGACCTAGCCTGCCAATCTTGCTGGTCTCGCGGGATCCCTTCCGGGCCGATCAGATCTCAACCAAGCAGCCGACGCGGAAGTGGACCGGGATATGGCTCGCAGTCCAGGGGAGACATTTGATCAGGGTTAGGTCAAGATAGTTCCCGGCGCGCCCGGCTTCCCTCGTTTGGTGGCGTGCGGTGGCGTTTGCAGCATCTCAGCCAGAACTCGCAGACTGGAGTGTTTTCTACCGAGGCCCGGCTACGACACACGACGGATTACAAATCCTCATAGCATCTTAACCGAATCCCTTTCTCGCAACGGAGAAAAACAGGTCGCCGTCATATGCGAAAGTTGATTCCTCACATCCAACATCACAGCGAGCGTTGTTTGGGGAAGATCAGAAGTGGGTCTGCAACCCCACGGAGGCTGATCCGGCCCAACAGCAAACGTTGGGCGGCGCCACGGAGGTGCAGAGGAAGGCGCTTGGGCGTCTTGGGTTGCTGGAGTGGCTGGATGGCTTCCGTTATTTTCCCACACGCCTCCTCTCCGGTACTTGTGAGAACTGAGATCTGACCACCCCTGGTCAGCCTGGCCCTGTGTCCACTTCCGCCCACGGCTGCTCGCAGTCAGCTGGCCTCCCGGACTTGCCCTTCTTTTTCCTCCCTGCCCGCAATCTGCCTTTCTTTGGAGATCTTGGAGGTTTTTTGGATCGTCTTTATAGCACAAGGCGCTGTAGTCACATGTGCTATCGCCAATCCATGTAATTGGAGTGACGTTACTTGATGGTTGACACTTCACAAACCCGACGTGCAGACATATCTCCCCCCCAGCTCACCAGGTCGCTTTGCAACCACCAGCGCTCAGATCGGGCGTGGCCCCTAGCAAATTGCTAAAGACTTGTCTCCCACGTGATGGCGACTTCCAGATGCGCCCGCGAGGCAGAGATGCGGCAAGGCAATTTTCCAGATCACCGAAAGAATGATGTTGCCATGTAATAAAAGAAAGGAGACGGGATACCTAGACTTTAGGCGCTAGAGAGCAAAGGGATAGATAGGCATGTCACATGTCGATATTTTCGTGATGGCGGACGACCAGGGGCTCCCTTTGTCGACCGTTGCCTTGATAACTACCTACCTGACAGGCAAACTTGCCTGTCGATCCCACTTGAAAAAAACTGCAAACTTGTGTTTTTCTCTGACAGGTACGATAATAAGGTGTGTAGGTGTTTTCTATTTGCTGTCCATTGTTTTGTGTTTGCCCATTTGAGGAAGACGCCCATGGGTGCCATCTCAATGGTCCATGTTTGTTTGCTTTTACGACCCATGGCCAGCCATTCCAGCATGTCGAGGGGGATTTCGACGGGCAAGCAATCCATCCTTATCCGTATCAATCGGCCTTTTTGCCACGCCGGAAAACACTCGCAGATGCTCCTGGGCAAGGCTGCGCTGCCGCTTCAAGCATCAAGACCGAAATGATCCATCAGGGCTCGACGGAAGGGTGGCGGGGTTTTGCCATACACATGTCCCTATTGAGCGGAAGCTCCTTCATAAACGGAATTAATGGCATACATAGAAGAGCAGTAGGAAGGCATGCATTGGGAGAGCCGACGCAAGGCCAGCCGGCTAGGTATCCCCTGGTGACGAATTTCCCCATGACGGGTTTCGCGCTGGGAAGCGAACCCGCCAACGACCGTCGCCACTACCCAAACTGAAGGTGCTCGAGCTAATGGAAAAGCTGACCTGTCATGTTTCTGCTTGATGGCCAGCACCCGTCGGCTCTGGCACGCAGCAGCGAGACCAAAGACTGGAAAATGAGAGGCCGCCATGTCCCAGACTCGCCATCTCCATCGATCTGATTCCAGATCCGAGACCACCGGAAGCCCACCAACTTCCCACTGCCTTCCGTCTTTCAAAACAACGACCTTTCCACACGGGAGACAGAAGGGCCAGACCACGTCTCCCCGACACACAGACAGTGTGGGCGGCTGAGGCTGAACTAGCATTTCCCCCCTTGGGTACCCTCCTTCCGATGAAATGCAGACCCAGACGAGCCAGCCTGGTGGCACGCCAAGAGAGGGGGAGCTGCAAAGATCCTCGGCGGCACGTCATCCCCCGAAGATAACGGGGTGCGAGAAAGGGCTGCGGCACCACGAGCAGCCAGTCACAAGTAGCGGCCGTGGCGTGTGCGGCTGCTGGCCGACGCCTGTCACTGCCTGGCAGACCCAGCGCGCTGGATTTGTGGCAGCACCGGTGCCGCTTCCCCCCTACTCGCTGTCCCCTTCACCGCCTGCAAGAGGTGCGTCTGTTGTGTCCTACCTCCCACTTGCGGCCTTCGTGCCCGAGCCCGACAAGGTCAACAGGACGTCTCGTCGGCACTCCTGTCGCCAAGTTGACCTCCCAGGCGCGCCACATGTTACGGCAAGCACGCGGAGCGATGCTGTACAGCGGAGAGCTACAGCTGCCCCATGTGCCGACACTCCTCTGCCGTTAGGAGGGCGTGGAGTTGGCGGGCTATCCGCACCCCAGGAAGCCTTGCACCACGTACCTGCGACTAAGGATACTCTTGTCCAACCCCTTTTAGTCAACAGGCACGTCTTGCTCTGTGGCCCCTATGGCCACGGAAGCGAGGAAACGCCAGATTCTACCGGCATCTTGGGTGCCATCTCGCTGGCCAAAGGTGCTAAAGCACATAGATAGGATGGCTTTTCCGTGCGATAGTCGCATTAACCACGTACCAATTAAAAGATTAAATAAAACCAAAAGGTAGCATTTGCCAATGGTTTTATCGTTGCGTGGCTTGCCAGATGGTAGGTTAAATGCGTGGGTGGGAAGGGCGAAAAAAGAAATGGCCAAGTGGTTTGCACGGGGACTCGAACCAAAAGCCAAAAAAATGTTGAGCTTCTCTTTGATTGAGCGTGTCATCCTTAGTGCAGGGGCCATGCTAATCTTCTCTGTATCGTTTCAAATTGACCAAATGCCCGAAGGCGAAGTCCTTCTGGTTGTACCAGGCTTATATGGGACGGACGTGCCATCCATCTAGCGGTCTGAACTGCCCGTTGCGCCAATGGCATCTGACCTCTGGCTCGTTTGCCACCCCGGCAACGCACAGTGTGCCTAGGCGCGAGCCATCCCACCATCGTTGTCGCCTTGGTCCGTGTCCATCCTCAGGCACCGGCCTCAGTCTGGCCTCAAGTGCATGCAATCCACTTCAGCATCACGCTCGCAACCTGGAGGCATCAGAGGCGCTGGAGCGCGGCAATATGTGTATCTTTTAGGCCCGGGTGGAGGTAATTCTAGCATTCTAAAAGACGTTGCACCGCCACGCCTGCTTCCGCGATATAGCGGCACATTTGCGCCCTTCTCTCCCATCGCCGACACCACCCTGCCTCCTCGCGCGCCTGTTCGCCTTGATCTCCCATCGATCCTCACCGCCATCTTTTGTCTCCAGGTGACAGGAAACTGCCTGCTCAAGCCTCCTGGATCCGCCCATTCACGACATGGGGGCTTCTCTAGACGCAAAGACCAAGACAGTCAGCCCCGCCATTCTTGGGATCGCAGGTATCCGTAGGGTCGTCGACGCAGATCTTGTTCTCGTCCTCGCATGGTTTTCCGACGAAGCCCATGCAGGGGATTGGCTCGACGCAAATGCCAGGCATGTCGCAGGCCATTCCGCAGCCCGGCTTCCTTGGGTCGTCGATGCATATATGTCCCTAAATGCCTCCGGTCCATGGGCGTTAGCTAGCTAGACTCCCTTTGTCGGGCCTAACGTGGACGTGATGCTGCCGCCAGGGCCGCATCATGGCACCTATCTAGGCACGTGCTGCTCTGACGGACCTTGGGGCAGGGCTTGGGGTCGACGACAAAGCCACCGCAAGCTTGGTAGGTAGGCTGTGGGCAGGGCGCAGAGCTTTTGCTTCCAGGTAGACCCAGCACTGGCGACACTGCGATGGCGCAAAGGGCGATGGATTTGATGAAAGCCATATTTCTGCGGAGCTGGCTTGGGGTCTGATGGCTGGGTTCCAGGCGATGTGGTCTGTTTTGTCCTATCCACGGGGTATTCTCAGGTAATGATTGGAATATTTGAGATGGTGGGATCGTGAAAAACCGATGCAGACGATGTCCGAAGACTCTTGCTCGTTTTATGCTTCAGTCCGCTCCTACTTCAGCTGCTGAGCTTCACTTCCCATGATTTTAGGCGAGAGAGAGCGGCTGTATTTCTCCGAGAGCTGAAACCACAACGTCCGCGTGGCGTTTTCGAACATCGTGTTTGTCACTCCCCGCCTAGCACCCGCGTATCAGGAAGGAGCAACGCGGGCACTGAGCCGGAAGCTGCGTCATTGCAATTCCAGTCCCCAAAATATGAATGGAAGGGCCGAATACATGATGGCAGGCCTACGTCAGCAGTTTTAGCCAACTGACCAACATCAATGGAATTCTGTCACACGGGGATTGAGCCGGTGCCGATTGAGGGCCGTTAGGACGGCCAACAGGACGAATCACAAGGACCTCGCATGTACTACGCGCCCGGTCGAGAGGGGTAGCTCCCCTCGCCGGGACACGTACCCGGTCATACCCCTCTCTCTCTCGGTCTCTTAGACGGCCTATATAAAAGAGGCCCTTCGCTCAAGGAGCTCCTGGGAGATTTTGCTTCCTTAAGCATCTCCTAGAGGCTTTGAGAAATTATCAATACATTGAGCACTCTCCAAGCCGGTCATTGATCCCTTTGTAACAAATAATTTTTCATCTTTCCGGGATTGCCTTGACAGTACCTATACCTTTGTTAGGAAGGGGCGCCATTAATCCAAACTATTCCTAAGCACCCACTTGCCTCCATGGGCTCGATTCCCCTTTTTATCGCGCAGATTTTTGACAGCGTTGCCGCGATTATACGCTTTTGGGCAGATGATTAAACCGGCAAGCCGAAATTTGCCCCTGTGGACGAAGAGAGTCTTATCGGGTTAAGTGTTTCCCCTTTTCGTTGCTAGCATTGTACCCGCCCTGCGCTTAAAGGATCGCGGTTTTGCACTTATTATTTTACAAAGACCGAGCGCGACCAACAGTCCCGCTAAAAGACCGACTTTAGCGTCGGTCACCGTTACAACGGACCCCAACAAGCCCTTGCAATCGGTTACCCCGCAGCCGCCTGCTTTTGTTAATAGGCCAATCGATAAGTCCCCTAACCCGTTCGTTGTTTTAGGCAGAAAACCCACCTTTGCCTTTAAAAGGCTACGAGCGCCCTCCGGGTTAATTAACCCGCACCAGGTAACCTTACCAATAGCCACAGGATTTGCAATTATCGGTGAAAATCGCTTCGTACGAGTCGAAAGGCAGCAAAAAGACCTTCGACAAAATTTGACGGCTCGAGTTAACGTCCTGACCGAAGATTTTAACCACGCACGCAACTTTACACGTTCCATCCTTACCCAAGCAAATTAACAATACGAGTCCACCTTACAGCTTTTCGAGGATAGCAAAACCGAGCGAACGATTTACGAGGGAGCTGTCGCGCAACGTATGGATACTATCGAAAAGCGCCTCCGTTACGAAGCAAGCCAAGCCTTTAATAACTTCGCCCAGCAGATCGAGTCCATACAAAGAAACCTTTCCGCCCTGTTACAACAAGTCCAAGCACGAGGAAAAACCACCAAAAAACAATTCGCTATCCTTCAAAAAAAACAAAGGGAAATTGTTAGGAAGATTCGGTTGTTCCTCGTTCGGCAGAAGCAAGAGCACGACCTTTTCAAACAAAAGCTTAATTAATTTTCGTTTTTGACCCACGCGGTAAAGGCCAATACCGAGGATACAAACCCCTTCGACGAGATTAGGGCACGCTGTAAGGACTTCCACAAAGAAATTATTAGCAATTTGGAACGGATCCAATAATAAAATAACGCTATCGCCGCCCTAAAGCATAGCCTTAACGTGGTAGCCGAGCTTTATTAGGATTACTTTAGGCAGATTTCCCGCATTATTTCGCCAAAACCTTTGCTTACGTACGACGAAAGTCGACGCGCTTCCATCGAACCCTTTTCGCTAGACGCAATTATGGCAGACGGCGAGCAAGCACCCAAGCCCCGGGGCCGGGCTTCCTTTCAGCCCCCCGAAAACATTCCAAAGGCTACCAACGGCAATAACGCGGCCTTTTCCGGGAACGATACGTTAGGACCTGCCATTAAACTACGAAGGCCCCGGTTATCCCACTCCCGCGCCCCTAATAAAAGTCGAACGAAGCAGGATACCCCCATGCTCGACCCAAATATTGGAGCCATCGTTTTGTATACGGCCCTAACTTTCGACGAGTTTTGGCAAAGCAACGGGGGAAAATAGCTTTTGCCCATCCCTTAAGGGATAAATTACCAGCCCCGGATCCTAGGGGACCCAGCATACTTTTAATAGATGAAGGAAATTTATGGTGGCCTTTAAACGCTTTACCAAGCAATGCTTGCCTTGCGCAATGGGGTACGGGACCCAACGTAGGTACCCGAGCTGGTGCAATTCCAAATGGCAAAGCTACGCCAGCAATACGACCTTACGCGTTAGAATTACATGACGGTTTTTTAAATCGTCCAAAACGGCCTAACCATTTTAAAAGACCAGGCACGCTTTTTTAAAAAAAGAATGATTAAAGGAAGCAACCAGTTTGCGGCTAAAGTTTGGGATGTTATCGCCAAAACCGCTAGCGACGCTTCCATTCGCGACCACGCTTACAAGGAAATGAAAAAGGCCCACGAAGCTTACCGGCAAGCAATCGAAAAAATGCATTACCGTTTCGCCCATACCATCGGGTCGGTCGAACAATGGGCCGGCCATACGGAGCATCGGGTGGCTAGCATTAAGCAAAGGCTGGACCATATAAAGGGGCAATAAAAGGCAATTAGTGCTTACCCCCTAACCACCCTGGAGCAGCAATAAGCTTTTGCCAAGGACATTATTGCTAAAGTTAATAAACGGTTGGCCAAAGGCAAACAGGTAAATACGGCTACCATCCTGTCCCGAGTAGCCTCCCGACAGGCGTTTCGCCAAGCCATTCCGGCTATGCAAGCCATGCCCCCAGTATTTGTCTCCTTCGCAAAGACGGCTCATTCCAAGTCCTCCGCCTTCCGATCCGACCCTACCATGACAAGGGCTAATACAGCCCCGAGCCTTGCTCCCTTTGCCTTAAAGCAAACCAGTTCCATGCACCGATAAGCGATGCGTGAGGACCTTGCGGGCCTTATGGCAACGATGCACCGGCAGGCCAGGGAGAGCTCGCACTTCCAAATGTTAGGAATGACCAGCGGAATCCCCCCGAGAGGAATATCCTCCTATTGACCACCGGCCCCACCGGGCAATAATCCTTCCTTTTCGGACTTAAACGGGGACGGGCCACGGCAGCCCCCAGGACTACCGCGTCGCCCCCGAACCAACTTATTACCCGCGGGGAGGGACCCTTCCCGGCGGCATGGCGCTATCTTTATAGTAAACCCCGTTTTACTTAAAGCCCCGCTTACCTTCGATGGCAAAAAGACGGATTTTAAGGATTGGTGGTACATGGTCCGGGCCTACATGAACGCCGTTCCCCAAACATTTATTGGCGACGACCATAAAATTTCCTGGGTTGGTTTTTATTTTAAAGGGGCAGCTTTAAAGGTCCACGTGGGAAAAGCCAGGATGCTAAAAGCACATGGCCTACCCAATACCTGGAACGTTTACGCGGGCTTTTTGGCCAAGCAATTCCGGGACCCCAATGAGGAACGAACAGACTTTATAAAGCTGGACGCCCTCGAGTACAAGGATAATATTACCGGGTTTTTTATGGAGCTAACTTAATTTAACGCTACCGTTAAGCTTACCGGGACGCGTTTTAAGGATTTCGTTAGAAAAAAGTTCCCAAGGGAAATAAGCCGCTTCGTTTTTGCCAATAAAGGACACATCCCCGACGTGGACGAGGAGTTCTTGGAGTTATTTTAATAAGCCGGCGTTATTTATAAGCTTATAATGGCCGATAAAAGCACCTTTTAAAAGCTTTAAACGGGGGACCGAAAACCTAAGGAAAAGGGAAAAAACGAGCCCGCTTCGACTTCGAAGCGCTCGAACGCGGGCCGTCCCCGCGACAAAAGCTCCAAGGCCCCCCACGGCCAATCCTTAAACTTCCGCACCGCAGCAAACAAAGGTCCAACTCCTATTTAAGCCCGCAAGGACAACATTTGGTCCACAACCAAGGCCGCCTTTAATGGCATTAACCAAAAAAATATTGATGCTAGGAAAAAGGAAGGCATTAATTGCTGGCGCTGCGGTAAAGATAATTACCATACCCGAAACTGTTTCGCCAAAAAAGATACCGAAGGGAAGGACCTCCTTCCGGCACCAGCGAAGACCGCGGCCGGAAGCAAGAGGCCCGCAATTAAGCTTCCGGACACGAAGGAGGAAGACCAAGAAAAGCCCGCCAAGAAAGTTAGAATTGCTGGCCTTGCTATATACGATCCTAAGCCTATTTACAATCGCTTTTTCGAAAAGATTGATACAAACTCCGACTGCTAAGGGTTAAGGGTTTCGATAATACTACCCAAAGGACAATGGGAAATAAATAACGTTACCCAAACCGCCATTTGTGCCTTCCTACAGGCGCGACTTACAGGCTCGTCCCGGGTAATTACGAAACCTATAATTAATATGGCTTTACGCATTAAAAGCCAGGAAGAAAGAACAGTTAGGGTTTTCTTAAATTGCGGCAGCGACAACGGTTACTTTATTTTTACCTAACTAGCCGCAAAATTACAGCCATACGTTGCCAAACGCACTATCCCGCGGGTTATGTCCAATTTTACAAGGCACAAAGAGGATCCTTTAATACATTATATCCCCCGAGTTACCCTGCGACACTACGACCACCGGTTTTGCGTAGACCTTAACGTGTCGGACTTGGACCCGGATTGTAACGTACTTTTCCCCGTCCAATGGATAATACGGCATTACCCAACCGGAATCTTTAAACGAAACCATAACGATATCCGCTTCGATACCAACGAATGCAGGTTTTATCGCAAACCCAAATTTCGCGGGGTTTTCGACCTACGAAACCCGGCAAACATTTTCAATACCGACCCCGTTACAATCGCTTTGGTTAAAGGAATAACGAAAATAGCTCCCACAATGGACAGCATAGCTAACGAATTCGACGGTGTTTCCGAAAAGTTCCGCGAATTTTTCCTTATTATGTTACTAGAGGCAGCAATGCGTTTACCCGACCATTAGCCCTGGGACCATAAAATCCATTTAAAGGAAGGAGCAACCTTTAATTGGGGATTTATTTACAATTTTAGCGAGCGAAAATTCGGCGTGCTGAAACCATGGCTTACAAAGAACCTAAAAGCAAGCCGGTTGTATAAGGGCAAAGGCGCGGTCGGCGCACTTTTTATGTTTGCCGAAAAAAAGGACCCTAAGGATCTTTTGCGACCAGTAATCGATTACCGAAACGTTAATTCTAAGACCATTCTGGAACGATGCCCAATTCCGTTAATTACGGAGCTGCAAGACCGGTTTCGCAACGCTAAATGGATAACCAAAATCGACCTTAAAATTGGCTTCTACCTAATTCGCATAAAGCCGGGATACGAATAGAAAATAGCGTTTCGATGCAAATACGGCCTGTTCGAATTCGCAGTTATGCTTATGGGTTTTATTAACGCACCAGCGACTTTTTAAAAAATAATAAACTATATATTTATGGACTTTATTAACGCCGGCCTTTTAGTTTACCTTAACGACCTTTTTATTTACGCAAAGATAAAGGAGGAATACGACAACTTCGTTAAGGAAGTATTAAAACGTTTGACCCATTATAACCTCGCTATCGCCCTTTGCAAATGCGTTTGGGGAGCCCAAAAGGTTGAGTTTTTGGGCTACATTATTAGCCAAAAAGGGATCCAAATGTTACAGGACAAGGTTAAAGCCATCCTTAATTGGGAAGCCCCCCGATAGCTACGGGAATGCCAATTGGTGATCGGCTTTGCCAACTTTTACCAACGGTTTATCGCAGGGTTTTCCAAGATTGTTAAACCCTTAACGATAGCCAACGCCCTTTTAAAAAAGGATTGGACCTGAACCACGGAAATGCAAGCCGCTTTCGACATTTTTAAACAAGCATTTATTTTGCCCCCTATCTTGCGGCATTTCGACCCCATTTTACCAGCGATTATTGAGATTAACGCATTTGATTTCGCCCTGGCTGCCGTATTATTTCAACGAAACCCGATCGACGGGAAACTCTACCCGGTGGCTTTCCATTTCCGCAAAATGACCCCGGCTAAAATTAATTACGAAATCCACGACAAAAAGTTACTTGCGATTGTGGATAGCTTCGGCCGATGGAAGCATTACTTCGAAGGAGCATAGCATCGGATTAAGGTTTTTACGGACCATTAAAACCTTGCTTACTTTATTACGGCCAAGGTTTTTAACCGAAGACAGGCGAAATGGGCACAATAGCTTTTTAGCTATTGGTTCTTGATTACGTACCGCCCAAGCAAGCAAAACGAAAAGGCCGATGTACTTTTTAAATTAAAGCAATACAGGCTTGAGAAAGGGGGGAGTGAGAACTAGCCGATTACGACGATTTTGCAGGACAAATATTTTAATTTTACCTTACAAGCACCTTCCTTCCTTTTTTCGTCGGCAAGACTTTGCAGCATCCCAACCATGCAATGGGACCTCGCATTTACAAACAAAATTAGGCAAATCGCCTTTTCCGATACCGAATACCAGGAATATTTAAAGGCCCCTTACAAAAGGGAAGAAGTTGACAATGGGCTCCTGTACTACCGCTACCGATTATGGATTCCAGCACAACTGGAATTTAAGCGCGAAATTTTGGAGTTCGAGCACGATACCAAAGTCGCCGGGCACATAGGAATGGACAAAACCCTTAAGCTAATTACCCGCCACTTCTGGTGGCCAGGGATTAAAGGGGACGTCCGAAATTACGTAAAAAGCTGCTTGGAATGCCAACGCAACAAGGTACCCAGGCATGCACTATTCGGGCTATTCCAGCCTATGGAACTGCATTACCGACCATGGAACACCGTAGCCATGGACTTTATTACGGACCTCCCGGACAGCCAGGGCTGCGATTCCATTTGGGTTATGGTAAATCCGTTTACCAAAATGGGTTATTTTATCCCTTTAAAAAAGGGATACAAAAAGACGGACGACCTAATCCGCATTTTCGCCCGGAAGTACTGGAAACTTTACGGGGTACCACTAAACATTATTTTAAATCGAGATTTACGATTTACCGCGCATTTGTAGCAGGATTTCTTTAATTTTGTAAGCATTAAGCTTTGGATAAGCATTGCTTTCCATTTCCAAACGGATGGACAAACGGAAAGGCTTAACCAAAGCCTTAAAGCCTATTTACGGTTTTTTGTTAATTACGAAATGTCCAATTGGGTAAATTTATTGCTTATGGCTAAATTCGTTTACAACAATACCTTTTTAGCAAGTACTTCCGTATCCCCCTTTTTCGCTAATTACGGATTCGAGCCAGTTGCGTACAACCCCCCGAAGCCAGGACGCATTAAGCCTTGCCCAGCCAACAAACTTTATGCGCATTGGATGCACGGAATCCATAACGAGGCCAAATAATACCTCGACGCCGCCCGGGAACAAATGAAGAAATGGGCAGATAAAAAACGACAAGCCCTGCCTATCTTTACAAAGGGTTAATACGTTATGCTTAACGCCAAGAACATTAAAACCCGTCGCCCCATTAAAAAATTCGATTCCAAGCTTTTCGGCCCTTTCCAAATTACCTAGGTTATTTTCCTTTTAGCTATGCGATTCGCGCTACCCTTTACATGGAAAATCCACCCAACCTTCCATGCTTCCTTTATCGAGCTTTACCGCGCGGGGGTTTAGGGCTAGCTTAACCCGGACCAAGTCCTACGGGACGCACCCCCTTTGCTGGACGTATTTAAGGTCGAGGAGGTTAGGGACTCACGCCAAAAGGAAGGAGCCGTACAATACCTCGTTAAATGGTTGGGCTTTGATAAGAAAACGGAAATAACGTGGGAGCTTTGGGAGAACTTTAAGGGAAAAGCAGCCAAGGAGGAAGTTAGGGACTTCCACCGGAGATACCCGCGGAAACCCCGCGACCCCCGCGTTTAGGGCCCGGGTCGTGCCTTTAGGAAGGGGAGGATTGTGTTACACGGGGATTGAGCCGGTGCCGATTAAGGGCCGTTAGGACGGCCAACAGGACGAATTACAAGGACCTCGCATGTATTACGCGCCCGGTCGAGAGGGGTAGTTCCCCTCGCCGGGACACGTACCCGGTCATACCCCTCTCTCTCTCGGTTTCTCAAACGGCCTATATAAAAGAGGCCCTTCGCTTAAGGAGCTCCTGGGAGATTCTGCTTCCTTAAGCATCTCCTAGAGGCCTTGAGAAATTATCAATACATTGAGCACTTTCCAAGCCGGTCATTGATCCCCTTGTAACAAATTCAAACCCGTAAGTGCTCTCTTTGGATGCAGACATCACATTCACACTATGGAGGCTTGCTTGTTCTACCTTTTTACGAGCCGTTATAAGCATAACACGGCGGGCTTCTCCACGCTATCAAACGACCTTCGCTCATTCCTGGCTTGGCTTTTTGCTTGCTACACGATGACGAGTGAGGCTGAAAAAGTGACAGGTGAGACGACGGAATTCTTTGCTCGATGCCTGATCACCGTGAGTGACACTAGCTGCCGTCGAGGTCAGCTTGTACAACCTGTCCGCTAATTACGCACCAACCAGCAAAAGCCTCAATTGGATGCATTACAGGGCAGAGAAGGGGATGGTTGTTCTAGAAATCAAGCAACTGTCGGTCACTTAAACATATGAAATGATCTCTCGAGCAACACACCATCTCAAAAGCTCGACATAATAAAAGCACATTTACTAGTTCACAGCCGCGGATTCAGAAATAACTTGATGCCTTTCGGCATGAACAGAAACCTTTTATGGCTTTGGTTTCCGGGGGCTCGCTGAGTTCGGCATATGCCCTTCCCGTTTCCAGGAGAGCTCCTTCCCATTCCGAAGCCACGCCTCCTTTTTTTTTTTATTAACCCACGGGAACACCGAGGGTCGATGGGTGTTTTGCCAAAACCTTGCCCCGGCCTCCTAATTACACCCCGATAAAGCATTTGAGATTGCCTGGCAATTCTGCAGGTCCCAAGGGATCACAAACCTTAGTACGGTGGATCCTGGTGGTACATCAGTTTGGCTTGGTTTTCTACAGAAGAAAATATACTTTGCATTCACCGCACTAGAGGTTGTAATCCCTGGGACCTGTACGCTGACTCGCTAGCGAAGCACAGGGCTACCCGTTGGTGGTGATTGAAACCAACCCAAGCTCCAAGCTCCAATCTGTTTTGCGCGGGCTCAACTCTGACCGCTGTAAAGATTTTACAGTAAGCCAGCATCGGTCAATTTCCCGCCCCGATGGCGCTTTCCCGACAGCGGACCAAAAGCGGGCAAAGATGCGGAGGCGAGACTGCGGGGGAGCCTGATGACCAGCCGTGCCGATTCCAAGGCACCAGACCTCGTCCTGTCCCACGAGTGACGACACCCTACAGGTCCCAGGGATCACAAACATTAGTACGGTGGATCCTGGTGGTACATTAGTTTGGCTTGGTTTTCTGAGGAAGAAAATGTACCTTGCATCCACCGCACTAGGGTTTGTGATCCTTGGGACCTGTACTATCCGTAGGGGTACAGAACGTTAACCTTTAACGTTCTGTACCCCTACAGATGGTACTCCATGCGACCGGAGATTAACACACGACGTCGCGCCTGGAGCGGTCTGCTGCCCTCATTTCTCCACATCTAATCTTGGGGTTCATAGGGCGCCTGGTTCGGGCAGATCAACATAAATAAGGGTCCGCGTCCCTCGTACTGATGGAGGTCGATGAGTCCTACAACCACAGCTGCCCCCCAAGACTACAGTAAAGAGACCTCCAAGACGGCGCGCAACAACACAGTCGGGATGCTCTCCTCTCCAACCGTCGCCGTGGCCCAGGCCGCGCTCTTGCTCGCCGGCCATGCCGTGGCTCAGGAGTGTCCCAACTATGTGAACTACTTCAAGCAGAAGCACGAGCCGCTCAGCACTGGCCGCCACGCACTGTCTTATATGCGCCCGCCCGCTGAGTGCCGCACCTTCAAGTCACAGGAGGTCGAGGACGCCGTGGCCCGCGTTCGGGCGGCCATCGCGGACCCGGATCTGGCGCGCATCTTCGAGAACGCGTACCCCAACACGTTGGACACGGCCATCAAGTGGCGCGGCACCGCGGCCGACAACGCCGACGAGGAGCTGACCTTCATCATCACGGGCGACATCAACGCCATGTGGCTGCGCGACTCGGCCAATCAGATGCAGTCGTATCTGCCGCTCCTCAAGGCTAGCGACTCCCGCGATAGCATCGCCAGCCTGTTCCGCGGCACCATCAATCTGCATGCCCGCTACCTGTTGACGTCCCCGTACTGCAACAGCTTCCAGCCACCGGCCGAGTCTGGGATCCCACCTGCCTGGAACGACGCAGCGCGCGAGGACACCGTCACCCCTCGCTACAACAGCTCGTTCGTGTTTGAGTGCAAGTACGAGCTCGACAGCCTGGCCGCGTTCCTACAGCTGTCACACGACTACCACACTGCTACCGGTGACGCCGCCTTCTTCGGCCGCTTCCGCTGGGCCGACGCTGTCCGCGCGACCCTCAAGGTCGCTCGGGACATGATGACGGGCACATACGGCGAAGATGGCCGTGTTCTCAAGTCTGCCTATACGTTTACGCGCATCACGCCGCGGGGGAGCGAGACCCTGACCAACGACGGCATTGGCAATCCCGTCGCCAACGGCACGGGGCTCATCAGGTCGGCGTTCCGCCCCAGCGACGACGTGTCCATCTACCAGCTCTTCATCCCCGCCAACATGATGTTCGCCGCCAACCTCGCGCGCGCCGCCGACATCGCAGCCAAAATCTCGAGTGGCAACCAGGCCATGGCTGGGCTCGAGGCCGAGATGCGCGACATGGCCGCCTCGCTGCGCAACGCCATCAACAGCCACGGCGTGGTTCCCGACGCGACGCGCTCGGGCCGCGGCGACGTCTATGCCTATGAGGTTGACGGCTACGGCTCGGCCAGCCTCATGGACGACGCCAACATCCCGAGCCTCCTGTCGGCGCCGCTCTCGGGCTTCCTGGACCGTAGCGATCCGCTGTACCGCAACACGCGCGCCCTCGTTCTGGGCGAGAGGGGGTTCAACTCAAACCCCTACTTCATGCGGGGCCCCGTCATCAACGCCGTCGGCGGACCGCACGTCCGCCTTGGCTACGCTTGGCCCATGGCCAGCATCGTGCGAATCCTGACCAGCGACGACGACATCGAAATCAAGGGCGTCCTGCGCGAGCTGGTCAGCAGCACCGACGGGCTAGGATTGATGCACGAGGCTGTTAATGCGCACAACCAATCTGACTGGACTCGGCCATGGTTCGTCGATATTGTTTCCTCTCTTTGCCTCCCGCGCGCGCTCACTTTGCTAACGTCACCATTCTCTAGGTTCTCGTGGGCGAACGGGCTCTTTGGGCAGATGATACTGGACCTACAGGAGAGGAAGCCCGAAATCCTGAAGGAAAGCTTCCAATAATTGGGGAAAGTAGCATAGGGCTGCTCCGGCACGATTAGTTCACATCAGCAACATTGTAAAAGCTATGCCGCCAAAATCTTAATAATAATAATAAGCTGATGGAGCTCTTTTCCTTTATGTGTGAGCAGATACGGAGCGCTGGACCTGGATTAGACCCAGCCTTGGAGCGCGGGTGCGAGGCAAGTCCGAACAAGATGCGCTTGAAAAGCAAGCTCCCAGTTCCTTGTCAGGCCGGCAATGCTCTTGCCGATCAAGAGGGGTAATACCACATGCGAGCTGCAGTTGATTTGCTGCCGCGAACGTCATTCGCTGCTCTACAATGGGACGCTGCCAGTCGACTACGTCTTCAACTCTTGGCACCTGTCTGGTGCTACCCTATAATGACAAGATGAATGCACGGACGAAGATCGCGGTAGCTGTAGCTAGGTGCCAGCTACCGGCTTACTATTACTGATAGTTACTGGCTATATTTCTCCCGCTTGCTACCCCCGCTTGTACGTTTGTATCACCGCTCGAGTGCATTTTGTCAGACAGATGCTATCTTTTAGCCCTCGAAAACCTGGTTTTCTGTCGTGTGCCGACCCTATCCCGCTATGAGTTTCAAAATGCCTTGCGCGGAAAGAATGCGCAGCGCCCTGGCTGCGGTGTTGTGTCTCCATCACCTAGCGTGCGCTGTGCCCACCGCTATCAACTCCGGCGTGTCGGGTGCGGGGACGCCCCTTTTCCAGTACGAGACAGTCCAGCTCAGAGCAGAAGATGTCTCCAGGCTCGGCGGCCAGCACGCGCCGCTGCTAGAGTTTGAGCATGAGGGCAATCCCGCCCCGGTGCTCAACGCGGACGAGTGCAGGGCGTTCCCGGGCACCGACTCCTGGCCGACACAGAGCGCCTGGGACGCGCTGAACATTACTCTCGGCGGGGCGCTCATCCCGACGGTCCCCGCCGCGGCGCCGTGCTATCGGAACTGGGGCAACTACGACGCCGAGAAGTGCGCGGCCGTGGTTGCAAACTGGACGAACCCGTATTTCCAGTAGGTGAAGCTGTAACTGCGATATGGCGCCTCCGTAGTTCCGCAAAGTAATAGTGTGCTGACGACTTGGGGAAAAACGCAGCGAGGCGGACCCGACGTCCGTCATGTGGCCGCTCTGGCAGGGTCGGACCTGCATGCCGACGCTCAACGGCAGCAGCAGCAGCAGCGGGCCGGCCGAGGGCGGCTGCACGCTCGGCGGCTACCCCGCGTACGCGGTCAACGTCAGCGCGGTGGCGCAGGTGCAGCTGGCCGTCAACTTTGCGCGCAACGCCAACGTGCGGCTCGTCGTCAAGAACACGGGCCACTGCTTCTTGGGCAAGTCGAGCGGCGCCGGCGCCCTGGCCGTGTGGATGCACCACCTCAGGGACGTCGAGTTCCTGCCAGAATACGCCGGCGGTCCAGGGGGCTATGAGGGGCCTGCTTTCAAGGTCGGCGCGGGCGTGACGGTCCGCGAGATCTACCGCGCCGCGGACAGGAACGGGGTGACTGTGTCTGGGGGAATTTGCGAGGCAAGTGGCGTGGAGAAAACAGGCCAGCGTGAATGCCAAGCGATTTAGAATGCTAACTTGGGCGCACAACACAGAGCGTCGGCTTCACGGGCGGCTACCTCCAAGGCGGCGGGCACACGCCCATGTCGGGCATGTACGGCATGGCGGCCGACCACGTCATGGCGCTCGAGGTGGTCACGGCCGACGGGCGCTTCGTCACGGCCTCGCCGGCCAGCAACCCGGACCTGTTCTGGGCGCTGCGCGGCGGCGGCGGCGGCACCTACGGCGTGGTGACGTCGGCTGTCGTGCGTGCCCACCCGCGCGTCCCCGTCGTGACGTCCTGGTTCAACCTTAGCACCTACTCGCCCTCGACCGGCGCCGTCGAGGCCACCCCGGACGCCTTCTGGGCCGGCGTGCGCGCCTTCTTCGCGCGCTTCGTCGAGTGGACCGACGCCGGCACCTACTCGTACTTTTGGATGTACAACGAAGGCGGCGGCCGCCTGCGCCTCGAGGTCGTGCCCTTCTGGGCGCCCAACCACACGCTCGAGTCCTTCGACGCCCTGACGGCGCCCTTCTTCGCCCACGTCCGCGACGACCTGCGCCTGCCGGGCTTCGAGCCCCACACGCGCGCCTTCGACGCCTTCTACCCGGCCTACCACGACAGCTGGGGCAACGAGACGGTCGGGCGCCTGCACGTGCCCGCCAGCCGGCTCTTCCCGCGGTCCGGGTTCGAGGACCCGGCCCGGTTCGACGTCATCGTGGCGGCGCTGCGCACCCACGCCGAGGAGGGCACGGGCCGCGTCTGGGGCGGCTACCACCAGGCGCCGCGGAACCGGTCCGGGGTCGACAACGGCGTCAGCTCGGCGTGGCGCAACGCCGTCGCGTTCCTGATCGCGTCGCTGCCGCTGCCCGAAGGCGCGTCGCCGGCGGCCGTCGGGGCCGCTAACAGGAGGCTGCTCGACGTCATCATGCGGCGGTGGCGCGACGCGGCGCCGGCCAGCGAGGGCGGCGGCTCGTACATGAACGAGGGCACCCCCGTCGAGCCCGACTGGCAGGTCAGCTACTACGGGGAGCAGTACCCGCGGCTGCTAGAGGTCAAGAGGCAGTGGGACCTGAGCGGGGTGTTTTATGCTACGACGGGCGTGGGCAGCGAGGGCTGGGAGGTCAGGGACGGGGAGCAGGGGACGCAGACACAGAATGGGAGGCTGTGTAGAGCGTGAACCGGCCGGTGGCAGCCCCTTCCTTTTTACGGGCACACAGACGTGTGCGGGTAGCAGCAGGACACTTGTTCATACAGTCACCATATGCACGTTCAACCATTCTGCGAGATCAAGTGCTGCTTCAAACTTGTAAGAAAAATCCAGATTTTTTTTCCATTTCAAGTACGTGACGAAAACAGACAAGAAATCAAAAAGAAAAAGCTCACATCCACCATCCTTCCAACAAATTCCCAACCATTCAAACACCGAGCTCTCACCCACCAACCCCGCCCGATCTGTGCTAAAAAGTTATACGCAGCACCCGGGCGACTTTCTTCGCTTCTTGGGGGCCAGGCTGTGACCGGGCCTGGCTCCCCGCGATAGAGGCCCATGAGGATGCTGGTAGGGTAATGGTGGCAGCTGGGATGACGGCAGCTGTGAGATGTGTAATGGTGGCGGAGGCCTTTGATGGGGCCTTGACGATCGCGGACCACGCGGCCTTGAGCGGCGCGGCGGCGGGCGATGGGACCTCTGAGCCGGTATGTTCTTCGGTCTCAGGGTCGGTAGGGGCGGTGGAGATACTCGACACCGCGGAGGAGGAGGAGGAGGAGGTGGTGGAGGAGGAGGAGGAGGAAGAAGCAGCCCGTGGCCTGGCTGCAACCACCGACGACGTCGGGCCACGCCAGCTGGCCGCATCCCTGGCCTTGGTATATTCCGCGGCGGGGATGTCGGCGGCTGGCGCGACCCTTGTTGACGTGTCCAAGGAGGCGACGGGGGCTCTCCCGCTGCCCGCCGCCCCCACCACGGCGCTCAGGCACCACCCGATGGCGGCCGGGCAGCTCTCGCGCATGTGGGCGAGCAGGTCGCCGACGCTCGCGCGGCTCACGCGCAGGTGCACGGGCGACTTGTTGAAGACGCCCAGCACCGAGTCGGGCACCACGGCGACGTGGCGGACGTAGACCCACGACGCCCGCGGCTTGGGCATCCTCATGTGCGGCGCCGCGAGGGTCAGGGCCGGGCGACCGGAACCGGCACCGGCACCGGCGGGGCTCGGGGGGAGCTCCGAGCCCGCAAAGGCACGAAAGTCCTGCGGCCTCTTGCGGCCGTGGGCCACCTGGCGCCAGGGCGGGAGGTTGCGCCGCTCCTCGGACGCGTAGGCCGACACGGTGGTGATGACGGACAGGCCCTGGCGCGGGCACCGCCGAAGGATGATGACCGGGTGGCAGGTCGCGCCGATTGCGAGGCGGCCTGGGCCCTTGCCGATCAGGGACTTGTACTCGTCCTCTGTGAAGGAGTGATGCGAGCGCAGGAAGGCGATGTCGCCTTCTTGCCAGCCGGCCTGGCGGGCCTTGGCCTGGTGGTTGTAACGGCCGGTGGATGCCATGGCGACGGTCTGGTCTGGTTTGAGGATGGTCTGTGAAGGTAAGGATGATGAGGCGGTGGTAGTCTTGATGTTCGGGCGTGATGTTCCTCGACTTGGATCAACAGGTTTTGCTTGCAAGATTGCAGTAGGCTTGCTTGACAGGATGGGAAAGGGCAGTGTACTGGTTCAGGAGAGAAGATCAGATTTCCCCAAAAAGTAGGAACTGGCTGCATATTTATAAAACGGAAGGATCAAGTCTCCGAAGGAAAGTGCACATAACCCAGCTGAGAGTTCCAGAGAAGGAGCATAGGGCCCATGGTTCCGGAGAAAGAGCTGGATTTGGGCGTTGAAACCTTAATCATACTTTGAACACCGTTGGGTTCTCACCGAGCCACGCCATGTTTTCAACGGCCTTGCCAGCACAATGTGTTTCTCTAAACGTTAAACTTAAAAGCAAAAACGAAGCGGTACCTAGGGAGGCTGCGTCTCCCCGACACACTTTCCCAGTGCGGAACGCTCACCTGACGCCGATTCTGAGGGCCATTCATGCGATGAAGACGCCGCTCGGCGGCGTCGGCGGATCTGGATTTGGACGATAAGGAGGCGCTCGACAGGTATTTGGCCGAGGAGGGAGAGGATATGGAGGATAAGAAGGCACTCGACAAGTATCTGGCCGAGGAGGGAGAGGACATGGAGGACGCCACGGCGTGAGACTGCCAGAGCTGGATTGGCTGTGCGATACAGTTGGACACACACTGTGACAATTGAGCCTCATGTCTGTTGAGCGGCAAGTCATGTGGCACGTCATGATGGCTTTCCTCGGAGATTTAAGAGGAGGAGGCGGGTGAGGATGTTAATGTAAAGGGCCTGAGGGAAAGCGGCCTCGGGCCCTAGGCGTTAAGAAAGGTGCGGTACTGGTCTGTTCGTACAATTAACTGGGTCTTTAGATATATAAATGAGGACTTCCAACAGTTTTACGAAACAACGATGCCAAAAAAGCAAAACTTGGATGTGGTGGCGAAAGGCATCTGCGTGCGAGAAAGGGCCGGGTATGCCCAAACGTGCATGGAGGAACGATGTGATCAATGGCAACCAGACCATGGATTTGCTGAACTCCCTCCCGAACTCTCCTAATACAGTCACAGTGTTGTTTGGTAATGGAGTGCGAAGCCTATCCGAAGGTATATAGAACTCGCTTATGAGCCAATGTCATAGCCACCACCTTGACAGTGTTCGTGGCTTGGGTTAGTTGCACCTAAAAAGAAGACGAAGGTTGGCTGACCCGAGGACTAGAGTAACCACACACTCTTGTAGTGTCTTGCCGGCTACCCAGAGAAAGCGCAATACGTATCCACCCGGTCCACGGAAAGGACGGGCTTAAATAAAATGATAGCGCAGGCGGAGAGTGGTGACTCTTGAGTGCGAGGAGTCATCGACAGTTGCGAAGTTTACAAGAAATGACAGCCCCCTAGACGGATGCGTCGCATCGCAAAGCCAATTTCCTCCACCTTACGACCACATACACAGTAGTCGCTGACTCTTGAGCTCGAGGTGCACTCCCCGGCTCTGCGTCGCTGTGGTTGGCCTGGGCTCAGTGGGTTGAGCCGCTAGTGTGCGCTGAGCCACTGTATTGGAGTGGTGGGTGGGGTAGGCCGACGCATCATCCCCGCCCCGAATGGCTGTGCTGCTTTCTTTCCTTCCCCGCCCCCCTCCCACGACGCAGGAAGTAAAGCCTTCCGAGCCTATGACGTCCCATACTCAGCAGACGAGCGGGCGGCCCGGCCCGCCAAATGGCGCCTCTGCCCTCTTCCCGGGAGTATCATCCCCCCTGCCCGGCCCGCAGCGCCTCCTGCGTTCCTTGACGCTCCGGCCCGCTCGCGAGGTGCGAGCCGCGCTGCGGCTCCAGAACGGCAATATCCTACTGGCCTTCTTGCCCGTCGGCCTCGCCGGTAGGTTCCTAGGCTGGGATCCCGTCCTCGTCCTGGCCTCCAACATCGTGGCCATCATCCCACTCTGCGTCTACGTTTCGTCGTCCTCGGATCAGCTGGCCGGCCACTTCGGCGAACTGATTGGCGGGTTCATTGGCGCCAGCTTTGGCAACATCGTGGAGCTGATTGTGAGCCCGTGCAAGCCCTGATCGTCCCCGTCTCTGGGGGTATGTTGTAGCTCAGGCTCCTTTGCAGTGTTGACTTGGAACGCAGGCGGGTATTCTGAGCGTGAGGCGTGGTGTCGTCTACTTTGCCCAATCCGTCATGCTGGGGAGCATTTTGTCAGACATCCTCCTGGTGAGTTGTGCCCAGTCCTGTCCTTGTTTCCCCCTCTCCCGTCAGGAGCTTACGTCGCTGCCTCTCTTCCCCAGGTGCTGGGCCTCAGCCTCGTGGCCGCCTCGTACAACATAAGCCGCCTTCTCAAGTTCAACAAGTCGGTGACGGATACGCTATCGTCTCTGATGACCATCACCGCCGTGACTCTGACTCTGCCCACCGCCTTGCACTCGAATTTTAGCCACGTTTCGGAGATACAGGGCAAGATCCTAGTCTTCTCGCGAGCAACCGCGAGTGTTCTGCTAGTGACTTATGCGTTATACCTCTACTTCCAACTTGGCAGCCACAAGCACATCTTCCTCGAGACCGAGGAGGAGATTAGTCGCGACGAGCAGGCCGACTCGGACGAGCCCGACAATGATGACGACGGCGGCCATATCGATGCTGCGGGCTCGCAGGACTTCCCCGTGCCCATTCTTCACTCCGTTTCCGTCCTCACCCTGTCTGCCCTGGCGGTTGCGGCGTGCACAAAGGCCACCCTGGAGGCTGTCGAAGTGACCCAGGCGCGGACGGGGATACCCAAGTCCTTTATCGCCGCCGTCCTGTTCCCCATCGGGAGCAACGCAACCGAGTTGACCACCGTCATTGCTGCCGCCGCCAATCGCCAGATCAACCACGCCATCAGCATGATAGTTTCCAGCATCCTGCAAATCGCCCTTTTCGTCCTGCCCGCCCTGGTAATGGTGGGTTGGGCAGCGGGCCAGCCCATGACGCTCAACTTTAAATTTTCAGCGGCGCTGCTCCTCTTCTTCGCCGTCATCGTCGTGAATAACCTTCTCCACGATGGGAAGTACGCATACATTCACGGCGCAATCCTTGTGGCACTGTATGAGCACAACCCTTCCCAACCGGCCCTGCAACTTTGTGTCCTTGGCAAGCGCACTACTGACTGCTTGTTCTAGTTACGCTGCCGTTGCCACAACTTTCTTTGTATGCGGACTGTACGAGACTGATAAAGGCACGAGTTCGCTGGGGAGGGCGGCAATGCGGCAAGAGGCACTGCATCTAGCATGATGGGCGCTTCATGCCGACGTAGCGGGCGTCATGGCATCACTCATGTTGGTTTTGTCCGCGGCCCTCGTTATCCCATCGGCTTTATTCGCGGTGAGCGGCAGGGGGCCCGGCGAACCGGACGGATACATTCTCACCTTGTCGCGTGCGGCCTCAATCGTCCTCTTCGTATTTTACCTCGTCTACCTGTATTTCTCCGTCAAGAGCCATCGCCATCTCTTCACCGAAGAGGAGGCACCGGACCGCGAACCCCTGCACCCCGTGTCTGCCATGACGGTGCTCGTCGCCGCGACGGTTGCCGTCTCGGTGCGCTCTGACTGCCTCGTGGACAGCGTCGACGGGTTCGTGGCAAATCTCAACATCAGCAAGGCCTTCATCGGCTTGATCGTCGTCCCGATCGTGGGTAACGCCGGCGAGTTCGCCTCGACGGTCAAGTGGTCCATGAACGACAAGCTCGGCCTGGCCATTAGCGTTATCGTCGGCAGCACGCTGCAGATTGCTCTACTGGTGACCCCCTTTATGGTCATGGTGGGCTGGGTGCTGCAGAAGGACATGTCGCTGAAGTTCAACGCTTTCCAAACATTGACCGTTGCCCTGTCGGTTCTCGTGGTCAACGGCCTAGTCCGTGATGGGCGCACCAACTACTTCGAGGGGTGTTTGTTGATTGTCGCGTAAGTCCCTGCCCGCGCCTGGATTGCCCTACCATGTTTACTCCAACTAATAGCCTCATCTGCCAACCTCTAGGTACCTGATCGTTGCCATCGTCTTCTTTGTGTACCCAGAAGATATCAGAACTATGATGGTCGAGCAAGGCTGACAGGGTGCAATGTTGGAGGATAATAATGATCAAATACTAGTGAAAGGGGCAAGTTGCATGGATAAGTGGTTTGCATGCACCAGCCCCTCCAGTGGCTAGGACAATGATGCTTGCGCGTCAGCACTGAGATTACGACGCGTGGACGCCGTAACGCCTTGCGTTGGGGCGCGCGTCTGCATTGTGGAGCCGGTAGGCCGTGGGTCTCCACAATTTGTAGCCCGTGCCAACCTCGTGCCGATCCATCAATGGACGCAATCGAGGGGTGTGAAGCAGAGCCTCATGTGAGCGGCCTGGAACTTTAACCTGTTGCACACGGCACTCAGCCCCCCCTTGCCCACGCCCGCGTCGTCATATTTCCTCGGAGTGCAGATTGATACAAGACCCTCGCGGCCACCCTGCAACACCATGACGCCCGCGAAATAGGTGCACTCGGCAATCCGCCACCACCGCTTCAATGGGGAATGGGCCAGAGACTAGACGAGCATCGCCGTTGCGCGCGGCGGAGCACCCCACCGCTGCGCCGCACGATGCATCCAGCCATGATGCCGGCTCGAGGCTGTCTGGGGCCGGTCCGACTGTCGCCGTCAACACCAAGTTCCACCTCTCCCCCGACCAGCTATTCCGGCTCCTCGACCAGAGAAACCCGCCCGACCTGCACTCGATTGGTGGCCTTCAGGGGCTTTGCGAGGGGCTGAGAACCGACCCCTCGACGGGCCTCAGCGCGGATGAGACCGAGTTAGACGACGTCATCGCTCCACGACGGGCCGCCTCCGTCACAGGGGATCTGTACGACGGATCGGTGCCCCTTCCCCGACCGTCGTCGCCAGCGCCCTTCCCGCAAGGCCCCCCTTCGGCCCCCTTTTCAGACCGACGGCGTGTTTTCGGCGAGAACCGCCTTCCCGAGCCGAAGACGACCTCCTTCGTGGCCTTGATGTGGCGCTCCCTCAACAACAAACTGATGTTCCTGCTGGCCGCATCCGCGGTTGTCTCTCTCGCTCTCGGTGTGTCGCAGGTTACCGTTTCGGGAGGCAGCGCCGTTGCAAAGGTTGGCTGGATGCAAAGTGCTACAATAATCGGGGCCATCCTCGCCACCGTCATCGCCACGGCTGCCAACGACTACCAGAAGAACTACAAGTTTCGGAAACTCAGTCAGAAGTGCCAAGATCGCCAGGTCACAGCCATCCGATCTGGAACATGCTGTCGTGTGTCGATATTTGACGTCGTGGTTGGAGACATTCTGCGCGTCGAACCCGGCAACGTTCTTGCCGCGGATGGGGTGCTCGTCGAGGCTTCCAGGCTGTTCTGTGACGAGTCGCACTTGTCTGGCGAGGCCGAATTGGCATCAAAAGTCCCGGCGGACGAGTTCTATGGCGACGGCTCGAGCGCCTTTGCCAATCCCTTCATGTACAGCGGCGCTACAGTTTCTCAAGGGATCGGCACTTACGTCGTTACGGCCGTCGGCGTCAATTCGTCCTCGGGAAGAACGGCCATGTCACTCCGAAACGAGGTGGAAACCACGCTGCTGCAACAGAAACTTGCTCGCCTAGCCGGATCTATCGTCGTCCTTGGTTCTGTTATTGGGCTCCTCTACTTCGTCAGTCTTTTCACCCGATTCCTAGTTAACATATCAACCCGCTCCGCCTCAGCCAGCCCACGCGAAAAGGGCGAAATGTTTCTGAATGTCTTCATGCTAGCCATTGCTGTCGTCGTCATAGCCGTCCCGGAAGGGCTTTCTCTCGCGGTTGCTGTTGCGCTGGCATCCGCAAGCACCCGCATGCTCAAAGATAACATCCTTGCCAGGCTGCTACAGTCGTGCGAGGTCATGGGCAGTGCCACAACGGTCTGCCTCGACAAGACAGGCACTCTGACTCGCAACGAGATGACCGTTGCGTCTGGTCTCATAGGCTGCGAGGAAGAATTCGGGCCAGAAGACGACCGTTCTTGTGCCAGCCGCGACACCGATAACACCGCCATGAGTAGCTTCGGAAACTCCCAGACGGCGTCCAGGCTTGCTGGAGACCTCGCAAGTGACGTCAAATGGTTACTCAAACTTAGCATTGCCGCGAACTCGACCGCCTTCGAACAAGACGGCACGTTCGTGGGAGGCAGCACAGAGGTCGCCCTGCTCAAGTTTGCGAGGGAACATCTGGCTATGGGGCCTTTGGCCGAGGAAAGAGCCAACGTCCAGGTTGTTGATCGCTTCCCGTTCGATGCAGACAGGAAGTACATGGCTACGATCATCAAGCATGGCGACAAACACCTAATGCTCGTCAAAGGAGCTGCCGAGGTTGTTCTTGGTGATTGCGCTACTACTCTCGAGAACACCAAGAAAAACTTTAACCCGCGCGGGGAACTCGTGGTTGCCGATGTCGACGAGAGCAAGAGAGAGATGTTCGAGTCAACCACACATTCGCACGCTCGCAACCTTCTTCGCCCCGTCGCCGTGGCCTACCGCGACTTGGATTCGTGGCCGCCCATTGCAGCGCTAGGGGCTGCCGAGGACCCTACGGATACTGCTGCCAGTTTCGACGTGCTATCCCGGCATCAGCTTACTTTTGTCGCCATGTTCGCTCTCCACGACCCGTTGCGTCCCGAGGCCATCACTTCCGTCCGCCAATGCCGGCGCGCCGGTATCTCCGTCCGCTTACTCACGGGCGATAACCTTGCAATTGCCGAAGCCATTGCCATGAAATGCGGCATCTACAGAGCAGGTGGTATCGCCATGGACGGCCCTACGTTTCGGCGCTTAACGCCCGAGCAGGCCAACGCCGTCCTCCCAAGGCTGCAAGTGCTGGCGAGGTCGAATGCCAACGACAAAGCCATGTTGGTTACAGCACTCAAGCGGCTCGGGGAAACGGTTGCCGTAGCAGGAGACGGCACTAACGATGCGCTAGCACTCAAAGAAGCCGATATCGGCTTCTCAATGGGCAGCTCTGGGACAGAGGTTGCCAAACAGGCCAGCTCAATCGTTGTTTTGGATGATAATTTTGCGTCCATCGTTAAGGCTCTGGCCTGGGGGCGACGCATCATACAGTCGGTGCAAAAGTACTGCCAGGTAAGTGCCCTCCTGGCCCAAAGCTACCAGCTTGTGCTGATCCAAAACAGTTCCAATTCACTCTCAACTTGACCGCGGCAGTCATCACCATCGTCTCCACGCTGGTCAGTGGTGTCAACGCGTCTGTCTTCCAGGTGGTGCAGCTTCTTTGGCTCAACCTGGTCATGGATATCTTGACGGCTGTTTCGTTCTCCATGGACTACCCTCCTGCGTACCTCATGCGGAGAGGACCGGAACCTCGCAACTCGCCTCTCACCAGCACCGCCATGTGGAAGATGATCTTGGGCCAATCCATATATCAGCTAGCCGTGGTCTTCGCGTTGCACTACGCGGGCTCGTCTCACTTCTGGCCAGACGCAGACAGGGCCCAGGTGCAGACCGTAGTATTCAACGCTTATATGTTTATGCAGGTTTTCAACCAGCTCAAGTAAGTCCCTTTTTTTCCGATCTCATCTCGCTGGCCCAGCTAACATTACTATAGCTGCCGCCGTGTTGACAACGGCCTCGACGTTTTTGAGGGGCTGCTCGAGGATATCTGGTTCCTCGGAGTGCAGGCCCTCTCGGTCTTTGGGCAGATTTTGATCGTCTTCACGGGCGGAAACACGTTCGGCACAGTGCCATTGACTGGTCAGCAGTGGGGCTGGTCAGTCATGCTGGGAATTCTGGTGATACCAGTCGGTGTTGTCATCCGCTACATCCCGGACGCGTGGGTGACGAGTACCAGTCGCGCCCTCGAGCCTCTGGCATGGCCGCTCCTCGTCGTATTCAGGCGGTCCAGGACGAAGAAGGCGGACACCAAACGGCAGGAGACGGGAGACGCGAACGCGGCGGCTCAGGGAACGTTTGCCGACGGGGCCCAGAAGCCGCGCGGATGGCTCGCAGGGGTTCTTGGTCGCAAGGAGCAACAGCACAGCCCCGAATTGGCCCTCACCGCCGTCGACGGAGCCGCCCCGACGAGAAGGCCAGCTGCAGCGGTGGTCGAGACGCGTCCAGGTTCCCAAGAGCCCCTCGATTTGCTGGCCGCCATCGAGGCTTCCAAACACGGAGCAGACGGCGCCTTGGCAGGACTGCATGTGCATCCAGACACGGCCAAGGACAACCCGGTCGCGGCGACCTCTGTCCCATACCCCCGCAGACCACCGACCCAGATGTGATGAAGTACGGGTCGATAGCGACAATGGGGCCCTGGAGGATGTGGAATGGCGGGCGTGATTTTCTCTGATAATAACTGTCCATAGAATAATGAGGAGAAGCTGCCCGGCTGCCATATGAGCTGTAAAAGTAGACCAATGTACCATTCCTCTTTGGGGCTAGCACTCTCGCCAAACTGTCCTATCATCACGGTTGTAGAATGGGCAAACCAAAAGCTGAGCTCTAGCGCCCGAATAGCCAAGACAGGCCTCCAAGTGTGTTACCAGGAGGTGATTATCGTGGCCGACAATCAGCGTCACAGCACCTGAGCCTTTTGAATCCTGCTCACCGACAGCGACGCGATGCTATTATATGGCCTATCTTGAACGGATCACGAACCAGAGCCGCAACGATAGCGCGATCGCCCATGACAACAGCAACAATAGACTCCCACACCTGTTCTGCCACCAGGCTAGCATCCCCTCGGGAACAAACGTTCACAACCCGCAACCGCCCAACCAACCCACTCGGGACTGCAAAAACATGGGCGTCATCAGCGGCGCCATCAAGGCCGGCATCATCGTCGCCACCCTCGCCACCCTCGGCCTCTTGAGCTTCGGGAACATGCTATACCGGGCGCGCAAACAAAAGGCCGAGCGGGCCAGCAAGGAGCCGGAAGAAGACCCCGTGCCGTCGCCGCCGCCAGTCGACGTCGACACACCGCTCCCAAAGTAGGATGCTGCGTATAACCCCCGGGACACGTGCGCATGCCGGCACATATGTACAATGCTGGTAGCACATGCCTCGGGGATCGACTTTTTTTTGTTCCTTTCCTCTTTCGCCGTGGTGCTGGCACTCTGTGGTACACACCAACTTTAATTCCATGTACACGCTGAGTTGGGCGGTAGCCGGCCTGCTGTCGTCTCACTCCGTACTTTCCATCTAAATCGAGTTACAACAGTCGCGAGGGGCAGTCTCCAGGGTCTGCGCACCCGTCTCCGAGGTCGTCATCGCGACGAGGCAGATTGAAAGGTGACAAGGCCCCATCATGGGCAAGACGAAATTAAAGGATCAATTATGGCCCGTGTAAATCACTGGCAGGCATATAATACCACATGAAAACTATAATACATGGCGCTGGACTTGCGGGGCCCTGCTGACATGCGGAGGACCCGGGCTATTGCCCACCACCACTGGTGGAAGGCTCCGTTTTTTGCACGCCGTTTGAGGGCGCTTCTACCACCCTTTGCCGGGCTGCGCCGGGAACATCCGTCTCGCCTGCTCCAGTGCCGGCCGCACCCGTTGCGTTTACTGCTTTGCCTGAGCCGTGATTAGTCAACTTTGACTGCTGTGATATCCACTTTCTGCACCTTGATAGACCCTGCCAGTCTCTGACGAGCTCAAAGCTTCTCGTTCCTTGTTTTGAGCCTGCCTCTGCTCGGGGGACGCAGCAGGGGCCATCTCCAAGGACCCTGGATCCGAACCCCCAGCCACGGGGGGGAGGCCGAGCCGCATTCTTTCGCAGCTTGTACCATAGCATTGCGCCGGTGCTTGCCAAGATGAAAAACGTCGACGTGACCGCCGTGATGGTTTTCCCCGGGTGCGAGGGGTTTGCATCGTCGATGCGCTCGATGGACCACGGGTAGCACTCCGACTTGATGATGATGAAGACGCCGAGGCCCATGTAGAGAAAAGGTACCACTATGCTAGCATATTTCTGAGCCGCGCGCAGGACGTGCTTCTGCTTCATGAACAGGAATGCGGCGAGGCACCACACCCCGAGCAGGATGTAGTAAGTGACGACATATACCGCTATTTCTGCGCCTTTGGCTTGTGCAAACAACGGTACGTAGGTCCCGATGTTGTCCCCACCGTTGGTCACGGTGACAATGGAGACTTTGAGTATGGTCTTGAGCCCGACGGCAAAGACGTAGCAGCAGCAGTGGAGTCCACCACAGTGGCGGAATGCTCCGATTCCTCCTCGCCTGGGAGAAACTCGAGCAGGCCCCAGATGCCGAGCAAAATAGGAAGGAGGCCGAGGTATCCGATGGGCTCGGAGGGGTTAACAGGGAGGCGCCGAAGCCGATCATGCTAATGATGATGATGACGGTGAATCCAACATACTGTCCAACGGTGATCATGAGCAGAGTGATGGAATTGCTGTTGGACGCCTCGGCAAAGAAGGCCACCAAGACGAAAATGTCGTCGATGTTGGTGACGGCGAAGGAGCCGCACGCGGTTCCCACCGCCTTTCCAAAGTCCGTGGTGCCGGCGCTGCGATGGCAGCAGTGTTGCTACGGACCGGAGTTGATGGCGGAGTTGACGGCGGAGGTTCGTAGAGCGAACGCGACTTGTCCGGGGGGCCTTGGGCCCGTGGCTGCGGACCAGTGAAACGAGCACGATGTGGCTTGTGCTCAACGGTTTGCCTGGCAAAGCGCGCTGGAGCCACATCAACCGCTGCCCATGTCATAGCGGTCGCTGAGACCCTGCGAACCGCCACCCCACATCGCTAATGTCCGTCCGTCCCTTTAGCGATGGAAGCCACAACGCGCGTCAATTCCAGACCCATCCAGTACACAGCACACTTCCCCGAAGACAGCATGAAATGCCGAGCCGGAGGTATGTATCGAGGGTACGGCACAGACGTTACTACCAAAACCGACGAATAGAAAAAAAGAAAAAAAAAGATATCAGATTCCGGTATCAGAACATGCATCATTTATGGATCAACGCCATCCCAAAACCCCAATCAAGCGCCGTTCACGACGCCCGAATCATAATCACCAAGCCTCCCACTTCTGTCCACCCATGGAAATCAAGCGGTTGAACAGCTCGTCCCTCAGCGGGCACGCCGTGATGCGGTAGCTCTTGCCGTCCGTCGTCTTGATCTCGAGCCCGTCCTCGACCTTGCGCTCCAGCGACCAGCCGACGAGGAGCTTGGCCTTCCACCCGTACCCGCCAAACTTCTTGAGCTCCACGATGTCGGAGACGGCCACGCTCCACATGGCGTGGACCATGCCCTTGTCGTCGCCGCCCTGCTGCTGCTGCTCCTCGTGGTTTCCCTTGACGCCACCGCCGCCCGTCACCTCGGTGGCTAGGCTGTTGTGCGTCTCGGTGCTGAAGGCCACGACGGCGGGCGTGGCCGCGGTGCCGAGGTAGACGTGCCCCTTCCTGCCGCCGTGGCGCGCCTTGAACTCGACGGGGCCCGACGTCACGTCGGCCTCGGCCCTCTTGGGCGGCACGACGCCCAGGCGCTCCTTTGCGTGCCGGGACCCCAGCACCTTTGCGCGCACCGTGTCGGTCCCGATGGCCGTCTTGACGCCGCCCTTGGAGGTGCCCTTGAAGAAGCCGAGGATGCGGCTGCTCTTTTTGCCGTGCTTGGGGTCCCGCGCCGCGTCGATGTCGGCCCCGCCCGTCTCGTGCTTGGTGTGCGGGTCGTGGCGCATGGCCGCGTCGAGCTCGGCGTCGGTCGCGTTGAGGGGCGGCTCGGCGCCCGTGGCGCGCAGCTGCGAGTCCGTCACGGCGGCCGGCTCGTCCGGGGGCGCCTCCGACACGCGCGGCGGCGGCGGGATAGGCGCGCGGTTGGCCTCGCCGATGCGCAGCAGCGTGAGGGTGAGCTGCGCGTTGGTCGGCACGCCCTTGAGCGCCGTGTTGCGCACCTCGATCAGCTGCTGCCAGTTGGGGACCTTGCGGTTCAGCCAGTCGAGGCCGCGCGTGATGATGGGGTCGCCGAAGAAGGTGAAGCCGACGCCTGCCATGACGGCCTTGGTGAAGGCGTAGGACGACACCACGAGCGACGTCACTACGAGGGGGAGGACCAGCGTCGCGATTCGGAGCCGGTAGGTCTCTTGAGGGAACGGAGGTGTCGGTGATAGCGCGCTGCAATACGTCACCGTGTTAGCGGATTCAACGGCACAAGGTAGTCAAATCAAGGGGCGAGTCTGTTTACTTGGCAAACCGTTCCCAAGTGTCGGCGACATCAGCGATGCCATGCATGATGGGCCGCATCTTTGTCCACATGGCCGTTTCCATGGGCACCTTGGTCTTGTCCTTGTCCCCATGCGGTTTATTGCCAGACGCCTTTTCCTTGGCATCCGCAGCGCCAACTGCAACGGCCGTGGGATCTGGGCCGGCGTCGTCCACGAGGTTGCCTTCCTCGGACGCAGGCTCGTCTTGCGGGTGCTTTCCCACAGCGCTGCTCAGAGCCACTGACGCGATTCCGTTGACGAAGTTGCTAGCCTCCTGCTCTACGGCCTCGCCTTTGTGGTTCTCCGGGGCACCAGTGGCACTGTCGTGACTGCCCAAAATCCCGGACTTGGGTTTCTGCACCCCGCCAGACCGGGTGCTGACCAGGGCCATGGGGGCAGGAGGAAAGAGGATGGCTCGGGATGGCTCGTAAACGACCAGAACAAGAACGGTTGTCGTCAACAGAGGGACGAGGAAGTCGAATGCCCAGGCAAAAAAGTAGGCCTTGGGATCCGAGGAGCGTCAGCAGAGACACGAGCTTTGTATTCTTTAACGGGTTGGCTACTCACGGCGCAGAAGCTCGTAGTTCGCCTAGTTTCACGCCAAGATCGAAGGCGGGCGACATGCTTGACGGCAGCCAACACCCCGACGATGACGGTAGTGTAGAGCCGTTCGAGATTGGCGCGCAGCTTGTCAGGCGAAAACTCTTCCTCGTCGGCCACATTCAGGTCCAAGTTTCCTGGGACCGCGTACGGCACCGCTTTGACGTGGTACATTTGCTGTGAGGACATGGTAGGTTAGATATTGGCCCGCTTTGCTCTTATTCCGCTTTTAGGTAGTTCCCATGCTCACCTTGTTGAAGCGCCGAACGAGTATCCAGAGCTCCTCGTTCGACATGCCTCCCATCAGGGGCTCGGCGATGTTCTGCTTCTTCTCGTTCCATCCCAGATCGGCAACCTCGGTCTGCTGGTGGTCCTTTTGGAGCAGGCCTTTTTCCTGGTGGTCATCTGTGGCCAGGGCGTGAGAAAGAGTGGTATCTTGGTGGAGCGAGTTGGAGGTCTCTGTACGTTCTGGGTCCGTCACCGGCTGGGTGTCGGCGGGGATGGGGAGCAGGTCCAGGAGGCCGGTGCCGGGGCCCTTGTCTCCCGACACAGGGTTTGGACCGTTCTGTTGGGAATCCTCAGACGACATGGTATGCGGCGGATGTGACCCTGGCATGCAGCGGTCCGTCCCCGAGGCTGCGTCCGCCACTGAACCCTGTGATGCGCAGAACAACTCTACCGTAAAATAGAAGACGCCAGGAAGGGAATAGGGTCAGGCACCTCAAATCCCAAAAGGAGAATAAACTGGGTGTATTGCACGAGAAGTTGGAGAGCAAATGGTCGCTGAGGTGGACATGCAAGTCCGTTCTTGTGAGTTTTGTTCGACAGAGGGCGCTTTACTGCCCAGCGTCCCGCGTAGCTGGTATTGGCTGGAGTCAATGACGTAGATGGCTGCGCAGACCCAACAAGCCCTGCGCGAACCAAGACAACGCTCGACGTGCTCCAGTCAATTCCATTGATCGCGCTGTCGACCAGTCTGCTACCCACTGCTAACCAGACCTAATTACGTCACTCCATCACACATGCCACGACCATCAGCCAAATAATACCGGACGCGTCGAACCGCACACTCCTCTGCAATCTCAGATCCGAAAAGCCGTAGATGAGGAATTCCATGAAAGTTCTTGCATCAAAATTGTCCAGTAGACAAAAAAAAAAAAAACCCCGGCCTCAGGGATGCAGCGAAGACCGCCGGTTACAAAGGGACCGCATAAAGGAAAAGGACAAAATACAAGCGAACTCGACATGAAGGCAGCTCTTGTAGACCCTACCTATCAATCCATCCGGTCAATCGGCCCCACCGACGCCTGTTTCCTGTATGTGCTCGCATATAGTGCAATGATGTTCGCCCAAGGGGTGACCCGAAGTAGTATGGTGGACAATTCCAGGCCCAGAAGAGACCCCAAAATTGCGGCCGCGCACGTAAGGGGTATGAGGAAAGCGTCTTGACGTTTGTTGCCGCCGTTCAGGTGGTAGAAGAGCGTGAGGGCGGTGGAGTGGAGCGAGATACCCAGGACCAGAACGCCGGGGTGAGAGAGGAGTTCCTATTGGGAGTGTAAGTGGGCAAGCCCCTACGGTTGCAGATGGGACGAGCAATAAACTCACGGGTTGTGTGAAGTGGGATTGCAGGTTATCCGGCCATTTCGACGTATATTCCAAGCGCCATTGGGTCATCAGGACCGCCCCAGCGATTGAGACTGACATCAAGCCAATTCTGAGAGGCTTCGGCGGGCGTTGGGAGACGGTTGTTGGCCAAGCACGCCTCGAGTCCCAGGATGTTCCCGCCCAAAATGGACTGGTTCCAGTGTCTTGACCTGGCTTGTCTCTGAACGCGAATCTCTCCACGTCTTGATGCTTGGCTTCCCGGGCGTCGCTCGGTGCCATTTCTCGGCGGACGGAGGATGGGCAGTCTCCGGCTGTTACCCAACGGCCAAGGCCGGGGTGTTGCGCTATCGGATACTGATACTGCTCACTTCGTGGGCACGGCACTTCGCCGTTCTTGCCTTGCTGCCTTTCGCAACCGAGCTCGTCTTGGGTCGGCATGTGGCGGCATGAGTCGATTCTACAAACGAAGACATGTTAGTGTCAGCCCGAACTTCAAGCTGGAGTTCCTTCTTCGTACCTCGGCCTCGCCTCTGGCCTTGGTTGGTGAAGCATTGACTCGTTCTCTTGTGTCCCAGGTGAACACTCTTGCGAGATTGCCAGAACGTGGTCATCTGCAACAATAACCGGCACAAAAACGACGGGACACGTGCGCGGCATCGCTGGCGAGGCCATGGGCAGGAAGATTAATTCGGGATAGTCCCCGGGCACCGTTTCGTCGCAGATGGGGGTGTCGATATAGGCGATGATTTTGCGCGGCGGGTGGCGCCGCCATTCCATCGTATCGAAACCCATTCCTCCCCTTGATATCGTTGAAGCCCCAGGTCGTTCGGCTTCGCGACGCTTCGTCTGCTGTCGCGATGTGATGGTCCTGCCTACCAGAAGACATGGAGAGGTTTGTCCTGGGGGAATAGTCCTCGCCATCGAAAAGGTGGCGGCAAGGTCGGGCGTATGAGGAGTTGCAGGGGGGCGAGTGCGGCTGACGCGGAAGTGTAGAAACTGGGCGGGGATGGGAGGCCTCCTCGGAAAGTCGATGGAGGGGTCAATTGCCCGTGTTAGCTGTAATCGTTTCGACTGCACCGCCACCTGGGGGCGTTGCCCGGCTTTTATGGGATTCTGCTTTGGTTTTCGTCACCGTCAATTTCGAGACCACGCCGCGGCCATTATCCTAATCCCCCTCGTGTGGTGCCTTGTGTGCAATCGACAAACCACCACGCAGCCCTACACTCTGCCATCGGTTCCAAAGCATACGGCACTCCAACTCCCTTCCTTTTGGTGGTCTACGGGGCTGAGACGGCGATCGTGTCGCCCTGCGTCGGCGTCGTGGGCCTCGATCCATCATCCGAATCGACAGGGCACTGGTCGCGCGGGATAGCGGGGAAGAAGATCATGAACGACCTCGGCGCCCTCAAGCCGGACCTGGGCAAGGAGGAGTCCTTTTTGGTTGCCGACAGCCCCTTCGCCTTCAGCCCTGGCCAACTCAGCAAGATGTTCAACCCGAAAAGCCTATCTGCATTCTACGAGCTTGGCGGTCTCAAGGTCTTGGAAGAGGGCCTACAAACCGACCGCAAAGCCGGTCAGAGTCTCGACGAGCTCAACATGGGCGGCAGCGTCTCGTTTGAGGAGGCCCCGAGCACACCCAACTCGAAGCTGATGGCATTTGGCGAGTTTCCGGGTAAGAGAGCCCCTATACTTGGCTCCATCCTCATAATCCTTCCTCGGCGAGAAGTTCTCGCTGTAGCAACACCGGCGGCTGATAATGAGTAGCCAAGATGGCCTTGGATAGAGGGTGGACCGACTGGCCAAAAGACGACCGAACAGCTCATCTCCTTGTGCCCCCTGGCGGGGGTTCGCCTGGCATGGCAGCAGCAACAACCAACCTCGATGGAACCCCCAGCTCTGGCAATGTCACACCCAAAGACACTTCATCCCTAGGCGCGAACGCTGCGGATTTGTCGGCCGCCGAGTCTCCGCCGGACGACCACCCGCCGGCGATGGCCACAGCCCAAGGGCAAGCGCCGGGTGGAGATCGGTTGCTCACGGCGCGGGAGCTTGCTAGAGAATGTGGGCTTGAACCCAACGGTGCAATGGAACTTGTGGAAAGCCCTGTCTTCCGCAACCTCAGCGCCGCCGAAATGACAGTCGTGGCCCCGCGCCTTCGTGCGATCGCGCAATCGTCGCCCGAGGACAAGCGCCTGCTTGTGGAGAAGCTCAAAAGTCTCGGCTCGACTGTCACCGCCACTGGAAATGCCGACGACGTGCCGGCGCTTGTTGCGGCCGGCGTGGGGTTCTCGATGGGCGCGACGGGAACTGCAGTCGCCAGGGAAGCGGCGCAGATTGTCCTCATGGACGACAGCTTCAGCTCTGTCATCGCAGCTCTCGCATGGGGCAGGGCAGTTAACACGGCAGTCCAGAAGTTTCTGCAGCTCCAGCTTCTCGTCAACGTGACGGCGGCCCTGTTGTATGTCGTGGCTGTCGCCAGTGGGGGGGACTTGAGATGGATGCTGGTGGCGCAAACGGCGTGGTGGTATATCTGCATCGACAATCTCATAAGCACCTGGTCGGAGTATCATGCTACCAACAACCCTGATTGGAGCGCCTGGATACCTTCAAGGATTAGGAGCCTTGGGGTCGATCTCCTTCTTGGGGGACAACACAAGCGCAGACAGAGATTCCAATCACAGAATCGCGCCCGGAGCTCTCACGCCGGTAGTCGAGGATCCGCCACCAACTGCTTCGATCAGTTGGCGATCGACTTACCCTGGGTGAGGTCTGATTGGCTGCAGCACAAAAGCAACCTCGAAACTACACGCACGACAGCGTTGCATCTTTCCGGGGCTCACCTACACAGCAACCGCCCACGCCACGCCGGCCATGGTGACGTTGGCACGAACCAAATCTTGGCTTGGCATTGGGAAACGACTCCCAACAACGCCAACCTGTGCTATCTAGTCATAGGGCTGGTTCAGCTTCTGCCTCGGAACCCGAGGCAACTGTCGCTGATGGTGGCGGCAGCACTGCTTCTCGCCATCCCCCCCGCCGCTGCCGCCTGGACGAGGGCGCAAACCGTCTTCGTCCTGGACGTCTGCGTCGGCGCGGTGGCGGGGACCTCGGCCGTGACCGTCGCCGTGCTGCGGACCAAGGGCCAGGACCCCGAGGCCAAGTGGTGGATCACTGCCTACTCCTGCTGGGCGGTCGCCTTCACTCTCGCGCTCGTCGAGGCGCTGCTCAAACCCTCCGTATTGGGGCGGCGGAAGGCGTTCCTTTGCGCGACCTTCCTGCTCGCCGCCCACCTGAACCGCTCCTTGGGCGGGCAGGGCTCGTCCGCCGTCGACACCGTCCTGACGTACGGCCCCTTGTGGCTGGTCGTCAGCCTCTACCTGATGACGGTCCTGGTCGATGCCTGGCCGGACATTGTCCGTGCCACCATTGGCGTCTAGGTATCGCCTGGAGGCAGGCTCGACTGGGATTCGTCCCTGACAGAGTCGGTCATCTTAGCACCATTGAGTGCAATGCACGGACCTCGGTCACGTGAAGGGCGGGGTTATCCCATCGCCCGCACGGTGCCCTTCGGGGTTACCTTATATTTACGTCTTGTACCTCCCCCGGCTCGATGCCGATGAGCACTATCCGGGCATTCCATTACATTGTGTTGGCGTTCGGCTGTTTTTTTTGTTTTTTTAGACGTTCTTCCTGCTGCCTTCACCACGCAGTTAGCGCGTCTCAATTTTAGGTAACAGGGTTAGGGCGGGCCCATCGCAAGGTGGGTCCCAATCCTCCCGGGAGGGTGCCATATATAGATGGCGAGGCTTACTATCACGGCCTTAAGGGGTCCTGTACGTTTTGCACGGCCGCCTTAGAAGGCTGTAAAATGTCAAATCTTCTTCTCTTTTCGTAATTTCCCCTGTGAGGCTTAGGTACTAGATCGGAAGCGAAACTCGACCGCCGATCCACAGTGAGGTCGACTCGACGCCCGAATGAAAGTCTACACCGCGCCTCGCCGCCACAATTGGCTACCCTATCTATCACCCAATCGTCCCCTAGATGTTTTCTATCCTCTTTCCTATCCATCGATGAGGTGTAGACTCTTACTTCGGAACGCGTGGTCCATTTTGACAGCCTTAGATGGCTTGCACAAGCGGGTAAGCGAGGAAATTGGGGTTGTAAACCCTCTGGCACCTGTCGTTAAACTTCCCCGTCTCGTCCAGAGCAATCGCAAGCTCATCACCGGGCAGGCCGAGCTTGGCGAGCGGCCCCGACCGGGGCCGCACCCTGTCCCAGCCCGGGCCGGCCGCCGGGTCTTTGATCCAGGCAACGAACTTGTCATGGATGGAATCGGCCAGGGCCTGCTGCTCGGCCGTGACGCCCTGGAGACTGGCGAAGCACTCGTTGCCGCCGTGGAAGAAGGGCACCTCGGTCCCGTGCGTGGGCGCCGTGCCGGGCGGGCCGACGACGTTGTCGTACCTGCCGAAGAAGCGGTACGCCCACGTCGGCTGGGCCCCGGACCGCAGGTCGGCGAGGTAGTCGACGGGGCAGTAGAAGCGCGCGTCGCCGTACTGGGCGCCGGCGCGGAGCGGGCCCGACGCGAAGGCGGCCGCCGGGTACGCGGCCTCGAGCGCGGCCGGGTCCAGGTGGGCGACGTCGGCGTTGAAGGAGCGGACCCAGCTGCTGAAGTTGCCGTTCTCGGCGCCGTAGACGAGCGAGAAGATGGTGCCCTCGCCGTCCGAAACACCCGTCAGCAGCGGCACGTGCGACGCGTACCCGCCGGCCGCGAACCGCGCCGCGTAGTCCGAGTGGCGCGTCATGTCGTCGATGGTGGGCGTGAAGGCGGTGTTGAGGAAGCTGTTAAACCGCTCCGTCTTGAAGGCGTCAACGTTCAGCTTGCGCAGGCAGTCGATCTGGCCGCCCGCCGCCGCCGTGGGGCAGCCGAGGTCTGCGGCCATCAGGTCCAGGGCTTGGTTGACGGGGGCGTACGCGGGGCCGGACATGGCATTGGCGGACATTTGCACCGCGCCCTTTAAAAAGGTGTCTGGGTGGTTCCAGAGGTAGTGGTCGACCTGGACGGAGCCGGACGAGTGGCCACCGAGGACGATGTGGTCGGGGTCGCCGCCAAAAGCTGCTCGCGGGTTAGCATCAAGCGCGCGACACTCGTTACGCTCCCTAACATACCGGCAATATTCTCTCGCACCCACTCCAGAGCCTTGTCTACATCCAAGATGCTGAAGTTTTGCGACTCGTCAGGGCTTGCGGCCCCCAGCTCGGAGGAATGGGGTGAGGCAAAAATGCTCTCGCGCGTGTTGAAGTTCACGTAAACGACACCCTTCTTCGCGAAGTTAAGCCCCTGAATCTGCGGGTTGCTGTTGGAACCAGTGACCATGGCGCCACCGTACATGTACACGAACACGGGGGCTTTCCCGTCCTGTTCCTGCCGCACCGGCGCCCAAATGTTCAGGTTCAAGCAGTCCTCGTCCTGCCGCGACCATTGCCCGCTAGACGGCGACGGGCCCTGCGGACATGTCGGTCCGTAGGCGGTCGCGTTGAAGGGCGCCGCCGACGGAACCACCGGTTGGGGGGCGCGCCATCTGTTGTCGCCCCCGGTGGTGGCGGCGAACGGGATGCCGAGGAAGACCGAGTTGCCGTTCGCATCGCGTGTCCCCGTGATGGTGCCCTGGGCGGTGACGACGTTGGGTACGACATCACGGGGATGGGAGGGGCTCGCAGAAGCGGCGGCCATGAACGAGAATACTACTAGGAGCCCTGCGGCGGCCACAAAGTTGGCCTGAAAACCCATCATTCCGATAGCTAGCGGGATACTAGCTACAAGACAGGGGTAGATGTGTATTTTTGCGCTGTTTATTACCTCCGTGGTTTAGCTTGGAAGTCGTCGGTGTCATGGTCCCGTTCCTCACCGCCCATGTTCGGTGTGGAGCACCATCTCCACTTCTGGACACCACAAGGGGCCATGCCAAGCCTCACCCAGCTCTCGAAGCCGGGTCTTTGTCATTTCCGTGGCTCTATGTTTGCCCAGGCCGCCTAAGAGTTAGATTGGAGTTAGCGTAATCACTCTCCACTTACTAACTTCTTCTACAAACATGACACTTACCTCAGTGACTGCGGTGTACAGTTTGTTAGGGCGGTGGAAGAAAGAATTGTCACACATGATGAACTACCTCCAATACGATGTAACACAACAAAGCTCGGCCCAGCCTCAGCCCTTGTGAGCTCAGCTTTCCCGCTTCAAAACACTGCCTAGTGTGGCTCCCTTGCCTGAAAACTCTACGTTGTCCAGACAATGCCTTTCCACCGCTGTCTCTCGGAGAAGTTTGTGTTTAGCACCGCGTTTTCACGGATCCCAGAGAAGCCCACGGCACAATCACAGACCCGAGCATCATGGTTGCAACTCATATGGCAAACTTCGCTTTAATTCGAGTCATTAGATATGGCTCAGGTAGTCATTTGTGTCCATGGTGAAAGACTCAGCTTTCGCTGCCCACCGTCCTTGTATAAAGCTTTTCCGGCAGCACTGCATGCATGCAGCTTCCCCCGCCTCGTCCCATAAATTGACCCCAGCGACCGCCCATCCATTAGGTTCTATAAGGCGTAAGCCTTTGTGGAGCACACATTCGACTCAAAGGCCGGACTAATGGACAATTACTAAACTTCTGTGTCCATAACCGTTTTCTTTGCCTCCAGCTTCCACTGCGGCCCGCCACACATGCCTCGACAACCAATGAAAACACCCTGCAAATCCACACAGCAGACTTTTCTCTAGCTATAAATTCAAATGTCACGCACAGAGCTTCCAGCAACAAACTAAACCTACCTACCCACCGAGATGGGAATCACCTATCTCAGAACGCCGCAACTCCCTGCACACCTCTGCTAAGTCATTGGTACTGCCTGCCCAAGATCCTAAGTTTCCTTCCGCGCGTCCATCCGTTGGAACGACAAAATATTTGTTGCGAATCGCCTTGGTGACTACCATAACCCGCACCAAGTTACATTCCGGATCTCACGTCCTTGACCGACGTAAGTACACCTGCCACGTCCCCCTACGTTCAAATCGGGCTAACCTATGTTATTCGGTCGCAAGGCAGATTTATATATCAACGCCGATCCTTCGCAACATGTCGCAAATACTCCGCCTGCCGGACGAGATCCTCCTCATCATCCTCACGAACGTCAAAGATATTAAGGACACGCGCCTCGTCTGTAAAAAGTTCAGCGAAATCGCAGCCGAGCTATTGCTCAACACCGTCACCGTTCTACCCACCAACAATTCACTCGATAGACTCGCCAGTATCTCGGCCCACCCTCTGATTCGAAAAGGGATCGCCAACATACGCGTACAAACCTTCGGGTTCGCGCCCGAGGTTCTAGACCTAGGAAGGTTCAGAGCTTTATGGCCCACGAAGACAGCCCACTGGACCGATGCGGTCCACTCTGGAATCCAGGACCGGCTGGGGCGCCCAATCACTTCCCCAGCAGAGTTTACACGCAAAGTGGCATTGTACATGTCCCGACTTCCCCGTGCTATAGATCTCGACATCAAGGACTATGAGACAGGCGACACAGGCGAGGAGAATTACCTCAAATACCTGGTGTCAAAGTACCCCAAGCCACCAAAGGGTCATCGGAGCGTTGAAGGCGCGACTCTCAGTTTGGCACATATGTACGGGAAAGTGGCCGGGAGATGGCCAGCCAACGGAGAGGCCTCTTTCGCCCAGGCCGTCTGCGTAGACCTCCCCATCTACGCCTATCGACAAGGAAAGACGGTCCGGAGCTATCGCCCAACCCTTGTGTCCCCCTTTACGCGGGAGGCACTCGGGCAGGCGCTGCCCGTCGGCGGGCAGCTAGTCGCCCAGTGGCAAGCGGCTATCGGTGCTTCGGCGGTGGTATTCGAGGAGAGGGCAGACCGCCCTCGCGCGCAGTGCCTGCAGGGAATCCCAATCCCGCAAAATGCTGGCCTGGGAGAGTTCGGAAGAATTCTCCGTGGCGGCTGAGGGTATGGCCAGCTGAGATGGGGTGGGGGAGAGATAGTTATCAATTGACTCCAATAAAGTCGGATAAAATCTCCACCAAGAGGCGAAAATTGCCACAGACGAGGCTAATCACGAAGGGCCGACACACTGTTCCAGGCCCTGGCACGGAGGATCTACACGGGCACCCGGCACGGATGCTCCGCACCGGTGCTGCTCTGGGTAGATGCTTACCGAGCATCCGTCGGCAACAACAGTGGTGCGGTAGTGGCCCTCGGGGGGCGTACGGGGCGACTCTAGCGCCGAGACGGTGCTGAAATGGGGCGTGACTCGCGCTGTGGTGGGTGCTGGCTCTGGTGGATGTCGGGAGCCGGCCACAGCGCGCGTATTTTTACCCCTGAATCAGCTGGAGCCACCGCGAAGCGCCCCGGTGCGGTTAGCATCGGTTGCGCCGGGTGCGGCTCGTAGCGCCTATAAAATTGGCTGGGCCTCATCCATCCGTATCATCACTGATAACGCCCATTGAACCCGTGGTCGTTGTTGTGCTAACAGCACTGGTCCTTCAGTGGCTGGCTGTGCTGTTAGTGCTTGTTGCTGCCTCGGGGAAGGCTTGGGGACTAGAGTGGGGAGAGAGGGGGGACCAACAAACATTGACGCCAAGTTCGTTTCGCTCTTCGAGATCTTTCAAGCCTTTCTCCTTCCTTTTCGTATTTTCTTTTTCTGCTTTTCTTTCTTCCATTTTACTTGCTCTACTTCTCCCTGCTTCTCGGTCTGTCGACCTTCCTTCCATTTCCATCAACTTCTTTCCTGAAATGTCACCGGCTCGGGTATACTTGCAGAATTTTTGCGTACTCCGTATGTGGAAGGCCCACCACAACAGGCACACAGGGCGTCTTTTTTCGCACAGGAATTCCTGGAATCTCACGGGCTTACTTCCTACCAAACCTGTCCAGTCTGCGAAGGCCTTCCAATTTCTTTTCCGCGAGGCCCTTTGTTCCCTTTCCGTGGTCGACCGCCGTCTATGGCTGCCTCATGCCTTGACGTGGCGGAGGGCCGAGCAGGGCCTCACCGGCCACAATGGCGACCAAAGTGTGCAAGCAAACGCCTCTTTACAGGCTTGGAAAACGGTATCTAATTCAATAGGACGGAAGCCGGCAGCGCCTGTGCCTCTTGTTTGACGCCGATTCCAAACGGACAGTTAGGCACCAACTTGGCCGCGGGCCTCTTTGCTGTGCTGGCCATTTTCTTTGTCTAGATCACGAAATACGGGACAGTCCACCGACGAGACGGTATTGAAGGTGTCCATATAAAGCTAGAGAGGATGGCACAGGCTGGAAAACATCTCCCTCGATCTTCTAGATGCTCAGACACCCGCAGTATCCCACCCTCCTCCTTGAGACACTCTCCCTCAACACTGTCCTAGCCGCCCACCTAGTACTAGCAAGACAAACCCCTGAGCCTTTGACCCCCAGGAAGCCACCACAGCCATGGATCGCGAGGTGCTGCTCTGCGCAGCCGTCGTCATATCTGGCAGCGTTCTCTTCACGGTCGTCAGCGGCTGCGGTTACGCTGTGGCCCTGGCCATGCTGTACTACTGTATCCACAGCGCCTACCTCGAGGAGTCCCGGCGGCATTGCGAAGTCATGGCCTTCGTCCAGCGCTCTCGCGCCGTTGTGAACTTCTCTCACTTCGGCGGCTCGCTCGAGCCGAAGGACCGGCTCGCCCTCCGGTCCAACGACAACAAGCGCCTGGTGAGGGCCTTTGGGATCCACAACTCCCTCACCACATACGACCCCGAACACCACCACCGCTTCGTCCTCGACGCCCGCCGCTTGACCAGCAATGTCGATTGGCCGGTGCTATACTCCTCCTGCGTCACCAACGTCAGGGAGATGGTCGCGCACCACAGGTCACCGCTGCGGGGAAGCCTCGAGGGTAGCGACTCTCCGCTCCCCATCCCGATCGCTCAGCTGGTGCAGCAAGTCTGCTTCCGCGGCGCTTTAGATGCCCTATTCGGCCACGCCACGACCTCAAAGCTGAGCGACGACGACGTCAAGGTCGTCACGGCGGACATCAACCGGCTGTGGGTCGAGTCCAAGAACCCGGAGGCCCGGCCCGACTCGACGCACTTGCGGGAACTATTGGAGCGCGCGGGGCTGCCCACCACCCAAGTGACGGAGGAGACGCGGCCCGCGACCGCGGAGGAGGCGCTTAGTGTCATTCTTCCAGCATACGAGTGAGTATCACGAACCCACTCTTCCTCCCATGTTCGATTCGTGCGGCAATCTCGTTAATAGACCTGTTCGTCATCGTCTTCACAGGACCCTCTGGCGCGTTGTCTTGTTGACATACGTCCACGCCTACCACCGGTCGCCTGACCACGAGAACATAACCCAGATGACGGCCGCAGTCCCCGACTGTCTGGGCACGTCCAAGACCGAGAAGAGGGCGCTGAGGCTGGCCAAAGTATTTCGCATGTCCCCCCATCATATGCTCGGACGCAACTAACCCTCATCGTTCGAACTTCAGGAGGGCCTCCGTCTGTACCCCTCCACCAAGCGCATCTACCGCGCCACGGCCGTTCCCGAGGACGACCCCATCGGCGCCGGACGGGTGTCGGCCGACGTGGAGCGATGCCACCGGGACCCCGACATATGGGGCGCCAACGGGCTGCAGTTCCGGCCGGAGCGCTTCGGCGAGCTGACGCCAATGCAGATGAGCGCATACTTCCCATTCGGACTGCCCAAGCATCGGTGCCCCGCGTTCAATGGGTTCGGCGAGCGCCTGGTGACGTTGCTGGTCGTGGCGCTGGCCAGGGCGCTGCCGCCGCCCGGCAAGTCACGGCTGCTCTTTGGTGGCGATGGCGCACTAGACGCTGACAACAAGGCACCGCTGCCAACTGGCAGGGCGGACATGGATGACTGGGTAATTCTAGTTTAAGAGGCGGCTAGATAAAGTTGTTCATTGTGCTCAGTTCAGCACAGAGGGGGATTGTTCAATCGATGTTGTCAAAATGAAGGATGGCCATTTTTTTGGGACATGGTGGAACATGGAAATATTGGTGACACGGCCAGCTCAGCTGCCGCGACCACATCAGAATTAGTGTAGCTATAGAGGAGAGTGGACATTCTAATAGATCTGGCGATCATCATACGCCCGCACGCGTTCCAGGTACGACGTGACCTGGCTCCAGTCCTTACAAACTGAAGGAACACGAGATGGTGATGTCAATATGACTGTGCCAGAGAATTATGGGAATGGCGGTTTCGCTACTAACCATGCTTGGAATCCCAACCATCGGAGCCACCGTTGTGGTCAGGGAAGGTGGTCTCGAGACCCTCAAGAGCCATGTCTGCCGAGCACATGATGGCCTGGCGCATGTAGTCGAAACCTGTATGCGGGCACAGTATTAGCATCAAAGAAGTAGGATGATTAGTGATGGAGGAGAGAAAACCAACAGTGTAGCGCGTGCCAGTGGCTGTCCTTCGGCAGCTCGTGACCAGAGTGGTACGCAGAGTAGATGTGCGTGAGCGTGAACTAGTGGACAGAGCAGCATTTGTCAGTACAAGTACAACGTGACGTCCGGGAATTGGAATGGTCCCACATACCAGGCAGTGCAGCTGGTGAGTGACCGAGGTGGTGAAGACGGTCTTCTCGGGCCAGATGATGGGGGTGGGCAGGTCGTGGTACTTGTCCGTGTCGTTGACCCACTGGAAGCCCATGCCAACTATTGATCAGAAGGAGGAGGGTTAGCTGTCTAACTGAGATTGTTGCCAAACCTTGCTACGGGATAAACACGTACTCGGCATGAGTTCGCTCCACTTATCCATAACCTCTGGGGTGAAGAACTTGGACGTGTCGTTGGGGGCGTAGGACTGGTCCATCTTGAAGGTGGTGATCTTCATGGGGATCTCAGGGGCAACACCGGTCATGTCACCGCCGATCTGCCACGGGTTCAACCTCCGCTCCTTGTACTGCTCCTTGACCAGCAGGCCGATGATGACGAGCAGCAGAGCCGTGTCGATCAACCACCTGCCGGACCTGAAGGGCGCCAGCAGCTTTTCCCGCAGGGATTTTGGTCTCCTCTGGAACATGACGTCTTTCTGGTATGACTTCTCGTCGCCCATAAGCGACTCCTCCACCTCGGTGCTCGACTCGTCGTGATCGTCGTGGTGCCCGACGTTGGCGTAGTCCTTATGCCTTGTGGGTTCCATCATGTTGGATGTGAATATGGTCGACACGCAGAAAGAAGGACGATGGGTGCTGTGGTGGAAATTTCGGACTGATCAAAGTCCAGAATGTAAAGGGTGAATTGTACCGGCCTGCCGAGAAAAGGGAAAGAGTGGTGATGTGATGAGAAACAGGGAAAGAATGGAAGGTAGTCAAGGGACGCTTCTCTCGGCGGGCGATGCGGCTCCTTTTGGGCGAGATGCTCAAGACCCGCCGCCAGGGGTGTTTCAAGGGCGACGCCAGCCTTCCCGGTCCGCTGGCCCCGCTGGACCCGCACCACTCGCCGCATCTGGTTCTCGCCGTCCTGTGTCGCGTTTCAAAATAGCTGCGGCCCCCGCCGGGATCTAATGATTGGGCCAATGCGAGCGCTTCTGTGCGAAGGTCTTCGTCGCGGATTTGCCTGTCCGCCACGTGTTTGGGCTCGAGGCAGGATGGGAAGAGAAGCGACTGCGCGTTGCCGAATCATCGTACTGGATTTGAGTCTCTGGGCTTTGCACGATGGGGTCTTGGGAGGGCGCAATGTCACCGACCATCTCGGAAACGCGGATGCGTTGCTAAACGGGATTAAGCAACTCTGTAGTGGGGTAGCAGTGGACTTTCAGCGGGGATGCACTCCACTCCATGTTTGCAGGACCCATGGCGTCACATCCACTGTCAGGTGTGGCTCAAGGGTTCGTCGCAGGCAAGAGGCAGCTCCAGCCGACGCGATCTGCAAAGCCGTCCTTGGCGATTGCAAATCTGTCGTTCTGTCGATCAGTTGTAGTAATTGATTGCTCTTGGCAGCTGGTGATGGTGCGATTAAAATGATATTTTGCACGTCCGACTATAAGTATAGGACACATAATTCGTTCATTCATTCTGCAGCCGTGGTCTTCATTCTCCAGTCCCCTCCCACATGGCGCACCCACGTCCCCAGGGGCCGCCTATTTGTCCTGGACCGGGAAGTCGGATCCGGTGGTGTTCTTGTATTGCTTGCGGATGTAATCCGAGATCTGCTCGTCTTTGGCCTGCTCGAAGGCGCCCTCGTTGTTTTGCGGGCCTTGTCCGAGGACATGCTCCTGAACCCAGTCTACGCCTGCTCGGGAAACAGGGGCGGATATTAGCGTTTGCCATCGTGGTGTAGAAGCGATCGAGCACGCAGGCGGTCCCGGTTCGTTGGACTAAGGGTGGCGAGATGACTGGATAAAGAAAAGGAAGCACAAACCCTTGTCGAGCGCATCCTCGTTCTTCTCGCTCTTCTTGCCTCCACCGGCTATGGAGTTGACCTTATCCATGAAGCCACCCGAGCTCTCGTCCTTTTGTGGCTGAGACTCTTTCTGGCCACCCGCAAGGCTACTGAGCTTGTCCATGAGGCCATTGCCTTGTTGCTCCACAGGCTTGGTCGACTGCTCGGCGTGCGGCTTCTGCTGGGCCTCCTTGCTGTCGTCGCCGCTAAGGCTCTTGATGAAGTCCATTGCGGGAGCCTGATGGAGGTGGTTTGGTTTCTTGTACTGTTATTGAGGAGAGGTACAATAGTGTGTAGGTAGGGGAAACAGACGCGGGACACGAGTGGTAACTGGGCAGGGGGTCTGCTGGTGTTAAATAGCAGGGCCGCACGACTCGTGGTGATAGCAGCAGCGCTTCAGGGAGTCGTGCGGGGGCAGCTGAGCACAATCCGTCACTCCAGTTGGCGTGTGATGTCACCACCACCCCACCACGGAGGAAGGTGGTCTTGGCATTGTTTCTGACGACAGATCTGGCCAGGCAAATCTTGAACAGATGTTGCACCGCCTCCAACGCTCTTTCCCTTGTTGTTTTCCCCTAGTTTTTTTTATCCCTCCTGTTTTTAAACCCCCGTTCAATGCAATTGCACTATGTACTCTACCTATCCTTCCGAATTTCCTGTAGTCTCGATCTAGACAACGCTGCACCGTCAATCGTAAGCCTACGCTCATCTCCATCATCGCGACATGATGCGCCGATTGGAATTGGGTTGCTAGGACGTAGGCCGGCACAAACTACATCGCCGTTGGTCGTGCGAAGATGTAGGTAGTTGGCTTGGTGTCGCAAGACCCTCCCTGATTGCCACATGACACCCAAAAGCTTGAGAAGCTTGAACTGACGCGCCTGAGTCCTGGATGTTTGGGCTTACTGTGTAGCTCCAGCCCTGGCCGCTAGCAGCAGGCGCCAAGCACTTGAGGCCTGTCAGCCAACCATTCGGCGCACTGCATGGTCGGTCCCACTCACGAAGCCATCTTTGCGCGTCCTACACGCCGACCAAGCTCTGCACGCTCTTCCGGCAGGGGATGCCGCCACTAATAGCGCTGGCCGGGTCGGCTGCGAATGGTGTCGGGAGACTTGCGATATTAACCCTCGGTTCGAATGTTTTCGTCGCAAACGCGCACCCCGCCATGACCTCATCCGCTGCCGCAGGGACAGACTCGAAGGACGACGACTGGCCCAAGCTCCCGCCACGAGCTTCTGTGTGAGGTGGGTCACATGACATACCCACAACGCTAGTATTTAGTCCTGGGATCGTTGGCTTTCCTTTGCTGGCTTTCCCTTAATCCGACAGTTTGCACCTCCGACAGCTTCGGTATGCGGTGCGATTGGCTGGTTACCTAGGCTCCCTCGACTCATGCCTCAGGCAGGCCAATGTTCGCATGTGGGAATCCCTTCAACCCTCGAAGCCCCTTTTGTGCTTGGCTGCCTCGGCATGGACGACATGCTTGTGGTCGCGTGCCATTTTTCCTTACTCTCGCTGTGCTCTGTCCTTTTCTCATCCCTTTTCCTGCTTCGGTTCGCGCCTGTCGCAATGAGACCTCCTCTTTTTGCTTCTACTGTCTCGTTTTCCTCTCCGGTCTTAGGCTGCTTCTCGTGTCCCTTGCCTTTTCTGCTTCTCCTGTCTTTCTCTGCCCCCCTGTTTCTTTCCGTCCCCATTATCTGTTTCTGCTTCCGCTGTCTCTGTCCGCTTCCCCTGCATCTTTCTGCTTACCATATATCTCATATCTTTTTCTCCTGTCTCTTTATTTTCCTCCTTTGTTTTTCTCTTGCTCCCGACCCTTTCCACTTCTCCAGCCACTTTTGCCTCTGTGTCTTGTCTGTTGTATCGGTCTTTTCTTCTCCGTCTGCTGCTCTTCTCCGTCTGTTAATGATCTCGCAAATGGCCGGGTTGCTTGGCAATCCAGTTGTCGGGTTTCTACAGGATGGTCAAACTACTAATCGTTCAGGTGGGCGTGAAGGGCTTTGGGGGAAGTGAGAGCTTGTATCGCAGTGATGGCTCCGTGTCGCTGGCCAAAGAGACTAGTTCCATATTTACATTAAGATATATAAAAAGCACAAAAAGGGTTGGAAGACTTGCCGCCACTTCTTGCTTCATCAAGAGTCTGACCTGCCAAGTTCTGGTTCTTCTGGGCACCCTCTCAGCTTGCATCGCCTTCGAGCGGAGAAGTATGTGCCACGGAATGGGCAAGGCGGGGATAAGATTTGGGATCGTCTGAAGACAGAGCATGAATCCAAGGTGGTGGCCTGGAACGGTTGTCTGTCGGCCTGGGGCTTCCTCAACCAAAACTGCCTAATCCGGCCATAATGGAAACAAAATTGATAAAAAAAAACTCCTGTGTACTGTTCGGCAGGCCCCTAGTGCGGCTCTAACGAGCGGCAAGCACCGCAAAGTATGGAACATGGGTTCGACATCAGGCACAGTGTGGCGTTAATAGCGGCCCGCCAATGGAGAAGTTCCCGCTCTGGGATGAGCCAGGCGGTGTCAACTCTTACTTGATTTCGCATCTGGATCTTGTCGATCGGCACGCCCCTCTTGTCTTTTTTTTTCTTACTGCATCTGTTACGGCCTGGCGTCTACTCCGGGCCGACGCCCGCAAGCAAGGAGATGCTTCGACAGCGTCACAAGAAGTACCCTGAGAGCAAACAACGATAGTCACCAGGTGGAAAGGAGTGCAGCCAAATGATGGATACTTTGGTCTACCTAGCTACAAAAGAACCAGATACTAATTAATCAACCCCTCGGCTGGGCAGCCATATGTTGTTGAAACTAGGGCCCTGCGTCGGAGAATCGGTCCGGGCGTGGTGGAAAGAGACAGCGTCTGGCAAGACCAAAGTAGCACAAAAGCTAACGCCTCCAGCGCTGGAACGAAATCGAGAAACCCCGGTGTGATACCACCGCCCCAATGACCCCGGGGCTGTGCTGCTCAAGTGGCAACACGCAAAGTCTGGAACTCGGCCGGCACTTCCTCGGTTGTGGTAATGGTCGAGTTGAGGAGGCCGCCGAGGCTAGAGAACAAGATGCTGTTAGCAAGGATGGTCGGAACTGCTTTCGGGGGCGGTCTAGAGTGAAGAAGAGGGATAAAAAGGCAGGTGTAGTTCTATCGAACAAAAGGTATAGAAAACTGAAAAGTCCGTACTAGAAGCGAGGAAGAATCGTTAGCCGCCGTGACTCGTCGCAGAGTGGGCACATGCGCCAGAAATTTTGGGGGCGTTGAAACTTACCAATTTGTCGTAGTCGGCATCGTTCAGGCCCGAGACGTCATAGTCGGCGCCGGCGACGGAGAGAGGTCGGGGCGGACGACTCCCTGGCACTCCTCGTTTCCAACGGGGCACTGCTCCGAGTCGCGTTCCTCGGGGACACCGCGCCTGCGCAGAGTGGGATTGCTCCAGCCGGCGCCGGTAAAGTAGCGTCCGGTCATGCAATGCCCCGGGTCTCCGTTGCGGCGTATGGCGACTCTGTCGCAACGGCCGGTGTCGTGACCCCGTACTTGCAGCTTGCGGTTCATTTTGAAGTAGACGCTCCTCACCAAAATGCTATCCCTGAGGCAGCACTTGTTGGTGCCGATATATCTGCAGGTGTACTTTGGGAGGCTTGTATCTCTGCATGAGGTGTCGGCGTTCAAGGTGATGTCTACGGCCGAAGCGAAGCCGACAGAGAGGTAGAGGATGGCGGTGACCTGGTTGAAGAGCATCTTGAGGGGCTTGGGGTTTTTGGAAAAGAGGATCTTGGGATAGACTGCGTGGCAAGACGTCCTGGGTTTGCTCGGTGCTGGTGTGCTGGGCGCTGAGCTGAGGGCTGCTGGAGTTTGGATCGACATGCCTATTAATCGAGGGAGCCCGGGGGTCTTCATAGATGCATCTATTCTCATGATGCTCTCAGTGCCGACAAGTTTCCGCAAACTCTCCTTGTTCGAGGCCCCCCGCCCAGCCTTTCCAGCACCGCACACCGCCGCGGTGCAGCAATACCAAGCAACAACTGGTGGGTCGGCGTCGCAACTGAACTCGAGCCATAATACATATTTGTAACTGCTGTGCGTATCCTCGCGCGCTCAAGTCTTGCAGCAATCCCCATCCTGTCGGCATTAAGGCGGAGTTGTGAGCTCCCAGAGCGGCAGTGAGCCGGCTAAGCGACATGCAGCCTCTCCTCGATGCACCCTATTCGAAGACTTTCAATTGGGCCAAGAGCCAATAATTTGCATTCTCGGCGCGGCTCCGCCCAGCGTCGGCCAACGAAATCACCGGATAAACCCAAACACTAGAATCATAAAGCCATCGGGCCTCCTTTACGCTGAGAGAGGAGCGGGCGAGATCACCTTGGAAGTCAGAAAGTAGCTCGGCAAATTGCCGTTAGCCGGCAGTGTGTAACAGTATGGGGGCGGGGGCCAGAAAATGGGAGAGGTCTCCATCATGTGATACTTTATACAACCCCTTGCCAAAACACTGCTTTAGAATTAAACTCAGCACTGCTTCTATCCCAATCAGCTGACCGTGATGGTGCTGGTACCGCTGGGAAGCTTGGTCCCGTTGGCAAACGCTTCGGTAACCATAAACATATTCTGCTCAAAGTTGCCCAGCCGGTATCCCATCCTAGCCCAAGCGTCGAAGTGGTTGCCCGTGGTGATTGTGCCGCCGACGCTGCCCGTCTTCTTCTCGGCCTCGCTCCGTACGGAAAAGTACTGCGTGAAGGTCCGGGTGCCCTCGATGGACGGCTTGTTGACGCGCTGGGCGGTGTAGAGGGCGTAGTTGCCACCGTCCGACGTAAAGTTGCCGCGCAGCGTCCAGGGCTCGCCGGGGGCCAGCACGTCCCACGACTCGACGATATAGAACTCGATCAGCGGGTTTCGGGTCCAGCCGTAGAGGGAGAGGTAGCCGGGGCCTTTGGGGTTGTATTGTCCTGCGTATTTCACCGTCCTGTACGATTGTCATGGGATTGTTAGTGAACCTTGCTTTCGTTGCTATGCACAGCCGGTTTGTGTCAACAAGGCAAGACTAACTTCCTGCCGGCGCCCCAACCGGTTCCAGCCACCATGCCGCCACCTTGCTGTCCGCTCCATGAGCAAGAGTACTTTCCGCCTCCCTGCTGCTGGCAGTTGAACTGCCCCCGGCCTTCAGTCCACCACTGCCATGGGAAATTCTGGCGCGTGACGAGACTGTTGGGCTGCTGGGCACTGGGTGCGGCGACGACGCTGGGAATGAAGGCCAGCGCGATGGCGCTGACGAAGGCGGTAAAGGAGACCATGCTGATGTGGAAGAAGGCTGTTTGCGTTGGAAATGTTCTCGGTGTTGATGACAGACGCTGTGTGATGGTAGGCCGTTTTTACTTCGAGGTTGGAAGGTTAAGCCTGTGGTTATTTATGTCATTTTCACATCACCAACTCTGGGGTGCATATGTAAAGCGGTCTGGGGTGCATCGGCAGTCGATCGCGGGTACCTTGAATCGGGTCGACATTCCCCGTCTTTGTAAAGTGGCTAAATTATGACGTGGTACCGCGTGAGCCACTTTCCATTTACCCGTTAATAAGGAGGCCACTTGATGACGGCAGTTTTGAGTATTTCGTCAAAGCTCGTTTTAACCGGACAATTTCCGCCAATCACGGACTTGGCATAAAAGTGCCGGTTTCCCTTAATCCGGCGGAGGAATTTTGCCTCGAAACATAAACACCCTTTGTTGATACAATGGTGCTGCCAGGTTTCGAGCTTCACTTCCTGGCTTTGACCTGCGGCTTTGTTCCTGTGTTATTGACAGCATAATCCTCAACGACAGCACCCGCGGCCGAGGTGCCGTTTCCGGGGACCGCACCGGCCTCGAGCAGGCGCCAGGAGCAGGCGACCTCGTTCCACTCCGAACTGGTTCCACCGTCTACGGGGATACTGCTCGACTCTCTAATGCAGCGCTTGATCTGGCCAGAGAAGTCATAGTGGCCGCGGCGGTTGCGCCAGTCCATGCAGAGAATCTGCAGCCCCAACACCTTGGGCATTGAGCGGCCGCCCTCGTTGAAGTAGACTTAGAAGCTGCCGAACGAGGTGAAGAACCAGCCGTGGCTGTCGCACGGCCTAATCGACGGACTTAACGGCCAGATTGTCATGCTGTCAGCGGCGGTAAGGCCTGCGCAGCCCGCCAACAGGGCGGCTGTGGCATGGAGGCGCATCTTTTGGCTTGCTGTACGTGTCCGCCTTGGGCCAGCGGCTCGGCTGGCGGGGAAACGAAGATGAGGTTGATGGTACCTAACCTTCGGGACTCTTGGAGACCTCGGCTGTATTTTTTGGTCCGGGGAAGTCGAGAGCAGGATAGGAGGCCTGGAGACAGGAAATATGAAGAGTTTAGTAGACGGCGCCCCTGACTCCTGCCATAAACCGAGCTGCTGGCTCGAAAGCATGGTGCACAGTCCAGGCTATCAAGCCCAACGCCCACTGTCTGGTTCCTCGTGGGGCCTCCTCCCCTCAGCTCCCGCCTAGACGAGCGTCAGGCCAGTCTGGCAGCACCACCGTCATTGATATTCTGTGATCACGCTATTGCAGGGGGCTTGCATGCATTGCCCCCCTGGATTTCCGGACTCATCGGCTGTTCTTTCTGCCAGACGGCGCTGAATCCGCCTCGCCCGCTCAGAAGCAGCAGCTCCCGGCGCTGTTTTTCAATCTTTAAAACAGCCGACCTTGCATGCTGGAGCATATTCGAGGACTCACACACTCTTGCCAACAGCAAAATGCTCAAAGTGTTGTCAGCCTGGGCCAGTTGGGATGCTGCATGGGTACGCCGTTTTGAGGAGTTGCGGTGGCTTCTCGGGCAGATCACCTATCACAGCACCGCATCTCGGAGGATCGCAGTTTTTCTACTAGTGGGGACGCTATATGGCTAGGGGAACATCGGAAGAGCTGCAATATCTTCTTCGGGCAGGCCACTTCTCACAAGACTGGATCTCGGAATATTGAAGCGTCTGCCGTTGTTGCGCATCGGAGGTGGTCAAACTGCAGCTTGAGCGATTGCCATAAAATTGGGCTGTTTACGGGGGGCACCGGAGGTCGCGCATTCTTGGCGATGCGCCGTTGCAATGAGCTGCTTAGGTGGCTTCAGGTGACGGCCGCTAGGTGGTTTTGTTATCGCCGATTTGTATGGATGCGCCACATGCTTTCCGTTGCCAATCCCGCACGTGATGCTAAGCTCTCAGCCCCGCCCAGCGTCAATCGTGGGGCTGCGTGCGGCGGATTCGGTCGTCAACTCCGCCCCGACAGGTCCATAAACGACCGTCCGGCAATTCCGAAAGCTTCGATATTCGCCGACCTTCAATTGGCTTCCACCTACCCGAGGGACTTGACATGTGCCCGGCCTCTTGATATTTCATCCAGCGTCCGCTTCTTCGATTGCGCCTTCTAGCATTCCAGGACGAGCGTCGGAGCTCCGTTACATCGACTTTCCTCCTCCCCACGTCAGCCTCCCACACCACACCCCGACAAACGCCCACCATGGACTACGTCGGTGCGCGCATGGCCAAGGAGGCACACAAGGCCGCAACCGAGCCTGCCCCTCCGTACGCCGCTCTGTGCTACCCTCCCGGGTCCACCGGGGCTTCCCCCTCCCACTTGCTTCCGCGCTGACGATTTCCTTCGCGTACCATGCAGCACCGGCATCGTCACCCCGCTCAACCTCCTCGTCCTCGCCGTCATCGCCTACACCGTCTACGTCATCCTCCGCCCGTCGGCGCCGCCCGTGATGCCGCGCGAGGCGCCCCCGACCGTCTTCCGCACCTTCACGCCGCGCACGCTGATCGAGAACAACGGCGAGGGCGCCCGGCCTGTCTACCTGGCCGTGCGCGGCCGCGTCTTCGACGTGACGGCCGGCCGCAACTTCTACGGCCCCGGCGGGCCCTACGCCAACTTTGCTGGCCGCGACGCCTCGCGCGGCCTGGCCAACCACAGCTTCGACGAGGACATGCTCACAAAGGACCTCGACGGGCCCCTCGACGCCCTCGAGGGCCTCGGCCCCGACCAGCTCGACGCCCTGCGCGAGTGGGAGGAGCGCTTCGAGAGCAAGTACCTCGTCGTCGGGCGGCTCGTCGCTGTCGGCGACGAGAAGGCAAAGGCCTGAGGGGTTCCGAGATATGCACAAGGTGGGAGGGTAGGCTGAGCAGAGAAGAGCCCACGAAAGAGACGTGATGCTCGTAGCGAGTGTCTCTGTGATTACTTGATGTTGATGCTCGGGATTTTGATAGACAAGATGGTCGTTTGTTTCGTCTCCTTCGCTATCCTCTTAACACCTACTCGACACGACGCACCACTTTTTGAGATAACCCTGTTTCTGGTTATCCTGCAAGTTTAAAAACATCTCTGCCACATGGATACGGGAAACATTGAAAGGTCACAATCTGTCCTCAAACTCGAGCATGTCGTCGTCCTCGCCTCTTGAATCGAGCGTCTCCATCTCGACGATGGCTGATCCATGCCCCCGAAAGACGCCTTCCAGGGTTGCCGTTCCCTCCGGGCTTGTAGCCATGAACTTCACGGTGGGCCTATCGCCAGAGGCCCTTGTGAGCCCGAGCAGGCAGCCCGCCACTTTGTGCAGGTTCTCCATGTGCTGGGATGCCTCGTAGGCCTCTATCCCGTCCCCGACACAGATCAAGGTCTTGTGCGGCGGGACAACGCGCCGCACCAGCCAGTTGAAGAGCTCACACAGCTTGTCCGTGTTCCACCGGCGTAGACAGTCCAGCCCTGGGTCGTTGAGGCCCACCTCGAGGTCGCGCTGCGTAAAAGGCCCGTCCCTCAAGGCGTCGATGATGGGCTCCATCCCGTTCTGCATCTGCTTTAGCTGTAGGAGCAGCTGCGCGACGAAGGCTCGAAGCATGGCACCCGGACCGCGGTGCGGGTCGCCGGCCTCGAGGTGCCGGCGGCAGAAGAAGACGAGGGAGAGGTAGCGGTCCTGGCCGCGCAGGCTCCGCATCATGGAGGCCGAGAAGAAGGACAGCGCGGCGCTGGGCCCCGTCGTGTCGCGTGTCACGTCGCCTAGGACGAGCAGCGCGCAGGAGGTTTCCGACGTGGCCCACGCTCGGAACTCGCCCGTGAGCATGATGCCCTTGGCGCGGCTGCGGTACCTCAGGCTGACGGATTCCTCTGACCCCAGAACAGACGCCAGGTCGTCCGCGTCGGGGCTGGATATGCCAAGGGTCCAGAGCAGCTGGCTAATGCACAGAATCGGCTCGAGGGGCGGTGGGGGAGGGTGGTAGTACCCAGGCGGTGGTGGTGGCGCGGCCATCCAGAGCGACTGCTGCTGGTATTGATATGGGTATGGATTTGCATACTGTTGCTGTGCTGGATCGGGAGGCTGTACTTGCCATGCCGGTTGCTGTGTCGGCTGGCTCCAAGGCGGCTGCCCTTGAGGCGGATGCCAGGGAAGCTGTTGCTGCTGCTGCGGAGGTGGTAGAGCTGCGATGAAGCGGATCCCGAAATCGGGAGACTCGAACCTTTTCGCAAACCTTTCCGTCATGGCTTGCCACATTCCTAACGTTGAGCGGGATTTTTAGCGCAGGCTCGGGTACCCAACAACGGTAGAGCTTTTATAGCTGAAAACGGCCTACGAATTTCCTCAGCCCTGGCCGCTTCCTTTGTCTTCTCCCCTTGGTTGAAGAGATCCAGCACGATGTTTGCGAGCTTCTCCACCTTCTCCATCAATCTATCTTCCCGGTCGATCATCATCTCATATATCGCATTGCTCATGGCGTCGACAGACTCGATCCCTGGAGGTGACCGAGAATCCAGTCAGTGACGGGAGGAGGGGTCACTCTTCTCTGCATCGCCTGATCTCACCGCTAAGAATTAACTCCATGGCCTCTTTGGTTTCGTGAATGTGTGACTCGAGAGCATTTTCTTTTATTTTCAGGCACTTCACCGTGATCTCGTTGATCGTGGTGATAAGCCCTTCCTCGAATCCACTCCCGTCGCCCACCAATGGCAACGAGCGGCGAAACCTCTCGACTGTATGAGGGCAAGTTGTTAGCTAAAAGCGCCCCCGAATCTCATTGAAGGAAGCCGCGAGCAGTGAACTGCAGGCTTACAAGTGCGAGACATGTAGTAGGAAATAGCCAGCTCCACCGCCTTCAATGTGCAAGCGATCAGATCGACGGACGCGGTGCGGATATTCTCGTCGCCTGGAAAGGTGGCAAGAAATAGCTCAATCTTCCCAAACGATTCGGTGAGGTCTTTCTCCTGAAAACTGACGGCAACCTTGGTCCGAACTTCCGTTGCTGTCTTTGCCGCCTGGTCGGACGTCGCCGGTTTGTTAGCATATGGACAGGCAGATACTCCCTTCGTCCACTTGGAGTCGAGGAAAGAACAAACATCCAGAAGTATTTCCATTCCAGCTTTGACAGGTGACAAGTATTCCATATCTGGGATTGCTTGGACCCCTCGACGGATGGCATCGCTGCTGCTGATAACGTAGCGGTACGCCTTCTTTGCCCCCTTTCGGCCCTGCGAATGTTCGCCATCAAATCTCTCCCGCGCTCGTTGGAGCTTCGCGTAGATGTCATCCCAGCTTGCCGCGCCCCGGATACCATGTTCGGGCTCTTTTGATATTCTTTTAGGAGCATCAGGGTTTTGTTCCGTAAATTGTGTCATGGCATCATTCAAGATCTCGCTCCAAAATCTCATGGCACACAAAGCTGGGAGCACTTGCCGGGCTGGCACTCGCCGGGCACGATTACTTGCGATCGGTGTCTGGCTCTCCTGCAACACGCGCCCAGCCTGACCAACATCCGGGCTGGTGGACAGGGGCGCATTTTGACAGCTAGGGGGCATGGCAGCCGGGTGAGGATTGAGAATAAAGCGTTTCAGCGTCGGCTCGTAATAGCTGGGGAGACTTTTGAAAGCATCGTGGATCTGAGGGAGCCGAGTCTTGACGAAGCCTACTGCGGTGGGCTCCCCGATCGAGCTCGGGGTGGCGGAAGGTGGGAGGTCGCTAGGCATCGAGCTAATGTCTACCTTACTAGGTACCTAGCTCGCCGGTCCTTCAGGGCACCGGACTAGACGGAGCAGTAGCTCGGCCGGTGGCATGGAAGGCTGCTGGAGAATATACAAGCTATACGATGGATGAAGCTGCGTACTGTCAAGCAGAGGAGGCAGTGGCTGGAAAGGCTGATAAGCCGGTGCGTGAGACTACCTTACATGATACGTCATGCCAGCGAGGATGCGGGATTATTTCGGATCTCTTTGAGCTGACCGATGCAACCCTTCCAAATCTGCATTAGAGCTCCCAGTGGCTACCGCGCCGTGTGCCGCACCCGATGGCTGAACAACGTGCGGGGAAAGCCATACTAACCGTCCGGATTGGCTAGGATCTCTGGCGCGAGATGGGTGGGACAGGGAGGCCACCCTGGGCCATCCTATGCGAGAGAGGCTGTTTATTGGAAGCCCACATGTTTGAAGGGAAACGATGCAAAATGACATAAAGGGGCCGTGAAAGATCTCATGCATGTGCTGAAAGCAGCATATTGGGTGCACTCTCCTTGCTTTATGGTGCGGCCGGTCCGATTTCGCTTTTTTTTATTTTTTATTTATTATTTTTTACCACTCGCCGGTATTTCCCTCGTGTGGGAAGAAGGAACGACAAGCGACCTGCAGCTTCGCGCATAGGTGCATCTACTGTAACGCCTCCTCCTTCTCCCCACTTGAGGTTCTCCCCTCCCGCCTTGAGCTGGCAGAGTGAACTTGAATCAATAACAAGCACGGCTCCTCGAGGAGGACAAGCGCCTGAATTCAAGCGTTAACCGTAATCGCCTGGTACCTACCTACCTACATTCCTCTGCTCACCTACGGCGATCTCCGCCTCGCCCAATCGGACAACCACCTCCCAGTCCGTGTCTTGACTATGGAATCCATGTCTACCCCCCAACGCACTGCGACCCGTGTCTCCACATCGGCGACCTCCACGAGGACACCAATCGAGGACAGAGAAGGCGAAGATGTCGATTTATCGAGACACCGACGCGGGGAACGCGATAGCATTAATGAACCCAAGAAGCGGGACGACGACTTGGAACCTTCAGAGTCTCACTTCCAGCGGCTACAATCAAGGATCGCCAAACTTGAGCATGCAGCTGAGCGGGAAAGGCACGAAAAAGCGGCGACTGAACGTCAGATGACAATGGCACACATTGCTCCTCCTCTCCCACAGCATTTGCCCGACTTTCGGACGTATCTGGATGTGCTCGGTGATGAAAAGGCTGCACATGCATTTGCGCGCAGAGAAGCCCCGCGGCATGGTCCTCCAGGCAGCTTGCAACTTCTCCAGACGATGGTGACGCTCGAGATGCAACTCGAGGTGGTTCGAAAGGAGCACGACGCAGTGTGCAAGACATGGAGTGACCGTGATCGGTTGCGAGGAATGGAACAGGAGTGGGAGCGGGCACGCCAGGGATTGATGCCTCTTGGGCAGAGGAAGTCTTACAAGGCCGAGGCCGCGACTATACAGCATCCGGATGCGGGCATGGTGAGCGCGGGCGGCGAGGCGAATGCGACCAATCCCCGTTTCAATGAGAAACCTCAGCTCAACGAGGTCAACTGGCAAACCTTCATACGCCCCCTCCATTCCGACTCTCGCCTCCCCATATTTGCAATTGACATACTTAAAGGCGATCCGATGGTCACCTGGGAAGCACCCACGTCCACGTACTTCGGCATTCCTAGCAGCAACAGGATCGAATCCCACGCTACGGGTGCGGACGAAAAGGCCAAGCTGCGTAATGCCGCTGCCAGCTCTAAGCAGCCCGACTTGAAGGGCCAGGCTGTGATTCCCGAGCGGATCCGGATCAATTCCGCACACATATGTCGAATCCTAGGATCAATCGCCGGTCGTGAAATCGACGCACCTGCGGTGATGATCAGACCCTACAAGGCTCTCGCCTATTATGACGACGCTATCCGGCGGAAGTTTGCAGAGCTCGAGGCTAGGTTTGGGAAAGCCAAAGCCGACACGGCGGAGGCCACCAATCTTGAAGACCACCGTGGCTCGCCAGAAGCAGAAAGAAGCAATGTGGATGGTGAGCTGGAGAATGACGGCGAAATGGACGAACTTACTTACTCCCCGGCCGCATATGAGCATCTGGGCTGCTTGTTGGCTCTCATGGACGGGCGGCTGAAAGCCAAGATTGACTATCTCTTCGACAATGGCTGCCAGAGTGTCTCATTCTCCGACATCTGGTATTTGTTTAAACCGGGCGACGAGGTAATCGAGCAAAGTAGACACCAAGTCTATCGGATCATCTCAATCTCTAGTGCACCGCACAAGGTTTTTTCCCCATACCAAAGGAGCTGGGATAAAAACGCGCGGGCGAAGGAGGAGACACCTGTGATTCTGAAGTGTGTGTACATCGACTTCGATGGCAAGGAGCTGGGACCCATCATCCGCACCATCAGAATCGCCAAATTCGAGGGCGAGAAGGCAGTGACCGCCCTGGAGGTTTACCCTCTGCGGTTTGCAGAGGAAAAGAAGGCAGTCATCGAGGACCGGAGCCTCACCGCAACCAAGAACCCAGGAGAGCTGACTTTGCGAGACAAGATGATCAGCCGGGGCAGGATGTTTTTGCACGTAACCGACTTCAAACACATGCACTACAGCGGCCTCACTATCGACACGCGGGATGAAGTAGACAGCCATGTCGTCGTCGACTTCGAGGAGGCCTTTTCCCACGCTGCCAAAACCTTTGATCATCCCAGGAATCGAGTGCCGGGCCAGGATGACGCAGAGGCATGGAGACCGGAGCTCAAGTTCCTGATTGGGGAGTCGCTTGACGAGGGGTTTGACGACGAGGAAGCTTGCACTTCTGCTTGCTGCTACCCGATGGCCACGATGATCTACAAGGACGCCGACACAGAGAAGAAGCGAAACGCGGACTACATGACCTTCCTCAAAACCGAAAATGGACAGCGGGATCCATCCCCAGCGATATATCCCCGCCCACTCGCGGAGGTTAAAGGACAAAAAAATCCGCTGTCCAACGAAGAGCTGCTGATTATGTCCTACCGTGTTTTCGGCTTCATTTTACGGACTCGGAAATGGGGTTAGTGATCATTTATTTTTGTCGATCTGTGTGGCCACTGGCTAGAGTCCCCACTAACGCGCCTTACCTGCAGCCCAACTCAGCCTCGATCATCTCACTCTTCCTTCGTTCAAGCAGGAGAGTGTGAAGAAAGGGGCCGATGCAGTTTCAACGCAAGAAGGAAACACGACCGAGTCGGACGGAACTGGCACCAATCACAATCTGTTAGAGACGGAGCATGGGGCGGAGGACAACAAGACAGCGTTCGAACAGCTTGTCCTCCCCCGCGGCCACAAAGAGATGGTGACTTCGCTGGTCACCCAGCATTTTCGGGACAAGACCTCTGGAGGCAACGCGGACATTGTCCGTGGCAAAGGTAGGCGCCGGCACCTAAGTACTTGCGCGAGAGAGGAACGGACATGGGTTGACAAATTATCAGGGAAGGGTCTGATCATACTTCTCCACGGCGCACCTGGCGTGGGAAAGACAACGACGGCAGGTTAGTCTCTCGTGATCGCCATTTAACGTGCCAATTACTGATATAAGCCTGCAGAGGGGGTCGCCGAGATGTTTGAGAAGCCACTGTTCCAGATGACCTGCGGTAAGTCACAGAGACATGTATTGGGGACTGTCCTGGGGACTGGTCAGGGGAATGTACCCCCGGTACAAAGACTGACAGCAAGCGCAATATCCTAGGTGATTTGGGGACATCGGCGCCAGAAGTCGAGAAGGCTCTGGAGTCGCATTTCTCACTGGCAAACAGGTGCGAACCGACAGTCGACAACGACCTTTTTGGGATATCTCCTTGAAGCTGACATATTATTGGCTAGGTGGGGATGCGTCCTCCTCTTGGACGAGGCAGACGTCTTCTTAGCGGCTCGACAGAAAGAAGACTTTGTCCGGAATGGCCTCGTCTCTGGTGCGTCACACCCATGTATTTTGCTGGGTGGCTCGTGGCGACTAATCACATCATTCGGAAAATCACAGTCTTCTTGCGAGTCCTCGAGTACTACGCGGGTATCTTATTTCTGACGACAAATCGAGTTGGCGACTTCGACGAGGCCTTCGCGTCGCGGATTCACATCAGCCTGTATTATCCCCACCTCACCTTGGAGAACACCGAAGCCATCTTCAATCTAAACTTCGATACCATCGAGGAACGCTTCACCGCATCGGGGAGGAAGATCCAGATCGAAAAGGAGAGTATCCTTGCCCGCGCTAGGGCTCACTTTGAAGCACATCCCAAGGAGAGGTGGAACGGGCGGCAGATCCGGAATGCCTGCCAGACGGCGCTCGCGCTGGCCGAGTTTCGAGCTCAGGGTGGCAGCCACTTGTGTGTTGCTGATCCCAAAGCCGTGGTCGAGCTCAAGGTGGACGATCTCCAGGTCGTGTCGGACGCGTATTTGCAGTTCATGAACTACCTCAACGACGTCCGCGGCAAGGACGTCGACCTGTGGGCCAAGGCCATGAAGCTGCGCCTGGGGCGAGAGTTCGATCTCATGTTGTACGCCGAGGCCAAGAACAAGGACCCGGCCACGCTTGCGAGCGAGGGAAAGCAGCGGGAGACGGCGCATCCGGACCGGGCGCGCGCCGCGACCGCGACGTCTCCTTCGGTCGCGGGGCCGGCACTCACGACGCCGCCGCACATCTCGCACTACCCACCTCCTCCGCCACCCCCTGCAGCCCACGTTCCTGGCGCCGCTGCTCCGCCGCCTGGATACCCGCCAGCAGGGCAGCATCAGCCACCGTACGCCCAGGGGCAGGGCTTCGCGCCGCAGCCGGCCTACCCCTACCAGTCGTCGTATGGCTATGCAGGATACCCGCCGCCACCTCCCCAGCCGATGGGGCCCCCGCAGCCCGCGGAAAAAGCTTCTGCATACCCGTCGTCGCCGCCGCCGCCGCCGCCTGCGCCACAGGCACAGGCCACGCAGCCGCCGCCTTACGCGACGCCAGAATATGCGGCGTGGTATCACCAGCAGGTTCACCGGTAGGCGTCTTAGGGAGGATGAGAGGGTATTAAGGACCAAGGGAGCTAGAGAGTATAGTGCGGGGCACAACGTACAGAAAGCTGAGCACTGGGAAGGGCTAAGAAGGGCTAGGCAGGGTTGGAGGGCGAGAGTTTGACCAAGATTGACGGCCATATTTGTACGCAACGTAACGATAACACGATTCTTTCCCCCATCCACTCAGATCCGCCCCAGCGCACGGAGAAACAACTCCCGCGGCTTGGGCCTCGGCAGCCTCGGCAGGCGCACCGCGACCAGCTCGTCGAGCCCCTGGCACGCGCACGCGGGCGTGGCCCAGACGGCGCGCCCGACGACGCGGCGGCCGGCGCCGTCGCCGCCGTCGGGCCCCAGCAGCAGGCAGACGCCGTCCTCGAGCGAGCGCTCGAACCCCAGCCCGGGAATACGGTGCATGGTCGCGCCGAGAGCGTCCTCCTCCTTGACGTACAAGCCCGCGTTGACCATGGACGAGGCGCCGCACGACTGGCACGTGGCCCAGGCGTAGTAGCGTCGCCACGTGAGGTGCAGCACGTTTGCGTACGTGACCTGGTAGTCGGCCTGCGCGGTCTCGTCGAGGCCGAGGGCGTGCATGGCGCCCCAGAATGTGTAGAACCTGTCGTCTTTGCTCTTGCAGTCTTTGTCCTTGAGACTGCTCTTGGCGCTGCCATTGTCACTCTTCTCGCCTTCTGTGCTGTCTGCCTTCTCGTCCTGCTCCTTGTCGCTATTGTCCCCGTCTCTGGTCTCTCCAATCTGCCAGGCCTCGTCTTGGCACTTCTCGCACTTGCACCCCCCCTCGCCAGGCCAGGGTTTCCCGGGCTCTATCTCAGCCAGGGCTGCCACTGTCCGTTCCAGCCGCTCGTATCCGCCCGGGTGCTGCGAGAGCGACTGCAGGAGCTTGTCCCGCGGCTGGAAATAGTGCCGCGTCCCGTACGCATCTAGAAACGCCTCCACGGTCGGCTCGGCTAGGCTATGGGCAACCTCACGCATCATGTCCTCCATCGCCAGCTCGTGGAAGAGAATCAGCCTCGAGACCACGCCGGCCCGCTGCAGTCGCATCGTTACCCTGCCCTCGCGGGGGCTCCCCCCGCCCTGCTCGACGGTCGTCTCGGCGTGGTGGCGCGGCGGTGTCGTCATGGGGCCCAGCAGGTACGCGTAGTGGTCGTGGTACCCCTCGTTGATGTTGTTGGCCGGCATCCAGCGCACGTCGGGCTCGATGTCCCCGGGCGCCCACTCGGGCGTCATCAGCAGCGGGGTGTAGTCGCCGGCCTCGACGCAGCCCAGGGCAATGCGGCGGTAGCGCTCGTCCCAGCTGCCGCGCTGCAGCTCCACGGCCGAGGCGGCCGCCGTCGCCGAGCCCGTCACGATCCCGTGTAGCGCGTACAAGAAGTCGTACTGGCTCTGGCAGCCGCGCCGCGATAGCAGGGCAAAGGCTAGCCCAAAGTTGCGGCTCCGCGGGTCGCGGCAGAGAGTCAGGGGCCCCAGGCTCCACGGCATGATGTTGTCGCTGATGTTCATGCGGGCCTCGAGCTCGTGCGTGGAGCTCGACTTGGCAACCTGCTCCTTCCAGAACAGGTCGAGCCGGTTTTGGAAGAGGTGCTCCGCGCCGTCATCGCTGTAGATGTTCGACTCGGAGTCCATGAACCGCACTTTCGGGCTGCGGATGTACTCCATGGCTGTCCACACGCGGCTGTACCACTTTGCGTTGCAGATGCCGAGCATGCCCTGTATCCGCTCCTCGTCCGTCTTTCCGTGTGTGAATGCCCGAATCATGGCGGGCGTGACGTCGTCGAAGTGCATTACCGTCAATGCGGCGGAGCTGTATATCTTGTGTATGGCTTGTAGGATATTCGTCTTGAGCTGCGGCGTCCACTAGGGAAATAGTAGTTTAGTAAACATGCACGTATAAGAAGGCATTGGCAGAGGAGGCTCTTACCTGTGGTACGCTGATGTAGTCGTGCCACACTTCGAAATCGCCGTCGACGCCCTGTGAGATGCTTCTGGCGATGCTTGTAGGCGACTCAAGGACTTTACGTTGGACAGCATCGTCCTGCGGGGAGTGACGACCTTTGTCTTGCGTGGCGGATACTGCAGTATCCCACACGTGTGATACAGTGACGTAGCGGACATTTTCCTTCTGAAGACATTCGAGATGCCGGTCGTACGTTACCAATGACGCTCCTAACGGCGTCGAAATTGTCCTGCTGTCATTTGAGCCGTGGCCCTCCTCCGTCGATACACGAAATGTGCGCACGAGCGCATCTGTTCCGAAAGTCTTCTCACACACGCAGCAACACAAAGCCGTCGGGTTCGCCGCGCACCAGAGCACGTCGAGGGCTGGATATTGCGTTTCTTGCATGATCATGCCCAGTTGACTGGTGACGGGTCGTGGAGAAGGTCGTCCAAAACATGTCTTGCTGGAGGGCACCCTTGTGAGAGCGCTTGTCTTAATACTTAGCGCGGTTACTTTTACTTATATAGCTGCCTGGAGAAGCGCCCCTTTTGATCTCTTCAGCTCCCCGCGCTAGCGCTAAGCGATCAGTCTCGAATCCTGGAGCGAGTGTGATAGGATCACGTTGGTTAGTGCAGCTTCTAGCATGGAGTCCTAGGCTAGCGCAACGGGTCGAGCTCTAGGCGCCGTTATGGAATTGTCGTCAGCACGCGGCTAATCCTGTCAGCGGCGACCGTAGGAACAGGTGGTGTCGATAGCCGACAAGATCACTAACACACAGGTTGATGTCAAGCATTTCTTGGCCGATGCCAAAGGAAGATTGAATGGCTCAGCGGCGGAGCCAGGGAGGAATTGGAGGATTATGGCGTTAGGCATACTCTGTAGGCAGCCGCAATTTGCGGCCTAACCCCACCATAGGACCTGCGTCACACCCCACCACCCTTCTGCGCCCGGTCGTGCGGGTTGCTCGAAAACACTCAAGCTGCCAAGGAGATGCGCGGCCACGCTCACCATGCCTGAATCTCTCCAGTGTAAAGAACCATCTTCCCTCCAAATTTTGCCTTGGACTCCGAGTCGTTGAGGACCGTAAACATGCCGTCGCAGGACTCCTTGACAGTCGTGGGCGCTTTCCCCATCCCCCACGTCTCCGCCGCGAGGTCGCCCATCTCGGTCTGGACCCAGCCCGGATCGATGACCGGGGAGCTTAGCCACTCCTCCTCGATGTTGATGCGCTGGGAGTACCAGTGCGCCGCCGCCTTTGAGGCCCCGTAGACGCCGTTGGGGACAACCGGCTGCCGGGTCAGCGTCCCGGCGCCCGAGCCCATGGTGGCGAAGACGGGCGACCGGGGCCGCGACAGCCCCCACGCCTTCTCGAGCAGCGGGCGGGTGGCCCGGTACAGCTCCACGATGGACACCACGTTGACGGTGTAGTGCTCCAGCATGGAGCCGCGCTTGACATCCTTGATGGCGGGGAATTCGCTGGCCAGGGCGGCGTTGGCGACGACGATGTCGAGGTGTTCGATCCCGTGGTCGGCCTCGAGGGACTTGACAGCATCAAAAGGCGACTTTTCAACAGCTGCCTCGTAGTTTACGACGACCAGCCTGGTGCCTTGCCCCATGGGAGCAGAGGTGAGGCTCGCGGTCCTCGCTGGCGAAGGGTCCCGTATCGCCGCGATGAGGATCTGCCCATGGTCGCAAATTGTCAGCGACAAAGCAAAAATATGTTTCGACACGGGCACAGATGCCCGCCAAAGCCATAGCTAGGGACTTACATGGTCAGGCTCGGCGAGATATCGCTGGGCGAGCTCAAGACCTAACCCTCTATTTGCACCAGTGATCAAGACAACTCTTGGGGCCATGATAGCTGCTGGTTGACGGAGGAGTAGTTGGAGGTGATGTCGGTGATGTTTGGAATGACGGTATAGTTTGTGAGGACCGAAGTCTGGAAGAAAGGATGCTGCTTGCCGTCGGACCAGGTTCATGTATATATATACCCCGATTTACCTGACTTGGCGTTGTGGACAGGACGCCATAGGACTGGCTCCAACACTAGCATCCATTCCCAACCAAGATACCTGCACATTCTTGCGTCGCTAGTGTCACGGCGACAAGGGTGGCCTACTTGACCCAACCGATTCGGCCGGCGATGGCTAACGCCGACCGGCGAATTCCAACCAACAAAATCCGACCAACAAACTCCGAACCATGCAACTAGGCCACCAAGGCGACCCGGCTATCAAGGCGCTAGTCGGCGGGCCCGGTGGAGCGCCGCCTGGGACATCGGATAAGGTAATGGGCCAACACGGAGATCACCTCAGCACTATGAACGAGTCTTCATGTTGCGAAGCACCACGAACTGGCAGCGGCAGGCCCAATCAGACGATTGGCGTCACCACTGGAGCGGCTGGCTGACACGCTGCATCACAATTACTCCATGTACCGACGGGAGTCATCCGCTCGGTCAACTCTTCCCCTCGTGGAGCACGGAGAACGCCGCCCGTCCAGCACGGTGAAATTGCATCGCCGCAGCTGGGCCAGGCACCCAACAAGCCACGTATTATGGCCGCACACGATGACATCCTGTCTCCGCAGGCGCCGCGGCAGGTGGGCTACCACATATGTAAGCACAATGCCTGCTTCCAAGGGAAACAGAACAATACACACCCCCGACCCTTTCCACCCCAACCTATTTGCTAGAGTCCTCGTATTTATTAGCACTCTTCGGCCAGGGAACCAGCTATGGCTAACTGGGAAGGCGGCAACGCGAACGTGGGCGGAAAAAGCGGCACTGTTTATATAGCACCGCCGTAGCTTCCAAAACCTGCTCTTTTCGAATAAAGGCACGGGCCAAATAACGACTGCTAACGCAGCGGAGGCAGCCGGCAGCGTTCCTTTCGGTAAAAGGTCCATATCATCAAAAGATTTAAGGCTCGCGTATTCGTCGCCGAAATCAAGCGCTGAGAGCTGTCATTGTAGGTAATTGCTCGTGCCGTCTCAGACATCAATCGAGCTCTCACCAGCCAGGGCGGCCAGTCAATAATCCATTGATTGACGTGATACCAAAAAGGAAAAAAAAGTCGGCATAACATAGCGCAAGAATGATGCCAATTTGGTTAATCGTTGGTTATCGTGATCCCTTGATAGTTGCTGCGCTGGCGGGACTGGACCGATTTTGCTAACGTCGTAACGGCGATGGACGTTGCTGAAGAAGGCGTCGCAGATGAGCCACATGGGCCTATCCGCGGTCTAGATGTGTATAAAACTACCCCACAAAGACTTCCCACTAACACGGCGCAAAATGACGCTCTGAGGGTGTGCGTCGGCCTAGATGACGAATAGTACCACTGGACAGCCTCGATCACCAAACAGCGGGTATGGCTAGAGCCGTAACTCCCTATTAATGTGGCTCTTTGATACAGGCTGTGTTATAGGGGCCGATTACGGCGAGTTCGAGTGTTAAATGTTGACGTTGTGGGTCAGGATTTGTTGGGCCACCATTGAACTTTTGTAGAAAACATGAGGGGGATTCGAGGGTGGACGCGGGCGGGGGGATTATTGATTGCTCAGAGCTGCCTGGCCGCCTCGTTGCATGCTAAGCCCGGATCACAACATATTTCCCACCAGTCTCCGATTGCAGCTTGAGGAACGAGCCCTGTCCGATGCCCTTCATCTTAATAGCCTGGGATGGACCAGGCACCGGGCTCTCGTCTCCCAGAGGAGCACCTCCCAGCACTACCCACGCCGTGTTACCCTTGTGGCTAGTGATAGTCGCGTTCAACAGCCTAGCGTCGCCGTCCCAGTGGACGTCAAGCTCGAACCCGCCCCTTACCAACAATCCTTTGGCAAACCCGCCCCCGTTGACAGCCCACTGCCTCGGCAGCGCGGGCAGCAGGCGGATCAGGTGGTGCGCAGCCTTGCCCCCGCCCGACTCGCCCACATACGCGGGCGTCATCGACCCGGACGCCGCCGCTGCCGCAACGAGCTCGTGGCTCTGTACCAGGGCCTCGACGATGGTGACGCCGCCGTAGTTGCCGTCGAGCTGGAAGGCCGAGGGCTCGTTGACGTCGAGCATGGAGTTGGGGTACGTCAGGCGCGTCAGCAGGTGGGCGTAGCTGGCGGCCACGCCCGTGGCGTTGAGCAGGCGCGCCTCGAGCGCGACGGCCCACGCGCGCGACCAGCCCGTGTCGCCGCCGCCGAAGGCCAGGCGGCGGCGCAGCGACGCGCGCGCGGCCGCAAAGGTGGTGCCGTTGGACGCCGTGATCTGGCTCCCCGGGAAGAGGCCGAAGAGCTGCGAGAAGTGCCGGTGGCCCGGCTCGTCCTCGGTGAAGTCGGCGTGGAACTCGGCGATGCCGCCGTACTGATCTTTGCGGAGGGGTGGCAGGCGCGCGCGCAGGCCGGTCAGGCGCTGGCCGATGTTGTCTGGATCGCTGTCGCCGAGGATCTTTTGCGACTCGAGGACCATGCCGACCAGCTCCCAGATGATGGAGTTGTCGGCGGTGGGACCGAGGGTCAGGGCGACGGACTGGGTGGTATTGGGCAGCCGGTACGAGATCTCAGGCGAGACGCTGGGGTTGGTGACGAGGTGGCCGTCGTGCTCGGTCATGAAGTCGAGAAAGAACACTGCGGCGTCGCGGAGGGCAGGGTAGTACTTTCGGAGGACGTCTACGTCGCCCGTGAACTGGTAGTGTTCGTATATGTGGGTGGCCATCCAGGCGAGACCGGAGGGCCAAAAGGTCGATGCGGCGTAGTTGTCCTGCGGCGCGCAGTCGCCCCAAATGTCGGTGTTGTGGTGGCATACGGAGCCTGAGGCGTTGTACATGCGCTTGGCAACATCGCGGCCTTTTTCGTGCATCTTCATTATGTGCTCAAACATGGACTCGTGGAGCTCTGGCATGTCTGAGGAAAGAGGCGAGCTTGGTTAGCCACTGATGTATCCGAGCAGGGGGGAGGGGGTTTAGTACTTGTGAGCAGTGATGGCCAGTAGTTCATCTCCAAGTTGATGTTGATGGTGTACTTTGACCCCCACATCGGGTTTAGGTCGTTGTTCCAAAGCCCCTGAAGGTTTGCAGGGAGTGTCCCCGGTCTGCCGCTCGCGATGAGGAGGTATCGAGCAAAGTAAAAATAGAGCGTCGCAATCTCGGGATCGAAGGCTGTCCTCAAGCCTCGCAGGCGATCTGCTGTAGTTTTGGCCTTTTGTTCCGATGTCGACTTGCCCAGACTAAGCTCGACGCGGCCGGCGAGGCTTTGGTAGTCCTTGACATGATCGCTTCGCAGAGCACCGTACCCTTTCCTAGACGCCTGGCTGAGGTCTGCCATGACTGCGGACTGCAGCTCTCCAGCAGACTTTCGATAGGTGGTCCAGGCGGACCAATAAATGGTCGCCGAGTCCGCCCCATCCACAACGATGGTGTCACCAATCCGCTTCATGCTGCCACCATCAATGGTGACTTTGGCTCCAGCTGCAAAAACGATGGCCTTTGCACCGAAACTTCCTCCGCCCATCAAAATCGTGTCTTTACCAGACCCTCCAGCTGAATCCTGGAACAAGTTCAGGCCAATTCCTCTCGACTGGTGGAGGTCAAACGATACAGCGCCGCTCTTGTTGGCCGAGATCTGGACCGCGATAACGTCGTCTGGGAAGCTAGCCGTGTACTCCCTCTTGTAGGCCACACCGCCGACGGTATAATACACGCCCGCGACGCCCTCGCCGACATCCAACCACCTCTCGTAGTCCCGGACCTGCCCCGCCGAGCCGCGCATCGAGATGCCCAGCTTCCCCACCCAGTCGAAATGGCGAACCGACACGGGCGTGCCGACGTAGGACATGGACGCGAGCCTCGACGCCTCGCGGATCTCGCCGCGGGCGATCAGGGCCTGGATCTCGGGCATGTGGGCGGCGGCGTCGGGGTTGACGCGGTCCATCTCGCCGCCGGACCAGAACGAGTCCTCGTTGAGCACGATGGACTCGGACAGGGCGCCGCCCGGCAGCGAGAAGCCGAGGCGGCCGTTGCCGATCAGGAACGAGTCGTTGAAGTTGACGCCGGGCGTCGTCTGCCACATGCGCAGGGGCTTGCTGGCCGAGCCGGGCGGGCTGGCGTCGGCCGCTCCGACGCTGCCGGCCGCTCCGGCGGCGCCCACGGCCAGGACGATGGCTCGCATCTTTGCGCTGGGGAAAAGCGAAGGCATGGCAGCAGCCACAGGGGGGAGAGAACGGGCTTGTGCCTAGGGTCTGGTCTATGCTTCAGCCGTTACTGTCCGGGGCTCCCTGGGCTGCCGGGCGCGGTCGGGGTGCGCAGGCGTGGAGATATAACGCAGGTCGACATCCCCTCGAGTTCCGCACTGGACTCCGGGCTACTTTGCGGCAAGGTCACATAGCTGGGTGGGGACGACACGCCAAGGAGGCGTCGCCAGTGGTGGGAGCCGAAAGCTCGCAGATTTGGGGCGGGGAGAAACATGGGATGAACAGTTGGGGTTGAGGGGCGACGGGAAAGCGCGTGGGTGCACGACAGGTGCACGCCAATTGTCCAATCAGATGCGACTCCAGCTTCCTCTCAGAAGAACCCCATCTGCATGTCGGTTCATCAACAGCCGGATCAACGATGACGGCATTTACCCGGATCAGCCGCCCAGATGCGCATCCGACGCCCCCCCAGCATTGGTGGCCTTTTGCCAGGGACGAACCGGCAGATCAACCCACATTGCCCCACGATCCAAGATGAGATGTTCGAGTCTGATGCGGGGGAGCTGGGAAACGAAGGTGTCCCTTGGCAAGACGACGACGTCTTTCCATACCCGACGGTTGGAGGAATTACTAGCCCATCCGACGGATGTTTACTCCTTGGTGGATTACCGGGGAAAACAGTGAAGTGGGCATCATTATGCCAACAAGAAGTCCAAAAGCTGAGGGATATTAATTATTTCATCGTTTCCTGAACACATTTCTTCGCCCACCTATTCTGTCACACGTTGGATAGCGTCCCCCTGGCGGGTAATAATTACAACAGCACCGAGACCTTCCTAAACCACGTCTTACATCCCTCAATGGTCTACCATTCCTCAATCCACCCATGAGTCCTCGGCCGCAAGCAGCATGTGTCTATCCATCTCGTCCCTGACGGCTTCCAGATAGCCAACCCAGGCCGCCGAGTCTGCGCTCGCCGTCATGGGCCCAAAGTGCGCCTCCAGTGCCTTGGCGCAGTCGACCTCGAGGATTCCACAGTCGATGGATTGGTCGGCCCATGTGCGGCCCACGTTGAAAGTGGTAGCTGTGGGAGTACGAGGGGCGGCAGACACGCTGGGTCGGCCTTCTTTCTCCTCACCATCACTGGACATGTCAGAAACGGAGGCGGAAAGATCGCTAAGCGCCGCACTGCTGTTCCGCCTGGCAGCAGCGACGAGGTCCTCATCGAAAATGATACTTCCATCTGGGGACGGCGCGATGGATGGTGACGCCGCAGAAGCCCTATCGCTGCCGAGATCCTCCACCGCCTCTGGAAACATAAGTGTGGGGACGCTGCTGTCAACGATGCCGTCTTCCAACTGAACGGGCAATGTGGTGCCCATGGCGGAGCGCGCCCGCGAGACGTCAAAATGCACCTGCTTCTCGATGAATGGCATGTAGCAGCACAGTAGGCTCTTCTCCTTGACGTATGGTTGTGCGATCTTGACCTCTTGTTTGTTGAGCGTCAGGAACCGCAGCTGCTTCTGTGGGGACAGGCCGCTGGCGACATGGTACACAGGCACGTTGGTGCCACGCGCGTTGACGGGGTTGCGGACATTGCGCGGGTGAGACAGAGCGGCGGGAGGAAGAGTGTGGTTCCTGTGCGCTGACGCGGTCAGGGCGAGGATCTGATTCACCGCGATGTCTACGGGGAGGACTAGCGACGCGGATTTCAGGTTAGCCAGGAGATTGCGCAACTAGGGGTTTTAGTGGACGGCAAGGCTAGGAGAACGGCCCGGAGGACGCGTAAGTGTGTAGCGGCAGACTAACCATCAAGGAAAGAGTCCCTTGGGATCCAGGCCATGGAAGGGGAGTCCTCGGCAACCGGCACAGCGGCAAGCGCGGCGGATACAGGCGTGCTAGTTTGGCAGGCACCGCATCCCGGGGAGGGGAATGCAGCGGCAGCTCCCAGCGTGCATATGCGGAGGATGCGCACCGATTTTCCATGCACGGGACGGCCAGCTTGGGGCTTGAAGAGCGCGTTGACCGACTCCTCAGCGAGTGTCTTGGCATGCAGATAGGTGTTTGCGTGCGTCTCTTCATCGTCTTCGCCCAGGCCGTTCTGAAGAAAGTCCTCGGTGACGGTAGAGCCGTTCCCCATAAACCACCCAACATATGTCGTCGACAGGTGGATGTGCGTCTTGACGTTACTCGCGCCCAGCGAGAAGCGCGCGGCCTGGTAGGCTAGATCGGTCTAGTGGGTTGGGTTAGCTGTGGATGCAAGGCCGCGTATGCTTCTGCGGGTCCCAGGGGTCCATGTGCCGCTGTGCCGTGCCGACTTACGATACAATCCATGGCTTCCGAGAGACCCAGCATGAAACGGGTCTCCCCGGCCGCATGGATGACCACATCCGCCTGCCGAGCAGCCTGCAGGCTTGGTCCAGTGAGGCCCAGCTGCGCATGGCGACAATCGCCTCGCAAGATCAGGAGCTTCGCATCGGGGTCGTCGGTGTCGATGGGGCGGGCAAGCTCGCGAAGGACTGGCGGCAGCTTCTTAACGGCCTCCTCGAAGGTGCTCCCCCGGATCAGAGCAAGCACGCGCTTGACACTGGTCTTGAGGGTGGGGTCGAGGAGTAGCCGGTATAGCAGGGCAGTGCCAACGAATCCGGCAGCACCTGTGACGAGAATCGTTGTCCCCTCCAGGACCCTGGAGACGTCGCCGTATTCTGCCTCCATGATTCCGGGTGTGTGTCGGCGAGGTTGAGGTTGAGTGCTCCGGTGGCAGACGTAGAGATTGGAGTGGGAGAGAATGTGTGAACTCTGAGGATGCAGGAACGACTGGCTTGCATGTACGATGTCGAGGAAGGATCGCAGAGATAGCTGCTTGCTCCTGCTCCCTCAAGTAGTTCCAGCCAGCCCTTACTATCGGGCCCGCGGGTGGCCGATGTCGAGGCTCAAAGAGGCGTCCCCATTTCGGGAGCACCGCCGAAACGTCAGCCACCCCGCCGGGCTACCGACATGGCTCTTCCCCTGGATGCTAGCGAGGGGGAGGCGGCTCGGGCTGTCCGCTGAATGGGGCATGCTTGCGTCTCCTGGTGGGCCAACTGACGAAACGAAACGCTTAGCACAGTCACCGTATAGCTATCGCGCAATACGCACCATTTTGCAGCCGTCTAAGAAGTGTGTCCAGGATGACCGCGGTTGTTGGTTAGCCAAGGACAGTGGACCCAGGAACGGCCCTAGCCAGTGGGGGATCGACGTGCCATCCACCCTTCCCGGAGATGCGGCTATCAGGCCCTTGGCAAGGTGGGCTCGTAAAACGGAGGACCAACGTAAAGTTTGGAAATAGGGAGGGCAGGGCGATCGGAGAATAGGAGGAGCACACAATTAAAGCAACAGGATCCAATAATTACTCGCCGCGCTGTGCAGCGTCTACAATGGCGGCTCCTCGTCGGCAGACACTGATCCAAGTCGACCAACTTTAGACCCCTGGATCTGCCAGCTGTGCGGAGGAAAGGAGCAAAAACGAAAGCTAACGTATACATGTGTATGCATGCCTACTACCTAGCAGTCTGGGAGATTGAGGTCCTGCAACTCTGTGATATTAAACAAGGAACCACTGTTCGCCTGAAGGTTTTGTGAGGGGATGGGAATGCCTGCACGTCACATCCCGATTTGGGCAAATGCCTAGAGATTTCCCGTTCGGGAGCGCTGGAGCGTTCGGATTGGGACCCCGCAAAGGTCTGGCTGGGCTTAATTCACGTGGGCGCAAGTGGGGCGTCAGGACATTTGAGCAATTGAGGCGACAAATATTGCAGAGGGCCGCGCGGAGCCAAGACATGGAAAGCCCAAATCTACTTCTAACCGGCTTCAAGCTCGACCAAGCCTCGTCGTCATGCCGCCCAACCCTTGACCACCTAACATTGGAACAGACTTGACATCCAGTCCCGATCGCTGGCTGGCAGCCACATTCCGAGGTGGCACCCGGCGCTTCCAGCCCGTAAAACGAGCAAAGCCCCCTGCAAAACACATGTCGGAACTGGGAAACCCCTCCGAACGTCGCCCGAACCAGCAGCACAGGCACCACGCGCGCGTGCCCAACACGACGCAGGTGGTCACCGGCGCAGGGGTCAACATCGTCCTCAAGGCCGACCAGCCGACGGGGCGCACCGTCTCCGGGGCCGTTCGCGACGTGCTGACGCGCGGGAACCACCCGCGCGGCATCAAGGTGCGCCTGGCCGACGGTCGCGTCGGTCGCGTCCAGAGCATGGCGCCATCCGCGGCCGGGCCCCCGGACGGCGGCGGCACCGGCGCAGGTGGCGTCGGCGCCCCCGATGCGGCGGGCGAGCCGTCCTGGATGGTCAGATCCGAGGGCGCCCAGGGCGGCGCCCGGCGGGGCCTGGTGAGGGATGCCCGGCTCGATGATGACGACAAGCCGGCGGAGCAGATCGGGCTGGACGCGTACATCAAGCAGGCGAAGCCAAAGGGGCGCAGGAAAGGGAAGGGCAAGGACGGGGGTGGTGCGCCTGTGGGTCCCCCAGCCGAGGACACAGACGACGGCGGTGTGGCAGCCGCATCCCAGTCCGCAGCGGCGGCGAGCTGTCCAGTGTGCGGGGCATTCGAAGGGGATGAAGCGGCCGTCGCGCATCACGTGGCAGGTCACTTCGAGACGTGACGGCGCCGCATTTGCTCCTTGCGACGCTAGCAAATCCAGAATGCGATGCGATGAGTTTTGAAAAATGTCGCGCAGGCCATGGTCGGTTGACGGCAAGCTCCATGTCCAACAGATATTCCAAGATGCCTTGCTCATAAACCGCCACACAATATCTGAGCCAACCTTGTTCTTCTGAAATCGCTAACTCGTCGTGGAGATCTGTTCCCTTTTCAGCGTCTTTCCTCCTCATTTTATCTCGCATCTCTTGTTTTTTTCTTCTTTTTTTCTTCTTTTTTTCTTCTTTTTTTCTTCTTTTTTCTTTCTTTTTTTCTTCTTTTTTCTTCTTTTTTTCTTCTTTTTTTCTTCTCCTAATTTTACTGCCTACCTAGTACCCCCCTGAGATCGCAAAGCTATCTCTCGTTGCATATATCACGGGGCAAGTTTGATGCGATACGAACATGGTAGTTTTCAAGACCACCAACACGCTGCCGCTCATCCTCGGAAGGCGGGGCTATGGCTTCATTCAGAGTTCCCAACACTCCCCGACCAAGCGCTAAAGTGGCACTGCGACGTTGGACGGTAGGCCCATCGAACCTGGAGATGTCACTATCACTCACCTGGCTTCTGGCTCCAGGAGTTGTGCCATTGGTCCATCTGCACCTGCGGATGGGGCTACAAAGTGCTGTGCAGACACGTACCACTTGAATTGATGCTGTCCCGAAGCATGGATCCTGCGGTCCTGCCGGGTGACTCAACTGCCGACGTGATGAGCACTCGGTTGGGCTCACAGTGCAAGGCAGAACGGTAGCGGCGATCCTCTGCTGACGGCAGGGAGGGGTAGTTTTGCATCCTTCCTGTTTCAATAAGCACCAACGTAACTGCCTCCTATTTATCTCCATAGCGGGCAGTCGCTTCCCTAGCTTCCTGTCCACCTTTTTCCCATCATGAACATCCACTGCCCCATTTCCTTTCCAATCCGACACAATGGCTGGCCTCGCGGAGCCATCAGAAGATGTCGACGCCGACCCTCTCGACTACTTGCGGCAGCGTGCCCGCCCCGGCGCCCAAGGCCAACGCCTCTACCCAGGAGCGAATGCAGGAGCTCCAGAAATGGCTCCAACCCACCGACTATCTCTCCCCCGGAGGCGAGTTCATGAAGCACCTGCACTCATATGTCCAAGGCACCGGCGACTGCATCCGCGAGTCGCTTGACTTCCGTGAATGGATCGATCCCGCGGGCGCTCCCAAGGGCTGTCTTCACGTCCGGGGAGTCGCAGGGAGTGGCAAGTCTGTCTTCGCCGCCAGCACTATCCGGCAGCTACAGAATTCACATCCGGGGGCACCCATGCTCTTCTTCTTTTTCCGCCAAATCGTCGAGAAGAACCACAACGCCAAGTACCTGGTGCGCGACTACGCCTCCCAGCTGCTGCCGCACAGCACAGTCCTATTTTCTGCGCTCGACGCCCTGGCGCACAGCACAGGGGTTGACGGTGTCGAGACGAGCTCTTTGTGGGACGCGCTGGTGAAGGCCATCTCGCACATGGACTCTATTTTCTGCATTGCCGACGCCTTGGATGAGATGGACGACGAGTGCTTCGGCTTTATCACCCGCCTTACCGAGCTTGGCACCATCAAGCCTGCCAGTGTCAAAGTTCTGCTCACGAGCAGACCTGTGCCCAAGATCGAGGAAGCCCTCCGCAGTCCGTACATCTTGCGCCTGAGGCTCGATCCGATGATGCTGTACCCCGACGTAGCGCGCTATGTTGAGACTAGGCTGTCGGCCCTGTCTCCGCGCCTCAGCACAAAAGTCGAGGAGCTGACCAAGAATACTATTTGTGAACGCGCTCAAGGCCTGTTCCTACACGGGCGCCTTACTACCGACAACCTGACGGAGGGCCTACGCGACGGCCGAATCACCGAAGTCACGCTACCCGACAGCCTCGAGGCTCTCCCTCGAAGCCTCCGCGAACTGTACGAGGGCATGCTTAGCGAGAACGCGCGGCGGAGTGGCGTATCGACGCAGCAACAGGCCCGTATCCTCTCATGCGTCACCCACTCCACCCGACCCTTGCGCCTGATTGAGCTTGGCAGCCTGGCAGCCCATATGACACCCGGGACCGACCTGCGCCGGGGCAAGGAGATTGTGCGTGCCAGCTGCGGCCAGCTGCTCGAGGTGCTCGAAGACGAGAGCATGAGCGTTATCCACCATTCCTTCACCGAATTCCTCAACGACTCTGCGCGAGCTGCCACCGAGGGGGCCTTTCCTGTTCTCGATGCCGACGCAGCGCATTCCATGCCGGCGACCGTCTTGCTGGAGTACATGAGCGGGTGTTCCTTGCTCAGCACGGACTATCAGGATGGGGACAGGGGTAGCTGCGACAGCTGGCACCGGCATGGATACACCGACGAAGAGGGGAGCAAACGGGAGCAAGTCATCGAGGACGCAGGAGTCGACCATCCACTGCTTGGCTATGCTCTGGGAAATTTCGTCCACCATCTCAAGTCCTCTAGGAAGGGGTCCTCCGATGGGCTCCTGTCCGCAATGGACAAACACTTCGTTGCAGGAAAGCCGGCCTTCACTGTCTGGATGACCAGCAAATGGAAGTCCTTCATGCACAGCACTGTCACCCCTCTGCATCTTGCTGCTCGCTGCGGATGGCCTGGGTCCTGCATTCGCCACCTCGTGGCAAGGGAAGGCGCAGACAAGGTGGACACTCGGGACGAGATGCTACGAACCGCACTATCGTACGCCACGGAAGAAGGCCACGCCGAAGTTGTCAATATCCTTCTGGAGAACGGTGCAGATGCCACGGCAATCGACCACGAGGGCTACTCAATACTGCACTACGCATGCATGAAAGACTATCGTCACACAGGCTGGCCGAGTGTAGCCAAGCTCCTTCTGGACGCCGGTGCCGACCCTCTGATTGCAAAGACCAAATTCTCCGACTGCGACATGATGTACGGCCTGAACAGACTTCGTGAGACGCCACTTAGCTTGGCCTGCAAAAGCGGCAACACCGAGTTGTTCAAATTATTCCTACCACGAATGACAAAGACAGAAGCGGACTTGTGTTTTCACAAGGCTGGCAACCCGCACCATCTCGAAGAAATCCTGAAGACTGGCCTCGTCAACGTCAACAGCTACAAGGGGGGCGAGAGCGCCATGGCCAGGGCTATGAAGCGGTTCGACCTAGAATCCATCAAGCTGCTTCTAAAATATGGAGCCGACGCCAAGTTGCGTAGCACATCCGAGATCACCCGCGCCAGTCTCAATGACGAGATCTCGACAGAGCTCAGTCTTCCCGACCGTGAAACTGGCCCCACGCTTCTCCATATATTTGCTGGTTACGGGGGCGCCTCTACCAAACTAGGTGACGAGCGTGCGCCGCAAATCCTTCAGCTCCTCCTGGACAACGGGGCAGACATCAACGCCACCATGGATACCGATAACACGTGGGGGTCGGGACTGACGCCACTCCATTGTGCCGTCGCCGCGAAGCCTGAATCTTTCTTGCTGGATTGGGGCTTTGACGCCGAAGACTCGAATGTGAAGTTCGTGGTTGCGCTTCTCTTGAACGCTGGCGCCAACCCAAACGCCAGAACCCAGAAAGGCAACACACCTCTCCATTTAGTCACCGATTACGGAGCCGGCGTGCTGGATTATCTTGTGCACCATGGCGCCGACCTCGAGGCTAAGAATCAAGAGGGGAGGTCTCCTCTTCTTCAGTCCATCTTCACCTTTAACGCCGAAGAAAGCCAGGGCTTATCAACGTTGAATAAGCTAGTCGACCTCGGAGCCGATATCAACACTGTTGACAATGGTGGCCACACAGTCCTGGACGCGTTCGTACATAAACTTTGGAGTTTTACGAGCCCGGAGGGTATCGCGTTCTTCCAGAAGCTAGTCCGTTCCGGGGCTGACGTTAAAAATGTTTCCCTTATGAAGCACCCATCTGCTGGGGCCTGGTGGTACGGCAGGCCTGTCGACGACGAGCCCATCATCAAGGCCATGATTGATGAGGGGTTAGACATCAACTTGGCCGACGAGCGGGGCGAGACTATTCTGCACGCGGTACTGCGGTCGCGCAATGTGGAAATCTCGATGGTCGAGAAATACATACGTCTAGGTGCTGACCCTACCGTGCGCACACTTTCTGGGTCCACGCTTTTCCATGCCTGTTCGCAGGTCTCAGCGAACTGGACCAAGTTCCTGATGTCGCTTGGCGCTGACCCGTTGGTGCCCGATGAGGACGGCAACACCCTTATTCACCTCCTCATCTCTCGGCATGCGGACGAGGCTGCGCGGGTCGACGGGGAGGTTGAGTCCCTTGTCAAGGCTGGAATCGACCCCAAAGCAAGTAACTCTAGGGGCGCGACGGTCCTTCATCTGGCGACCAGCGCGGAAAGCCTAGGCTACATCCTCAGGTCTCCGTGGTTCGCAGGTCTCTCGGTCTCGGACGCCGACGCTCAGGGCGAAACGCCGCTGCACGTTGCGGCGGGGGCCGGCGACACTAAGCTTGGCTTCAGGCCCGGCAACCTCATGGTCAAGATGCTGCTCGACAGGGGCGCCAACCCTGACGTGCTGACCCACAAGGGTCTCTCTCCCCTGCACTACGCCGCAAGGCCGGGCCGGTCCAATGCTGTGTTGCTCCTCCTGTCTTGGTACAAGAACCACGGCGTTCTCGAACGACACCTGAACCTGTGCGACAAGCGCGGTGGCTGGGGATACACGCCGCTCCAATATGCATGTTCTTCCGGCGACGCTGAGAGCGTCCGGTGTCTTCTCTCGTTCGGAGCCGATCCCTCCATCCCCACTGCCCGCGGACTCTCTCCGCTCCATACGGCAGTTAGCCTGCATCCCGAACTCGCGATTGATCCTTTGAAAGATCGTGCTGGCTCAAAGCCGCTCCCTCCCAAGCTGGCGGACGAGCTGGAAACCAGGCGGAAGCGGAGCCAAGAATGGCGCCGTGGAAACGAGAGACGATTTTATGGGCGAGATAGGCGAAGCATCCCCATCGAGTCCCTCCCATACACGGCCGACGTTATTGAGCTCCTTGCAGATTCAGGGGCAGACCTGCATGCCACTTTCCAGAGCAAGGACGGGCGGCTTCTCACGCCAATGGACCTGGCGGTTGAGGCGGGCAACTGGGTGATGGTCAGGGCGCTGGCCGCTCGAGGAGTGGTCCCTTCGAGTGACGGACACGCGGCCGCATTCGGGGCTGCCACTCATCCAGCGAGAGTTGGAGAGCTGGCAAAGGCGCTACTGCAGGACCTAGAAAATTCGGAGCCCTACGACAAATACGGCTCGTGGAAGGAAGTGGACGGGACGGTGGATGATATTATCGCAGATGGTGACTACGGCGTCATCAAAGAGTTTTCTCGGCTCAGGGGCGGGGTCTTTCTGGACAAGGAGAAGGACGTCAATGTCTTTGAGAAGATTGTGCGCTTTGGAAACACGGCCCTTCTCGAGTATTTCGCAACCGAGGTCGCCGCCTTTGAGAGCGAGCGGCGGGCGAGGCGGAAAGGCAGGGCTTGGAAAACACTGCTCGGACACGCCTGTGAGCGAGAGCTACCCAGCCTTCACATTGTCAAGACTCTCGTCGAGACCATCAAGGTTGATGTCAACGCCAAGTTCAACAATAAGAGCGATGACACACCCGAGACATCCGAGACGTCCAGCATTAGCACCCCATCCGAGACCGGATCTGAGGCCGGGGATGGGCCCGAGGTCGGGATCTCGACAGCACTCCACGTGCTCACTTTGGGCAATTCTTTATGGAAGGTGGAGGCCCTCGCTTATCTTTTAGATCACGGGGCCGACATCGAAGCGCGCGGCGAAAACAAGACCCCTCTTCTTTCCGCACTCACAGGCTCCGGCTACGCCGCGGAGATTGTCAGACTGCTGCTTGATCGCGGCGCCGATATACACGCAATCATTCCGGGCGCCTCGAAGGACAGTCGCGACGTGACGAGCCTCGACCTGGCACAAGATGCCGCAACAATCAAGTTGTTCCTCAACCATGGGATGCCCGTTCCGGTGCAGGGTTCCGTTTTGCTGGACGCGGTGGAGCGGCTGGATATAGATGTCGTCAGGTTGCTACTGGAGGTCGGATGCGACCCAAATTATCTCCCTGATTTTCGACCTCGGCACTGTCTACACGAGGCATCGCGAAGTCTGGGGTACGCCTTTGGCCTCTCTCGGACTGTGGTCAAGACGCGACAGGGAGAGATTGTCAGCCTGCTGCTACAAAATGGCGCGGACCCGGCAGCTCAGTACGCTGACGGCACCTCCATCGTTCACTCTGTCATCGAGAACCGCGCCATCAGCCTCCCTCTTCTCGACTCGCCCAACCTCGACCTGAACCTGCAGAGCGGCCCGCGAAACCGCTCACTATTGATATCGGCATGTGCCCCGAGGCTCAAGCCGATTGGGAAATACGATGAACTCTGGTCCGGAAATGCCACGGAGCTGTCCACCAGAGCCGTGGCCACCATGCACGCCCTGCTCGACCGCGGCGCCGACCCCCTGCTCACCGATTCCGAAGGTAGGACTGCGCTGCACTGGTTCAGCACCATCCCGAGCAGCGCCCTGGACGAAGACCACAAGGCCGCCTTCGCGGCCCTCGTCCAGCGGAGCGGGCCCGCCGCCATCCGCGCGGGCGACAGCGAGGGCGCCAAGCCGCTGCAGCTCGCCGTAGCGGCGCACAACGCCTGGACGATGCGGCACCTCGTGTCGGCCGCCGGCGTCGGCGCGGACCCGGCCCTGTTTGGCGCTGCGGTAGGCGGGAATACGGCGCTGCACCACGTCGCGGCGCAGCTCACGGGCGAGAGAACGGGCGCCGAGGCCGCGGCCGAGCTTCTCACCCAGCTCGTCTCCCACACCGCCGGCGGCGGTCTCGACGTCAACGCCCGCAACGCCCGCGGCGACACGCCAGTGCTGGTCCTGGCCGCCACGGGCTGGCGCGGGTCCGAGCCCCCGCGCGGCGTGACGGACATCTCGCCGCGGGACTACGCCAAGAAGCACGACGTTGGGTACGGGCCGGGGATCGGGCAGCTGGCCGGGCTCGGGGCGGACCTGCGCGTCGTCAACGACGCCGGGCAGGGCATGCTGCACCTGCTGGCCGGGCGGCGCATCGACTGCGACTGCGCGGACCAGGTCTACCACGTCGAGCGTGCCTTCAAGCAGCTTCTAGAGCTCGGGCTGGACCCGCGCGTCGAGGACGGCGAGATGAGGACGGCCATCGACCTCGCCGTCGCGCGGGGGCGGCACGGGATCCGGAGTTTGTTTAGTGAGGAGGGGAAGGGGATGTCGGACTGGGAGGAGGGCAGTGATGACGAGGGGTAAATGCCGACGAGGGACATTTGTTTTTCAGCCTTTTCTGCTTGTTTCGCAACGAACATGCTTCGGTAGTCTGGGTCACTGAGCATTTTCCTGTGTAAATTCCATACTATGCAACTGTCACAGGCCATGTATCCAATGGTATATCGTGCCAAGATCCCATCATTCCTAATCCTCAGCTGACCCACATCTCTCCTAGTAGACGTATACAAACTCGTCGTTCTGCCTGTCGGTCATGTCGAGGAAGGCGTTCTCACCGAGCCTCACGGCGCCTTCGGCGGCCTCGCTGTCGTCTGCGCGGAAGCCGGCGTAGGAGTGCTGCATGGACAGGTCGGTTATGTCCCTCGGCTTCCCGTTGAGCACGCGCCTGTTGCCCTGCTGCCTGTTGAGGAAGACGAGGTGGAGGGTGGTGAGGCCGATGATGGCGACGAGGGCGCCCGCGACGCCCATGACCTTTGTCAGGCCCGGGTGGTAGCCCGGGGCGTCGCGGGCGTTGAAGAGGAGCGGGCCGATCATCTGGCCGGCGGCGCTGCCGGCGTTGAAGAGCGACATGATGACCGACTTCTTGGTCTGGCCGGCCGTGTTTGCGATCATCCACGAGGCCAGGAGCGGGTTGCCGCCGAAGACGAAGGCGAGCATGTAGTAGGCCACCAGCAGGGGCGGGATGCTGTCGCGGCCCAGCACGAAGAGCATGATGCTCCCCGCCAGCACGGGCAGCGTGATGACGGCCAGGAAGGCCGACTTGACGCTGAAGCGGTGGGCGGCCCAGCTGGAGCCCATGATGACGATCACCTGGACGGCGCCGAAGGGTATGTTGAGCAGGCTCGCGCGCAGGCTGTCGAAGCCGAAGCCGGTGACGACGATGGGGCCGAAGGTGTTGGTGACGGTGGCGATGAGGTTGATGCAGAGCGCGGTGCCGACGAACAGCCACGTCTTGGGCTCGAGCAGCGTCTCCTTGACGTGGGACATTTTGAACTCGCGGCTGCCCGTGCCGGTCTGGTTGGCGCGCAGGCGCTCGAGCGCCATGAGCTTCTCGCGCTCCGAGAGGAAGCGGGCCGAGGCGATGTCGTTGTCGAGCACGTAGTAGGCCACGGGCGCCGTGGCGACCGTCATGAGGCCGACGAAGAGGAAGAGCACCTGCCAGCTGTGCAGGCTGCCCTGGATGTGCCAGAGCCCGAACGACAGTGCCGCGGCGAACATGGTGGAGACGCCGTTGGTGCCGTACCAGAGCGCGACGCGGAGGGGCTGCTCGGCGCGGCGGTACCACTGCGAGGTGATGACGGAGAAGAGGGGCAGGCAGCCGGCCTCGAACAGGCCGAGCAGGGCGCGCGTCACCAGCAGCCCCGCGTAGCTGTGCGAGGCCGCCATGCAGGCCTGGGCGGTACCCCAGCCGAGGACGAGGGTGGGCATGAGGATGCGGTGCGGCACGCGCACGATGAGCCACGACGAGAAGGGCTGCCAGGCCAGCGTCACGATGGCGGATATGGAGCTGACCATGGAGTACTGGTCGCCCGTCAGGCCCGTGTCGTCGCGCAGGCCGAAGATGGCGCCGTAGCCCAGCACCGACTTGTCGAGGATCTGGAGGAAGTAGACCCATATGAGGATGGCGAGGATGCGGCTGTCGGTCTTGCGGAGGATGCGCTTGTTCTGGACGCGGGGGGAGGGGCTTGGGTGTTAGTTTGGCTGAGGGAGGCTGACGATTTCGTGAGGGGAACGAGGGTCTTTGTCTTCAGGGCCAGTGCTCACATCTTCCTCGGTAACCTCAATGTGCTGGGCTCCAATCAGCTGGGCCGCCGTGTCGCCGCCGAGCTCGGCGGTCGCCTTGAATTTGGCGTCGCCATCTCGGTCCTCGAGCTGCCTCGCAGCCACAGCCTTGCTGCCGTCACCGGAACTCATCTTGGCTCGTGGTCCGGTCGGGACGGGTCGACGTGGATGTGGTGTGTGCAAGGAGAGGCGAGGCCTCGGAGTCGAGAACGACGGCGGACCGACTCGACATCTTTATGGGCGAGGCCTGCGGGGGAGGTTGGGGGATCGCCCTCCTTGCTCCCGCAGCATTTGAGTTTGTCGCGAGGTTTCCGTGAGGGCACAACTCTAACAGAGTATCCCCCATCGCCCCACTGGTGAATGGGGCGTCGGTGAGGGGAAGCCTGGTTCAGGCGCAGGGGACCCCCATCACGGCAGCTCCAACGCGGACGGGCACGAGTCATCGCTGATGGAGGAGAAGCAACGGCTAAACATCTTGTTTAAGAAGCATTAAACCAATTGCGCTACATAGAAACACTGACGGGTAGGTGATATTTGAGGGTGTGGAATGCAGACATCGAGATAGATTGAAGCGACGGGCACTTGACTTCTCAGATCGATTTAACCATCCTGAGCAAGCCACTCCCAGCTCGGCAGAGATTCAAGTGCCGGCCACGGTCTCCCGAAAAAAGTCTGGACCGGCAATTTTTTTCCCCACGCAAACTTTACCTTCCCCAAACACAATTGCACCAGCACCAAAGCCAAATAGCCGCGCACCACTCTACACCTAAAAAAAACACCGCGTTCAAAAGATTTTTAACTATTTTTAAGCAAAAAGCATTACTTATAGCTACAATAACGTTTTTCGCTTTTTATAAATGCAGAGGGTAAAATAATTGCAGATTAAATGAGCTCCTTTTTTTGTGGTGGTGGGGAATAAATTGCGGTCCAGACTTTTTTCGGGAGACCGTGCCGGCCAAGGCAGGGGTGGGCAGGGATCGACAAGCCGTGTGGTGATGCCGCCACAAGCTCCCGCATTAGACGCACGCCAAGCTAGCAGAGCACAAAGATGGTCGCACAAAAAAAAAAAAAAGGCCGATCATCCGCGATATCCCGAGGGTCCCTCACTGGCGGCAATGATGATTACGGTTCCATAAACATTTCTATGCCTGACAAATACGCAAAATCTAAACAGTAAAGAAATGAGCAGGGAGTAG